AAGGAAGAAGATGGGAATGAGGAAGGGAGGAAGGGAGGGAAGGAAAGAAGGATAGAAGAAGGAAAAAAGGGAGGGAGGGAGGAAATGAAGGAAGAAAAAAGAGGAAGAAGAGAAAAAGGGAGGAAAGAAAAGAAAAAAGAAAAAATAGACAAGAGGAAGGAAGGGAAAAAAGGAAGAAAAAGGAAGGAAGAAAAGATAAGGAAAGAAAAAGGGAAAGAAGGGAGGGAAAAAAGGAAGGAAGGAGATGGGAATGAGAAGAAGGGAGGGAGGGAAGGATAGGAGGATAGAAGAAGGAAAAAGAAAGGAAGGAAATGAAGGAAGGAAGGAAAGAAAGAAAGAAAAAGAAAGGGAGGGAAAATAGAGAAGAGGAAGGGAGGGGAAAAAGGAAAAAGAGGGAGGGAAGAAAAGATAAGGAAAAGGAAAGGAAGGAGAAGAAGGGAGGGGAAAAGAAGGAAGGAGATGGGAATGAGAGGAAGGAAGGAAGGAAAAGAGGAAGAAAGGATGGTAGGAGAGGAAATAGATGGGGAAGGGGAGGAAGGAAGAAAAAAGGAAAGGGAAGGAAGGAAGGATAGACGAGGAAGAAAAAAAGGAAGGGAGGGAGGAAGGAAGAATCAAGGAAGGAAGGGAAAGAGAAAAAGAGAAAGGAAGGAGGAAGGGAGGGAGGGAAAATAGACAAGAGGAAGAATGAAGGGAAAAGAAGAAAATGAGAGAAGGGAGGAAGGACAAAGCAGAGAAGAAAGAAGGGCGGGGAAGAATGAAGGAGAGAGATGGGAATGAAAGGAAAAAGGGAGGCAGGAAGGAAGGAAAGGAAAAAGTTGAGGAAGGGAAAAAAGGAAGGAGAAGAAAGGAAGAAGCAGGGAAAGAAGGAAAAAAGAGGGAGGGAGGAGGAACGAAGAAAGGAAAAAGAGGGAGGGAAAGAAGGAAGCAAGGAAAGAAAAACAGAAGATTTATTAATTTTATTAACCTTCCTCCAGAATGCAAGAAATCTCCCTTTGGGTTGGACCCAAAGGAGGGAAGAGAGCAGCCGGCTGGGATTTTGGGAAAGTCATTTTCTTTAAGTTAAGGCTGGAATCCAATCCTTACAATGACTCTTTGTATTTTGGTCTCAGCAGGTGACCGACTGGGACACAGCAGGGGACCCAACTGGTCTGACTGGAATGGGATGCCGCCACCTTTGGCCTGGGAACTTGGGTCCCTTCCATAACTTTTTAAGAAATGTGGGGGAAATTTGCTCGCAAACTCAACCCTCCCTCCTCCCTGCCTGTCAATTCTGAAATAAATATTTGGGCCGACAGAAGAAAGCGTATCTGCATTTTTGCAACGTCTCCCTGCTGACTCGGGACATTCCCGCCTGCCGTTCAATTGGACGCATGAAAACAAGATTATCTGGCCATCCCCGAGGACATTTGCCGGAAGATTTGATGGGGGGGATGATTCGGGAAGGTGGAAACCTCTCTTGAAATTAGAATTATTCTGGATCCGAACCTCGCCTTTTTTTTAACCCTTGAAAAGGAGCGAGAAGCTGGCTTTTCTGGAAGGATTACGTTGATTTGGAAATGCCTCAACGTTCCCGGAGTTACTTTCGCCAAGGCTCGTTTGAGATACGCGTCGGATTGGTGGGCGATTTGGGAATTTTCTTGGAACGGGATCCATGCCAGGCCTTTTCGGAATTGGGTGAAAGTTTGACTCGATATTTAACCAAGCAGAGGAGCGGAGAAAAAAAAATGGCCAAATATGAACGATAACAACGTGGGTTCCCATCTATGCTTGTTCTCAGGAATAAATAAATAAAAATAAAACCTGCTCGCTGAATATTTTTGAAGGAATTTCTGAACTACCGTAGCTTTTTTTTGTGTGTTTTGTGTTTTTTTTTAATTCTGGATTTAAGAGGAAAAGTTTGATCGATTCCATGAGCTGTGGATCATTTGGGCCTGTTCGTTGCCAAGAAGGAAACTTCTGATTTCTTTTGTTGGATTCCATGACATTGCAAAAAAAAAATAAATAAATCTGGCTGTTTCTCCTTATTCCAGTTTTTAAAACAAGCTTGTTGGAAAAAAAAAAAAGTCCCCTTAAATGCTGCTTTTCCACTTTCGGCTCGCCTCACAGATCTGTGTTCCAGCTTGTTGCATTCTTCTCTTCTTTTGCTCAATCCTTTCGGTCTGGAACTGGAAGCAATCAAGAGTTGCTCAAATCACTTTTCTGGCCTAATTTTGCTGACCCAGAAATGTGGAAACCCTCAGAAAAACTACTGGGGGAATAATCATAGGGAATTGCAAATTGCAACTGGACAAACTTCTAAGGAAACCACAGTCACTGCACACAAATATATATATATATATATATATATATATATTAGAGATTTTTTTTTCTTCCCCTCACTTTCCATTGGAATACTCATCAGGAATCATCTTGCCAAGGAAATGGAGAGTTATAGCTTCTATGTTTGTGGTTTGTTGGCTTGTTTAAGATGAGGAAAAATCTATTTTAAATTTCTCAGGAATTCTTTTTTTTTTTCTTCCCCTGTTGTTGTTCTCCCTCCGGGCACAACGTACTAAAGCAGAAGAGAAAAAAAATGCTTCGAAAGACTGGCTTTATTTTGTCAAGAGTCTTAATATATTAAGGTGTCATTCTGGTTCGCGGAGGCTGTTCAGGTCTTCTGATCCCTTTGTTTGATGTTGGAGGCCCGACATGTCTGCAAGTGTAAGTAGGAGAGAAAGAAAAAGAAAGAGAGGGAGGGAGGGGGGAGAAAGAGAAAGGAAGGAAGAAAAAGAAAGAAAAGAAAGAAGAAAAAGAAGGGAGGGGGAAATTAAGAATCAAGGAAGGAAGGATGGAGGAAGGGAGAGAAAAAGGAAAGAGCAAGAGAAAGGAAGAAAAGAGAAAGAGAGGAAGGAGGACTGAATGAGTCAAGGAAGGAAGGTAAAAAGTGGAAAGAGCAAGAAAAAAGGAAGGAAGGAAGGAAGAAAAAAGGAAAAAAAATCAAAAGGAAGGGAAAGAAAGAAAAAAGAATGAAAAATAAAAAAGGGAGGGAGAAATTAAGAACCAAAGAAGGAAGGATGGAGAAGGAGGAAGGGAAGAAGAAAGAAAGGAAAAAGGGAGAGAAAGGAAGGAGGACTGAATGAGTCAAGAAGGGAAGGTAAAAATAGAGCGGAAAAGCAAGAGAAAAAGGAAAGAAAGAAAAGGAAAGAAAAAGAATCGAGGGAAGGAAGAGAAAGAAAGAAAGAAAAAGAAGGGAGGGAGGGAGAAATTAAGAATCAAGGAAGGAAGGATGGAAGGGAGAGAAAAAGGAAAGCAAGAGAAAGGAAGAAAAAAAAAGTGAGAAAGGAGGAGGACTGAATGAGTCAAGAAAGGAAGGTAAAAATAGAGCGGAAAGAGCAAGAGAGAAGGAAAGAAAAAAAAGGAAAAAAAGAATGAAGGAAGAGAAAGAAAGAAAAAAAGAAAAAGAGGGAGGGAGAAATTAAGAATCAAGGAAGGAAGGATGGAGGAGGGAGAGAAAAAGGAAAGAGCAAGAGAGAAAGGAAGGAAAAAGAAAAAGTGAGAAAGGAAGGAGGACTGAATTGAGTCAAGAAAGGAAGGTAAAAATAGAGCGGAAAGAGCAAGAGAAAAAGGGAAGGAAGAAAAAAAGGAAAAAAGAATCAAGGAAGGAAGGGAAAGAGAAAGAAAAAAGAGAAAGGAAGAAGAATCAAGGAAGGAAGGAAAAGAGAATGAAAAAAGAAAGAAAGAAAAAAGAACCAGGGAAGAAAGAAAGAAAGAAAGAAAGAAAGAAAGAAAGAAAGAAAGAAAAGGTTACCCTGACCACAATTTGTAGTAAAACAGGATTGAGAACAATTTCGACCTTAAATGAAAAGATTTGCATTCCAAGGTTATTTGGGCCTCCTTATTATCTGGAAACTGATAAGTGTCAGGGAAGGCTTTGATGTATTGTTGACTTGGGTTTGAGAAAAAGGGGCGCAGAAAAAGGTTTTGGGGGGTTGGGGGAGGAGAGAGAAACTCAAGGTTCTCCTGAATTACTTTTGGAAATAACTTTTCATTTCCCCTAAAAATCCGCGCTTGCTTAGCAGCTCCTGTTCTACCTGAGGGGTTTTTCACTCCGGGTGAAAATGTTTTCAGGTTCATTTTTTCAATCTGCGTCTTTGGAAAAGGACTTTTTGTGTATTGTGGCAGTCCTCCACTTACAACAATTCGCTTAGTGACCGTTCGAAGTTACGCCGGCGCTGGAAAAAAAAGCGGCTTACGACCGTGTTTCACGCTTAACGACCCCTGAGCCATCCCCAGCGTCCCGTGATCCGAATTCAGACGCTCGGCAACCGACTCGTATTTATGACGGTCGCCGTGTCCCCCGGGGGGGGTGTCGTGTGATCCCCTTTTGCGGCCTTCTGACGAGCAAACTCAACGGGTTCGCTTAATAACCGAACAGTCGCAAGGATTCACTTCGCAGCGGTGGGCAAGACAGGTTGTAAAACTCGCTTCACAAAGGTCTCGCTGAGCAACAGAAATGTTGGGCTCCAAATGTGGTCGTAAGTCGAGGACTGCCTCTAAAGGGCAATGGAGTGGCTTATGGGTTTAGGAATCCTTTGTCCGTGCTTAAGAGAGGGCTCTCCCCTCGCCGGTTTGAAAAATACGGCAGTTTTTCTTGATGTGCAAAGTTAGGCCTCACTCTCGATTTTGCGTTGGATGATTTAAAATATTTCCCATAAATAATGGAAATTTTTGGCTGAAATTCGTCAACCTTCCTAGTTAAAGGGCTGTGTCTTAAACTCCCCCAAATGAGATCATTTCTGGCGAAATTTTATTTGTCAACACCCAGATGGGTTATTTCGCTTTTTTCCTTATCCGCCAAGTAACCGTCAACATCTTATCCGCCATCACACCATCAAAAAAAAAAGATTTATATTATATTTTAATATTGATTATTATACAGTTTGCAGGACTCTGGGATCACTTAAGCAAAAGCTGGCGGGGGGGAAGGAAATTACAGCTCTAGTCCTCAACTTATGACCACAATGGAGCCCAAAATGTCTGCCGCTAGGCGAGATGTTGCTGAAGTGAGTTTTGACCCCTTTTTACGACCTTTCTTGCCACGGTTGTTAAATGAATCGCTGCCGTTGTTAAGCGAGTGACACGGTTAAATGAATTGCTGCCGTTGTTAAGCGAGTGACACGGTTGTTAAGTGAATCTGGCTTCCCCATGGACATTGCTGGTCGGGACAGTCGCAAAAAGGGGACCGCCTGACTCCGGGCCCCCGCAACCGTCATAAATACGAGTCAGCTGCCAAGGCTCTGAATTCCGATAATGGGAGTGTGAGGATGTTGCAGCGGTCGTAAGTGTGGAAAAAAGCTCCTACGTCACTTCTTTTCAGTGCCGCTGTAACTTCGAACGGTCCACTAAGTGAACTTCTTGTAAGTCAAGAACTACCTGTACTTATTTTTTTAACTTTTTGTAGCATGATAGAAACCCGTGATGGCGAACCTATGACACGCGTGCCACAGGTGGCACGCAAAGCCATATCTGTGGGCACGTGAGCATTGCCCTAGCTCAGCTCCAGCCCGCATGCGTGCGCTGGCCAGCTGACTTTTGGGCCTTTCGGGCCCACTGGAAATTGGGGAAACGGGCCTTTTCTGGCCTCCAGAGGGCCTCCGGGGCAGTGGGGAAGGCTGTTTTTGCCCTCCCCAGGCTCCTAGAAAGCCTCTGGAGCCTGGGGAGGGCAAAAAATGGGCCTACTGGGCCCACCGTGGCATCGTGTGCCAAAAGCGGGGTCGCTTTTTTAGTAGTTTATGAGGCAGGGGGGTCAATCATCGTAGCCGTTGTTAAGTAAGTGACACGGTTGTTAACCGAATCTGGCTTCCCGATTGACGGTCGCAAAAGAAATCACAGGACACTGCGACCGGTCATAACCGTGAGTCAGATGTCAAGCATCCGACTGTAAATCGCTGTGAATGCTGCATGCAAAACGGTCCCTTCGTTTCGTCGTAACTTCGAACGGTCCCTAAGCGAAGTGTCGTAAGTCGAGGACTATCTGGATTGCTGATTAGTCCGGGAAATGTTTAGAAACTGGGTTTTTGGTTTAAAAAAAAACAAAAAAAAAATCCCCAAGTTTTGCTTGCAAAACTCGGCAATTGTTTATAAACGGGGACGCCGAGCAATGGCCGGAATTTGTTCTCGGTTCTTTCTGTTCCCAAATTTTTGGGCAGATTTCCCAGCCAAAAGTCTTTTTGCCTCGCTATTTTTCGGAGGAACTCAAGCATGGATTTAAACAACGGAGCTTATCGGTGCCAGGGTGCCATCCCTAGTGGGTAGAGCCCATTCAGAATATCAGGGAAGGGAAAATGGCTGGCTTAAGGCCCGTTCCAAAACTCCCCGCCAGCGAAGAGCTAACATTGTCCCTGAGGCACTAGTTTTCTACATGCAGGGAGAGCAAATTTGCCATTTTTTTTGGCCTCAGGCTTTCTCAACCAGATGTTTCTAGGTTCCTTAGGGAACAGGATGATGGGATGGCTTCCCCGGGTGGCAGATGGAAAAAGTAGAAGAGCTGGGCATGATGGGAGCGGTAGTTGTAAGAAATACCTATGTAACTTTGTCCTGTGGTAAAATAATTTTTCTCATACATATATATTTTTAAATGTGTCCTCTCCCCGCATATAGAGATCTAGCACAGAAGCCTAGAGCGTTTTTAATATACAGACAGTCCTCGCTTAGCGACCGTAATTGGGCAACTTGATTTGTCGGTCGCAAAGTGAAACACGATCTGGCAAGCTCAGTTCCGCTTTCCTTCGCTTTGCAGACCTGCGGCGGTCGTAAACGCAAGAGTCGGCTGCAAAAAGTTCTGTTTTCATCACTGTCGTGACTGCAAATGGTCGCTGAGCGAGGCAGTCGCTAAACAAGGACTACCTGTTATAGAAGGGGAGATTCTCATACAGAGAAACACTAAAAGTTTCTCTGGTCCCAACTTGTATTGCAAAAAAAAAAAAAAAATTTTTAGCATCTTGGTGGTGGATAACTAACCAGTCACGTGAGCTGGGAATTCGGGGAGTTGTCTAGGAATTCGGGGAGTTGTCGTCTTGGAATTCGGGGAGTTCTAGTCTGGGAATTCGGGGAGTTGTCTAGGAATTCGGGGAGTTGTAGTCTAGGAATTCTAGGAGTTGTCTTGGAATTCGGGGAGTTCTAGTCTGGGAATTCGGGGAGTTGTCTAGTAATTCTGGGAGTTGTAGTCTGGGAATTCGGGGAGTTGTCTAGGAATTCTGGGAGTTGTCATCTTGGAATCTGGGGAGTTGTCGTCTTGGAATCTGGGGAGTTCTAGTCTGGGAATTCGGGGAGTTGTCTAGGAATTCTAGGAGTTGTGGTCTTGGAATTCTGGGAGTTGTAGTTTGGGAATTTGGGGAGTTGTAGTCTAGGAATTCGGGGAGTTGTAGTCTGGGAATTCTGGTAGTTGTGATCTAGAAATTCTGGGAGTTGTCTGGGAATTCTGGGAGTTGTGGTCTGGGAATTCTGGGAGTTGTGGTCTAGGAATTCTGGGAGTTGTGGTTCTTGGGAATTCTGGAGTTGTCTAGGAGAGTACTGGGAATTGTCTAGGAATTCTGGAGTTGTGGTCTGGGAAAAGTCCGGGAGTTGTGGTCTAGGAATTCCAGGAGTCTGGAAATTCCAGGAGTTGTGGTCTGGGGAAATTCTGGGGAGTTGTGGTCTGGAATTCTGGGAGTTGTAGTCTGGGAATTCTGGGAGCTGTTGGTCTAGGAATTCTGGGAGTTGTCTAGGAATTCTGGGAGTTGTGGTCTGGGAATTCTGGGAGTTGTCTAGGAGATTCTGGGAATTGTCTAGGAATTCCAGGAGTTGTGGTCTAGGAATTCCGGGAGTTGTAGTCTGGGAATTCTGGGAGTTGTGTAGTCTAGAGAGCACGGCTTAAGGCCAAGCTTTGGAAAGTGCGACTTGAGCCCTGAATATCTACCTTGTTTTTCATCCACAGGCGCAGTTGTGTCGCGCTCTGTACGACAACACGGCCGAGTGTCCGGACGAACTCTCCTTCCACAAGGGGACCTCATGGTCCTTCTCCAGCCAGAAGGGACCGGCCTGGAGGGCTGGCACCTATGTTCCTTGCACGGCAGCAAGGGATCGTGCCCGCCAACAGAGTGAAGGTCCTCCCTGAATCGGGATTTCACCCAAATCACACCCCAGCAGAGGTCTACCAGGTCCCGAAGAAGGAGGGTCTCCTGATGGGAAAGATCTCGGACGGATCCATGGATGGATGGAGAAGAAGAGATCAAAGGAAAGAAGAACAGGAGGTGAGAAGGGGGGACCTAGAGGTTCTTCTCCTGCTTGTTTCTCTCCATGGTGTCACCTTGGAGAGGCGACATGAAACGGGGACTTGTCTACCATCTTCTCAAACTTCTACCAAAGATGAGAAAGCCGGCCTTCAACATCTTCTCTTCCACCTCTAACATCCTGACAATGTCCAGAATGCATTGAGATGTCCGCCCCCCGCCCCTTTTAGCTGTGTGTGGATGATGGGAATTGTGCTCCACCAGATCTACCAGGGTTCCAGGGTGAGAAGGATGCCTTCTAGAAGAGGGAGGAACCCTTCGATCTTCTAAACCCCCTAAGACCTTTACCCCCAAAACGTCCTTGCTTTTGAGGTCCGGTGGGATGGGTCGCCCAACCAACCATGATGGAAGCTGGTTTCCTCTAAACCACACCACACCACACCACGAACTCTCCATCCCCATTTTAGCTTAGCGACGTTGGGCGAACGTATCTGAGATATGGTTTGAAGCTCCAGGGACCTTCTCCTTCTCTCCAGACCCTGATTTCTGGTTTCTCCTTGTCTTTTTCTTCCACCCCAGGTCTACGAGATACCACCACCCGCAAGGCCCTGCCCGCTGCCCCCAGAGGGGATCTACAGGGTGCCTCGGGGGACCAGAAGAGAAGATTCTGTGGAGGTACTTCGAGAGAACAAAACCGAAGGAGAAGATGGCCGTCGTCCTGTTTACATGGACAGCCGTAGCCTACTCCAACCTTGGCCTTTTCTTGTCACAGTTGTTAAGCGTGTCGTTGCAGTTGCAATCACTGCCGTTGTTAAGTGAGTCACGTGGTTGTTAAAGTGAGTCCGGCTTCGCCGTTGGCTTTGCTTGTCAGAAGGTCGCAAAACGGGTTTCACGTGACCCCCGGGGCACTGCGACTGTCACAAGTAGGAGTCAGTTGCCAAGCGTCTGGTTTTTGATCACGTGATTGTGGGGATGGGGCAACGGTTCAAGGGTGAAAAACGGTTCAAAGTCTCTTCAAATGGTCACTAAACGAATCGTCGTAAATCAAGAACTGCCGGTATTGTCAACCCAGATGGCAGGGCTAGCATCGTCCTTATTTTATTTTATTTATTTTATTTTATTTTATTTTATTATTTATTTTATTTTATTATATTATATTATTTTATTTTATTTTATTTTACTTTATTTTATTTTACTTTATTTTATTTATTTATTTTACTTTATTTTATTTTACTTTACTTTATTTTATTTTATTTTATTATTTGTATTCTGTTTTGTTTTGTTTTAATTTTAATTATAGTTTATTATGATTTTTATTTTAGCTTATTATTCTCTATTATTTTATTTTTACTCATTTATTTTATTTTTTATTTTACTTTATTTCACTTTATTTTACATTATTTTATTTTATTATTTTGTTTTGTTTTGTTTTATTATTTTTATCTTAATTTTAGTTTATTATGATTTTTTATTTTGGCTTATTATTCTACTCTCTTATTTTATTTTTACTAATTTATTTTATTATTTTGTTCCTCTACCCTACTCTGTTATTTTATTTTATTTTATTTTACTTTACTGTTATTTTATTATCTTATGTATTTATTCGTTGTTTTATTATTCCGCTAATTTATTTTACTGTATTTTATTATTCTACTGTTCTATTTTATTATTCTATGCCGTTCTTTTCATTTGACTTCTTTTTTATTTTACTATTCTAAATCTATTCCGTGGTTTTATTTTACTATTTTATTTTATTTTCATTTATCTTTTCTTATTGTTATATTTTATTCTCTTTTTTATCTTTTCTTATATTATATGTTATGGCCACCTGACAGCTGGCCAACAGATTTCTATTCTAAATCTGACCTGGGTAGTCGAAATCTCAGCTGAGTTGGGGAGGGGGCACATTTGATCTCGGCCCCAGTTGCCATAAACTGGTGTGCCCGGTGGCGGCTGGCAAAGCCTCCAGAGCAGGGGAACGGAGAGGCGGGGGAGAAGGGGGAGGCGGGCGGGGACGACAACTGCCCGCGTCTGTTGGATTAAATTTTACGCCTGTCCTGCCACCGAGAGTAATTGTATCTGAGCCCTTTATAAAGGGGACAGCTGCCTGCGATGGGGCCCTCTTTTTTCCTTCCCCAGACAAACCCAACATTCGCCTTAGATGGAGAAACACTCGGGCGGGAAGGACAGGTGAGAATGCGGAGGTAGCAGCTGGGGAGGTTTAAAAAGAAAAGCTAGACTGTAAATTTTTCGGAGCGTCCCCGGTGCCTTTTTGAAGCTGGAGATATCGGTCAGTGCCAGAGGGGCATCTGCCACTCCCAGATTAGACAGAAGGCAAGTTTGGTCAAACAGAGGGTTACATCGGGGGAGGGGAATCCATCAGGTTCTGGAGAACCGGTAGCGGAAATTTTGAGTAGTTCGGAGAACCGGTAGCGGAAATTTTGAGTAGTTCGGAGAACCGGTAGCAGAAATTTTGAGTAGTTCGGAGAACCGGTAGCGGAAATTTTGAGTAGTTCAGAGAACCGGTAGCGGAAATTTTGAGTAGTTTGTTTATTTGTTTGTTTATTTGTTTATTTATTTATTTATTTATTTATTAAATTTGTATACCGCCCTACTCCCGAAGGACTCAGGGCAGTGAACAGCCATAAAATAAAACATATAGATACAAAATTTAAAATAGAGATAAAACAAATTAAATAAATTTGGCTGAACCATTTTAAAACCCCAATAATATAAAACCAAATTTAAAATTCCCATTTAAAAGAGGAAAATTTAGGTCAGGCCAGCTTGATGAAATAGGAACGTCTTAAGCGCGCGACGGAAGGTACGCAGATCCGGGATCCTCCGTATCTCCGGGGGGGAGCTCGTTCCAGATCGTAGGTGCCCCCACAGAGAAGAACCGGTAGCAGAAGTTTTGAGTAGTTCGGAGAACCGGCAAATGCCACCTCTGACTGGCCCCAGAGTGGGGTGGGAATGGAGATTTTGCAATAGCCTTCCCCCAGGAGTGGGGTTGGGAATGGAGATTTTGCAGTATCCTTCCCCTGCCACGCCCACCGAGCCATGCCACGCCCACCGAGCCACGCTCACAGAACCGGTAGTAAAAAAAAATATTGGATTTCACCACTGGGTTATATTAACAGATGAAGATCAAGTGTGGTACTAACACCACTCTATAAAGCCTTAGTAAGTCCACACCTGGAATCCTGCATCCAGTTTTGGTCACCACACTATAAAAAAAGATGTGGAGACTCTAGAAAGAGTGCAGAGAAGAGCAACTAAGATGATGAGGGGACTGGAGGCTAAAACATACGACGAACGGTTGCAGGAACTGGGCCTGGCTAGTCTAGTGAAGAGAAGGACCAGGAGAGACAGGATAGCAGTCTTCCAATTTTTGAGGGGCTTCCCCAAAGAAGAAGGGGTCCATCTATTCTCCAAAGCACCCGAAGGCCAGACAAGGAATAATGGATGGAAACCGATCAAGGAGAGATTCAACGTAGAAATAAGGAGGAATTTTTTGACAGTAAGAACAGTCAACACAGTGGAACAGAAGTTGCCTTCGGAAGTTGTGGGACCTTCATCGGTGGAGGCTTTCAAGAAGAGATTGGACTGCCATTTGTCAGAAACGAAGAGGTTCAGCCGAAGCTGAATTCAGATGTGAATTCAGCCGAAGAGGTTGTAGAAAACAATGGGTTTTAAAAGCCTCTGATGATCCCAGCTGAGCCGAGCGATCATCATCAGAGGCGTTTTTTTTTTTTAAAGCATTTTTTGGTCAAAGAGGTTGTAGAAAAAATGCTTTTAAAAATAAATTAAAAAAGGCTCTGATTATTGCGCGGCTCAGCTGGGCAATGGGGGGCGGGCAGGGATTTTTGCTACCGGTTCTCCGAACCAACTGCCTCCGTTGCTACCGGATCGGGTGATCCGGTCCGAACCGGGAGCATTTCATTCCTGCTTGGGACCGTTTTTCACACTTATAACCGTTGCACCTCCCCCGGGGTCACGTGATCAAAATTCAGACGCTTGGAAACCCGCATGTATTTCTGACGGTTGCAGCATCCCGGGGTTACGTGATCCGCTTTTGCGACCTTTTGAAAAGCGAAGTCAATGGGGGAGGCCAAGTTCCCTTAACAACCGTGTTACTGACTTAATACCAGAGGTGATATTCAGCCGGTTCGGGCGAATCGGTAGTGGCGATCTGTGGATGGTACCACCCACCCGCCCGGGTGCAATCCCATCCTATATCGCTACGTGAACTGTGTGCGCAACTGAATTGCCATTTTGTTTGATGTTGCATGCATGGATGGATGGTGCGTGCGAGCGAGCGAATTGCCGTGTTTTGTGACGATGCACCCGTGCGCCGACAGCACGCGCTTACATTTCTGGTGCTGGGCAAACTGCTTGCTACAAGTATGTGAATCCCACCTCTGCTTAACACCCGCAGTGATTCACTTAACAACTGCGGTGAGAAAGGTCATAAAACAGGGCAAAACCCGCTTAACAACGGTTTTGATTAACCACAGAAAGTTGGGGCGCGGTTGTGGTCGTAAGCCGAGGAGTACCTGAGATGCTCAAAGGTTTCTACTGAAATGTTTTTTTTTTAAAGTCGTATAGGAAGAAACCTATCTTTATTCCTAATTTTTCCTGAGGAAAGAGATGGAATGGGGAGGGGGGGATATCAAAATATATGCAGATATTTTATTGAAATGCAAGTTAAAACGATGAGAATAGAGAATGTGTCAATTGAGGTCTTTTATCCTCTATCTTACTGTTTCTTAACCTCACTACTTGACAACGTGTGGACTTCAATTCCCAGAATTCCTCAGCCAGACACATCTTCATGGGGCCAAGGTTGAAAGGCCCCGAAGCCAGCCATGGGAATTCTGGGAGTTGAAGTCCACAACATCTTCAAGAGTTCTAGATTGGGGGGGGGGAAGCATTATCTTGACACATAATGTAAGCCATGGTTCGTTTTAACCATGATCCGTGGGCTAAACCACCAAAGCAAAAATAATAGATTAAGCCATAAACTGCAGTTTATAATCAAAGCGACTGCGTTGATCATCCATGCTGAGCTCTCCATCCCTGATCCAGCCATGTTGTACTGCTCAAACGCACTGAACCATAAACTATAGTTAATAGCTGGATTCTCCCAGCATGTGGGCCCCAAAGCGAGTTTCTGGCTTAGCTGGATGCCTGACCCAAAACAGGCTGTCATTTGGAACCGTCGTCTTCTTTATCCTCTTTTTTTCCCGTTCGTAGGTTTACGACGTACCCTCGTCCTTGCTCCGCGATGTGGTTTTGGACACGTACGATTCGCCTGCCCCACGGGTCAAAAAAGTCGCCCGGGTCGCCCCCCAGCCTAGCGCCCCACCAAATGCGGACGAGGCTTACGACGTGCCGCTCGCCTTCAAGAAAGCCCTGGCGCAAGAGGAGGTAGAAGAGGAGGAGGAGGAGGAGGAAGAAAACTGCGAAGGGCCGCTGATCTACGCCATCCCATCCAATTTACGCCGCGCTTCCGCCTTGCTTAACTTGTACGAATCTCCTGAAGACATCCGGGCAAGTGGAAAGGACGAAGATGACGAAGAGGAAGACGGGGCTATTTATGACGTTCCTCTGCTGACGCCCAGCACCCCGCCCCTGGAGGGAGCCCTCCAAGGACTCAATCTAAGGGACCCGGGACCCCCCACTCGTCCCCGGCTGCCGTCCGCGGAGAGTCTGTCCCGCCGTCCGCTGCCCGCTCTTCCTAGCGAGGAGCGGCTTTCCGGCGAGCTACCACCCCCGTCACCCAACGTCATGCGGAAGGGTAGCATCCAGGACCGTCCGCTGCCTCCCCCTCCGCCCCGGCTGGGGGGTCTCGGGGCAGGAGACCAGCTGGACCTAGCCAGGGATGACGTCCACAATGAATACGAAGGGATCCGTCTGGCCGATGAGTACGATTATGTCCACCTGAAGGTAAGGACGGCCACCGCACGAGGTTAATCGCTATCCTGTTCTTGACATTGGGACGTCATCTAGATGCCACAATGCTTTTGCAGATAGTCCTCGACTTACGACTGTAATTATTATAAAATTAATTATATTATAAATATATATTTATTTATATATATTATTATGTGATATATTTATATTATATATATATTATCTATCTATCTATATAATTAATTAATTTATATTAAATATTTATGTGTGTGTGTGTTTTCTGAGGTTTTCGCAGGTGTTTGTATGTAGGTCTTTGGTTATTCGGGTTTTCTCCCGCGTAAAATTGAGTAGCTCACCAGCTCAAATCCCCCTGCAACTCAGACTAACCCAAGCACAACCAAGCCCCCACCCAAACAGAACACACCCCCAGCCAATCAGAGCAGAGCCAACCCCCCCATCCAATCAGAGCACAGCCAACCCCCCAACCAATCAGAACACACCTCCACCCAATCAAAACACAGCAAAGCTCCCACCCAATCAGTTCACACCCCCACTGGCAGTTAAAAGGAAGAAACAGCTGCGACTACACATTGCTCCTAGAAGCACGAAGCTGAAAACACCAGCCTGAAGATGACGAATGAGACTTCGTCGAAACGTCGCCAAGACACTTCCAATTTTACGTGGGAGAAAACCCAAATAACCAAAGACCTACATATATATACACACACACACACACATACATACATACATACATATATAGCAAATTTATATTTACTGACAAAGAAATAAAGGGAGACTAGTATAGATCTATTTCAAGCTAATTAGCTCTCATCAGCTAGCCATACCCTTCTGGCTTAAAGGTTAATACATCTGCCTAATATGCAGGCAAGCCCAGGTTCGAATCCCAGAAGGGTATGGCTAGCTGATGAGAGCTAAATAGCTTGAAATAGATCTATACTAGTCTCCCATTATTTCTTTGTCAGTAAATATAAATTTGCAAAAGTGTGTCACCACGTGACCAAAAATCCGTTTTGCATTTTTTTGGTGGTTTTTGTTTTTTTTGCAGAAGTCATTCAGTGAACACAGCGGTCGTTAAGGGGAGCAAAAAAAAAAAGTTGTAAATTGTGGTGTTGCGACCACGGGGATGGGGATTGCAAATGGCCACTAATGCAGCCTGGTTGCCCCGAGCGCCCAAAATATGGTTCATGTGACCATGGGGAGAATTGGAACTTTGAACGGTCACTAAGTGATCAAATCGTAAGTCGAGGACTCTTCTGTATTCTAAATGGAGACCCAGGCCTTTGGTTTTTACTGGGTTAAAGGCAGTGGTGAAATCCAAATTTTTTTACTACTGGTTCTGTGGGCGTGGCTTGGTGGGCGTGGCAGGGGAAGGATACTGCAAAATTCCCATTGCCATCCCACTTCAGGGGAAGGATACTGCAAAATCCCCATTCCCTCCCTACTCCTGGGGGAAGGATATTGCAAAATCTCCATTCCCACCCCACTGGGACCAGCCAGAGGTGGTATTTGCCAGTTCTCCGAACTGCTCAAAATTTCCACTACCGATTCTCCAGAACCTGCTGGATTTCACCCCTGGTTAGAGGTGGGCAACCCACAACTTACAACCACTCATTTAGTAACCCGTTTGGGTCCCCACATTACAAAAACAGATGTTGAGGCCTAGAGCCGTGATGGTGAACATATGGCACAGGTGCCACAGGTGGCACGTGTAGCCATATCAGTGGGCACGCCAGCTCAGCTTCAGGCCTTCTGGACCCACCAGAAGTAGGGAAACAGGCTGTTTCCTGCCTCCGGACGGCCTGGGGGGTGGGGTGAGGAAGGCCTGTTTTTCTTTCTCACCTGGCTCCAGGTGAGAGGCTCTGGAGGCTGGGGACAGCAAAAACCCTCACTTCCTGTCCAACCAGAAGTTGGGAAACGGGCCGTTTCGGGCCTCCGAGGGGGTAGGGAAGGCTGTTTTAGCCCTCCCCAGATGCATAGAGAGGATGTGGAGCCAGGTGAGAAAGAAAAACGGGCCTACCGGGCCATCGCATGCCAGGAGCGGGAGGAGGGGGGGTCACAAGTGCATGTGTGAGTCGGGGCCCCTGCCCCCCCCTCCCATCTCCTGGCACACGATGGCAAAAAGGTTAGCCATCACTGGCCTAGAGAGTAAAAGGTATGAAGAACGGTTGTGGGATTTGAGTTTAGCCAGCCTAGAGGAAATAAGGACCGGAGGGGACATAATAGGAGTCTTCCAGTATTTGAGGGGCTGCCCCAAAGAAGAGGGGCGGGGGTCAATTTATTCTCCAAATAACCACAAGGCAAGACAAAAAGCAACTGATGGAAACTAATCAAGGAGAGAAATAACTTGGAATTAAGGAAAAAACTTCCTAACGGTGAGAACAATTCACTCAAAACTCGGCTTTCAAACTCTTTCGCTTAGCCATAGAAACGGGCCCAATTGTGGTCGTAGGTGTCAGACTGCGATGCTATCTCAAAATTAAATGAATTTCCAAACTGCCGATCTTTAAGAAAATCTTTCTTTAATTGAGCACAGCCATCGGATCATGACTACGCGCGGACAAGACTGACCTTTTGCCCCCCAATCCCTCCCTTTCCGATCCCCAAATCTCTGCTTCTCATTGGCTATCTTCCAAGTCATTCTTCAGACTCCTTTTCTCGTCATTTCCCAGGAATGTGCCCCCTCCCCTCATTTCCACGACAACCCAACTTCAAAGGGATTTGGCAGGCAAAAGTTTCAGAGTTTATCTCTCGCTCTCTTCTGCTCTATGCCAGCGTTGAAACGCTGACATCAGGTTGAGGACTATACAGCCCCCCCCATCCTCTTTGCACGCCCCATACCAAAAGGGGCGGGGCTTCCATCCCACCATTGCTGGGGCCATTTTGACTTTTTCGACCTCCCCTGCCCCGTACCCTTTTATAAATGGCAGTTTTTGCTTCCTCCTCTGGCACAGACGCCTTTGAAAATTGCCTCATTTAAAATCAGAATTTAAATGTGAGGTTGTCACTTAAATTTGAACTCTAAATTTGCCCGTTGTAAACCGCGGCGGCCGAAATTGTGGAAAGCTTTTGGGAAAAGTGTATTTTCTAAAAGTCGCTAATAACACCACTTTTTGGGGCGGGGGAGTAGTACTATAAAGTTACATATCAATGGAAAGGTAATTTAATCAAGAATGTCATGCAATCACTTTTACCAAGGATTTGCTATTAGAATAGCAGTTACAGTCTAAAGAAGAAAAGGGAAACCCATAGAAAAAAACAAGATATAAAAATCATCACCACGTCAGTTAATACTTCGTTGGGTCCTTTTTAGCATGAATGAACGGCCTTACAACGTCTTCCCATAGAGTGAACCAAGTTTTTTAATTCCGCAGCTGTTCTAATGTGAAACCAAGATTGAATGATGGCTTCTATTAACTGGGTTTTATTGCTGGGTCGTTTCTGACTAACCAGTTTCTTTTGTCGGCTCCATCGATTTTCAATTGGATGAAGATCTGGGCTATTCCCAGGCCATTCCAGCAGTGAAGTAGGATTATCTTGAAACTCCATAAAAAAAAGTGGTATTATTAGCCATCCAACCTCAAAAATACACTTTCCACAATTTTGAGGAAAGTGTATTTTTTCGAGCCCGTTTGACGTTTTGGCGAAATCAGATTTATTTTCCCTCATTCTTGTACACCCGCTCGCTAGCCTCAAAATATTTCCATTTTTTCCTTCCCGCAAAGAAAGGTGAACATTAACCCAAAATGACGTTCATATTAGAACGATGGCGTGCAAAACTCACTCGAGCACAGCGTGAATTGAGGGAACCTGCTCTGTCTCGAACCCGACACCGATCCGCCAGAGTCATTGTAAATTTTAAAAGCGGATTCTTTGAAACAATGGCTGCCTTTTTTTTTGAGTGAAAATCGTTCGGGCTTTGTTAGGTTTTTAACTCCCGGTGTACAGGTAGGCCTCGACATACGACCACAATGGAGCCCAAAACTTCGGTTGTTAAGTGAAACGGGTCTGAAGGGAGTTTTCCCTCCATTTTACCAACTTTTTTTTTGCCACCGTCGTTAAGTGAATCGTTGCAGTGGATAAGTTAGCCCCACGGTTGTTAAGTGAAGCAGTCTTCCCCGTTGATTTTGCTTGGCGGAAGGTCGCAGAAAGGGATGACGTGACTCTGTGACACGGCCACGGTCGTAAGTATGAACTGGTTGGCAAGCCGCCTGAATTGCGATCCGTTGAAAAACAGTCCCAAGTCCCTTTTTTCAGTCCCGTTGTAACTTTGAACGGTCACTAAAACGAACTGTTGTAAGTCGAGGACTACCTGTATTGTGGGCACTGGGCTACGGATGGTCCTCGAGTTACAACAGTTCATTTAGTGACCTTTTGAAGTTAGAATAGCGCTGAAAAAAAGTGACTTACGATTTTTCACACTTACGACCGTTGCCACATTCCCCATGGTCACGGGATCAAATGTCAGACGCTTGGCAACGGACTCCTTATTTATGACGGTTTATGTCCCGGGGTCACGTGATCCGCTTTTACGACCGTCTGACGAGCAAAGTCAACGGAGAAGCCAGACTGACTTAACGACTGTGTGCCTTAATTTAACCCCTGCAGCGATTCACTTAACAACGGTGGCAAAGACAGGTCGTAAAATGGAGGCAAAACAAATTTCTCACTTAGCGATGTAAATTCTGGGCTCAATCATGGTCGTAAACTGGGGACTACCGATCTACATTTCTAGAGCAACCAACCTATCAAGTCGTCAAGAACAAAATCGAAGCTTCGTTTATTTGTTTTTCCGTCGCAAGCACGAAATCAGGAAGGGATTTCCCAGCGGAAAGAAAATTTCCCTCCCTGAATTTATGGCCTGTAAAACATCCACGTTGCAAGCTTGGATTAATTTTGGAATTGCTGCATTTCAAGGTCCGACTTATTTCGAGATTGGACAATCCAGAATACCAGAGTTGGAAGGACCCTTGGAGGTCTTCTAGTCCATCCCCCTGCTCGAGAAGACCCTATATCACACTGGACAAATAGTCCTTAAAAATCTCCAGGGATGGGAGAACCCACAACTTCTGGTGGCAAGCTGTTCCACGGGTTAATTGTCCTCCCTGTTAGGAAGTTCCTCCTTCATTCCAGGTTGCTTCTCTCCTTGATGAGTTTCCACCCGCTGCTTCTTGTCCTGCCCTCAGGTGCTTTGGAGAATAGCTTGACTCCCTCTTCTTTGGGGCAGCAAGGGCGGTGAACAGCCACAGAATAAAACACACAAATGCCAAAAATTTAAAATAGAATAAAAACGAATTAAATAATTTGGCTGAGACAAATTTAAAATACCCCATAATTTAAAAACCAATTAAAATTTACATTTAAAAGGGGAGAAGATTTAGGCCAGGCCAGCTTGATGAAATAAGAAAGTCTTGAGCGCGCGACGGAAGGTGCGCAGATCCGGGATTCTCCGTATCTCCGGGGGGAGTCATTCCAGATCGTAGATGCCCCACAGAGAAGGTTCTCCCCTTAGGGGCCGCCAGTCGACATTGTTTGGCCGACGGCACCCGGAGGAGCCCCTCTCTATGGGGGCGTACTGACTGGTGGGAGGCTATTGGTGGTAGCAGGCGGTCCCGTAGATAACCAGGTCCTAAGCCGTGGAGCGCTCTAAAGATGATAACCAAAACCTTGAAGCGCACCCGGAAGACCACGGGAGCCAGTGCAGCTCGCGCAGGAGAGGTGTTACATGGGAACGCCACATTGCTCCCATAACCACCCACGCCAATTGGAGCCTCCGAGTGCACCTCAAGGGGAGCCCCATGTAGAGAGCGTTACAATAGTCCAGACGGGAGGTGACGAGGGCATGAGTGACCATGCGTAGGGAGTCCCGATCTAGAAAGATCCGCAACTGGCGGATCAGGCGAACCTGATGAAAAATCCTCCCGGTCACGGCCATCAAGTGCTCTTCTAAAGAATCCGTGAATCCAGGAGGACGCCCAAGTCGAGGAGTCCCTGCCGTAAATCGAGGAGTCGTCCTGCATTGCGCCGAGGCCTTTCCGAATCCCAGGATTCATTCTACAGGAGGAGGCAGAAAGGGTGAAAAAAATTTTTTGGCCGTTTAAAAAAAGCACAAAGGATCTGTTTTTTGCTTGTTCCAGCTAGCCGAAAATATTTGGCGGGGCGCGAACGAACTGCATACCGAAAATTCAAATTAGGGCTGAAAAGCACGTCGTGGCCCGAGGGGCGAATTTCAAAATCTCCAAATCCAACCCAGCGTACAACACAAAATTATTTTGCTGAACTCAACACACCGGACAGCGTTTGGGGATTACAGCGGATTGCGAAAGGCATCGAGGGGGGGGTGTCGGGGAGGGGGGGGCAAAGAGAGGTGTTGGCGAGGCGTCCCGCGCAAATTCGCTGAAGGCGGAACGTCGGATTCGCCGACTTGAGCGGCGAGGCCGAAAATGATGGGCTGAGTGAAAGAACGATGGAAAAAGAACGATGGACGGGGAAAGAGGGAGGGGGGGGTCTGGTGGTCGGACCCCGGATCAGAAGAAGTTTTTTTGGGGGGGGCAAATCTTCCCCGCGGTGATCTGAATTCATCGTGGTTGTTGGTTGGTTGTGTTTTTTCCCAAAAGCGTTTCTTAATTGTGTTTCTGGCATTTGGTTTTTCTGTCTCATTTATTCTGTCAGCAAATAAAAGGTGCTTTTTCTTTGTTGTTCTTTCTTCTTTTTTCTTTTTGGGCTCTTCCTCTTCCTTGTTCTTTTCTTTCTTTCTTTTCTCATCTTCCACCTTCCTTCCTTCTTGTCCTTCCTTCTTCCTTTTGACCTTCCTTTTCTTTTCTCTCTTACTTTTAAAATTCCTTTCCTTCCTTCTTTTCCATCTTCCTTTCCTTTTCTTCCACCTTTATTTTTAAAATTCCTTCCTTCCTTCCCCCTCCCTCTATTCCTTTTTTCTTCTCCTTCCTTCCTTTCTATCTTCCTTTCCTTTTCTTCCCCTTTATTTTTAAAATTCCTTCCTTCCCCCTCCCTCTCTATTCTTTTTCTCCTTCCTTCCTTCCTTCTCTTTTCTATCTCTTTCCTTTTCTTCCCCTTTGTTTTTAAAATTCCTTCCTTCCCCCCTCCCTCTATTCATTTTCTCCTTCCTTCCTTCTAACTTTTCTATCTTCCTTTTCTTCCTTTATTTTTCAAAATCCTTCCTTCCCCCTCCCTCTCTATTCCTTGTTTCTTTTCCTTCCTTTCTTCCTTCTTTTCTATCTTCCTTTCTTTTCTTCCCCTTTATTTTTAAATTTCCTTCCTTCCCCCTCCCTCTCTACTCTTTGTTTCTTTTCCTTCCTTCCTCCCTTCCATCTTTCCTCTCTCCTTTCCTTTTCTTCCCTTTTATTTTTAAAATTCCTTCCTTCCTTCCCCCTCCCTCTCTATTCTTTTTCTCCTTCCTTCCTTCTTTTCTATCTCCCTTTCCTTTTCTTCCCCTTTATTCTTAAATTTCCTTCCTTCCTTCCCCCTTCCCTCCCTTCTATCTTTCCTCTCTTCCTTTCCTTTTCTTCCCTTTTATTTTTAAAATTCCTTCCTTCCTTCCCCTGCCGATTCCTTTTTTCTTCTCCTTCCTTCCTTCTATCTTTTCTATCTTCCTTTCCTTTTCTTCCCCTTTATTTTTAAATTTCCTTCCTTCCCCCTCCCTCTCTATTCTTTGTTTCTTTTCCTTCCTTCCTTCCTCCCTCCCTCCCTCCATCTTTTCGATCTTCCTTTCCTTTCCTTCCCCTTTATTTTTAAATTTCCTTCCTTCCCTCCCTCCCTCCCTTCTCACTGTTACCCTTTGCTTCTTCTCTCCTCCCCTCCCCTCCCTTCCCTCCTCCCTCCCCTCCATCTTCTGTTCATCTCCTTCCTTCCTTCCTTTTTTCCTTCCTTTCCTTCCTTTTGCTTCCTTCTCTCCTCTCTCCAGGGGCAGATAAAATCCAGCCGAAAGCTACCACGCCGGACGAAAGCCCTACACTTACGGTCTCAGGAGAGGCAACCCCGACGGAAGAAATGGTATCTCTTCTTTTTAACTTCATAACCCCTTTGCTCTCACTGTGTCCCCCCCCCACACCCAAATTTATGACCTCGGGGTCTCAGGGCTTAAAGAGCAGAAGCCGAGAGAGATTTGTGGAAAGCCACGTTTGCAAAATCCGAAGCCGACCTTTGGCTCCTGCCCTTCCCTTCCCTTCCCTTCCCTTGCAGAAGTCCTATTGAAATGCACCCCCCCCAGTGGAATTTGCACCCGCTGATTGGAGTCATTGTGTATCTGAACCACAACACATTGTGTAAACAGAGGGGTCCACGGAGGGGGGAGGGGGGGATTGGTGAAAAAAATAAGAATGGAATGGAATGGAATAGAAAATACGGAACGGAATGGAAGGGAACGGAACAGAATGGAATAGAGGAATAAAAATAGAATAGAGGAATAGAATAGAATTGAAAATAGGGAAGAATGGAATGGAATGGAGTAGAGTAGAGTAGAGTAGAATAGAAAACAGGAATAGAATCGAATAGAAAATAGGAATCGAATCAAATAGGAATAGAAATATAGAAGAATAGAAATAGAATAGAATAGAATAGAAAATAGTAATCGAATAGAATAGAATAGAAAATAGGAATAGGAATAGAATATAGGAATAAAAATAGGAATAGAATAGAATCGAATAGAATAGAGTAGAGTAGAATAGAAAATAGGAATAAGAATAGAATGGAATGGAATGGAATGGATGAATAGAATAGAATAGAATAGAATAGAGGAGTCGAATCAAATAGAAAATAGGAATAGAAATAGAAATAGAATAGAATATAGGAATAAAAATAGGAATAGAATAGAAAGAATAGAATAGAATAGAATAGAATAGAATAGAATAGAATAGAATAGAATAGAGAACAGAACAGAACAGAACAGAACAGAACAGAACAGAACAGAATAGGATTCTTGATTGGCCAAGTTTGATTGGACACACAAAGAATTTGTCCCTGGTGCATAAATTCTCAGTGTACATACACACAAGTGATAAATCATGATCTTAATCATAAAATACCGTCAAAATGTCAGTAGCAACGCTATTGATCCTCTGTTTTTGATGCCCCCGAAAAACCTACTGAGCTCCGATCACACTGTCGTGGCCACCATCTTGACTTTTTTGACCCCACGTTATGGATCCCGCCACGTTGAAATACTTTTGATAAAACCCTTTTAGATCCCTGGGAAAAATTCCGCTTCTGGAGAGTGGCGTACGGCAGGAAATGTAAATTTCCAGTGGCAAAGCGTTCCTAAGGTCATCAATGTCCTAACCTCCTCTCTCCTCGCCAGGTGCCGCCATCCCCGGAGGACAGCCAGCTGCTGCAGTTCTACACGGGGCAGTGCCAGACGCACTACCGCACCCTCCTGTCGGCCATCGAGGCCCTCTCGGCCAGCGCCGGGGCCCACCAGCCGCCCCGCATCTTCGTGCCCCACGGCAAATTCGTCATCGTCACGGCGCACAAGCTGGTGTTCGTGGGCGACACCGTCTCCCGCCTGGCGTCTTCGGCGGCCGTGCGGGCCAGGGTGGGGGCCGCCAGCACGGCGCTGTGCCAAGCCTTGAAGGAAGCAGTCCAGTCGGTCAAGAGCGCCGCTTTGAGCTACCCGTCGCCGCCCGCCGCCAGGAGATGCAGAGTTGCGTGGCGGAGTTGTCACGTCAAGCTCTGGCTTTCACCACCTTGCTGGCCACCTTGGCGCCCTCTTGATCCGGGACTCCGCACGGCTGCCGCTCCACCCTACGGTGGACGATGGGACAGTAGATCTCTCTTTCTTCGGAGGGTGCCTGGCGGGTCCCATCCTGGCCAGTGACGGTCCGGGAATCGGTACCCGTCTTCCGCTTCGGCCCAGCTCATTCATCGGTCAAGACCAGATCCACCACGGCCGATGCATGTGCACCCTGTCGTATCTCAAGGACCTGATCTTGACCTCCTTCCTCACGCCCTTGCCAATCTTCCTAGCCAAAGAACGTCCCTGGTTTTGGCCCTCTCGCCAGCGTCTCTCGAACTCGGGGCCTCATCCGCTGCCGGTTTTCAGCACAGACTCTTTAATCTGGAAGGGCGACCCCGTCATCTACAGAGATGAACAGATTGGGATGGGGGAACCTTCGCTGCTTTCTGGACGCTCCTGATGGTCGAAAGGAGGGGAACGGCATCGGTGTGTCCGGACCATCCCCCCCCAGAGGCTTAACAGGAAACGAGGAAGAAGAAAATGGCTGCCAAACGGGTGTCTCGTTGCCAGCCCCCTGCCGCCCCCTCGGTCCCCTCGATTAGCTGCAATAAACAATATTGTGTCAAGGATTGGCAGGTCAAGCAACATAAAAGGTTATTAACTGAATTGACGAAGCAATTACGATAGTATTTCTCAACCGTGGTCACTTTAATAGGGGGTGGACTTCAACTCCCAGAATTCCTGGCTGGGGAATTCTGGGAGTTGAAGTCCAACCCCTCTTAAAGTGACCACAGTCGAAAAGACTTGAATTAGCAGAGAACGCCTTCAGGATATCAGTAAACGGAGACAAAGTATTTTTTTTTCCCCCTCAGGAAATATTTCTCAGAATCTCTCTAGGTTTGATGATAATAAAATAGATGGAAAATAAAACCGGCTGTGTTTTTAAATTTTTGACACGTTCCTTCCTTCTCCATCCAGCTGTGCAGCTAGTCCTCGACTTATAACCATTTTTAAGGGACCGTTTCGAAGTGACAACGGTTCTGAAAAAAGTGATTTATGACCAGCAGTGGGTTTCGGATTATGTTACTACCGCTTCGTTCATAGGATGACATAGAGCCGAGGGGGGGGGAACGGGCCCACCTGCGATTTCGGCTACCAGTTCGGAGGAACTGGTCCGAAACGGTTGAATACCACCTCTGCTTATGACTGGACCATTGCAGCATCTCTATGGTGATGTAATCAAATTTGGGTGCTTAGCAACCAGCATGTACAAATCACGGTTGCGACATCCTGGGGGGGGTCATGTGATCGCGATTTACCGGCTTTTCCAGCTGACGTCCAACAAGCAGAGTCAATGGGGGAGCTGGATTTGCTTAATGACCATTTGATTCACTTAGTGACTTCAGGGAGTCACTTAAAAACCGTGGCGTAAAATGGGAGTGCGAGTCGTTTAAACAACCAACCTACTTAACAATGGAAATTCTGCTCTCAATTGTGGTCGTAAGTTGAGAACTACCTGTCTGATCCACAGGTCTGACGTTTTTCGTGGGACACCTTTAATTTTATTTTCAACTACCCCGTTTCCCCCAAAATAAGACATCCCCTGATAATAAGCCCAATCGGGCTTTTGAGGGCATGGCAATAAGGCCAAGCGCTTATTTCAGGGTTCAAAAAAATATAAGACAGGGTCTTATTTTCAGGAAAACATGGTAGCTGATAACCTGGTGTTGCCCGGGTTATTTATCCCAATCCTGCCTTTGAGGTGATTATCTGCATTAGCAGGCACCTCCCCCGACAACTTGCCCTCTTTGCTTGAAACTGAGGGCCTAGGGTGTTTGTTGTTTTTTTTAAAGAACCAATCCCCCTTTACCAGAGGGAGCCCCCTTGTGGAGTACTGTGAAGTCGTTACCATGGCAACTCCACTGCCGTACAGTAGAAGCCATTTTAAGGCACAACAGGCTGAATCTTACAGAACTTGAATCCAAAATGCACACTATCACTGTCAAAAGTACTGTGATTTGACACTATAGATATAATTCATTCCTTTTCATTTCAGTGGCCCAGGCGTTCCAGAGTTATGCTGGGATACACACAGAGATACAGATACACAGACACACACTCCCTGAGGGTTGTTAGGGGTGTCTTACCCCCCACAGTATTTTTTTTCCAGAGAGTAAGACATCTGTGTACCAAGTTTAGTTGAAATTGCTCGAGGCGTTCCAGAGTTATGCTGGAACACACACACAAACACACATAGCCATTTTTATATATATGATGATTGGAAGGCAGGTAATCTTTGATTTACAACCTCTCGTGTTCAGGAGTGGTGCGGTGGCCTAGAGGTGGAGCTCTTGCCTCACAATCAGGAGGCTGCGAGCTTGATCCTAGGTAGAGGCAGTTATCTCTCTCTCTCGGCACAATGAGAATATATCTGCTGAATACGGTATAACTCTGCATTGACGACAGGAAGGGTATCCGGCCATTAAATACTCAGCTCCATTCAGTTACCCAGAAGATGATGTAATGATCATTCAAAGTTGGGGGGGGGAAAGGGGTCAACTGTGTTACTAACTCAAGAACTGCAACTGTGGCAAGAAAGGGGCAAAATTTACTTAGCAACTGTCCCGCTGAGCATGAACGTTAGGCACAATTGTGGCCATAAGTCAAGGACTAGCTATATTAGGATATATACATCTTTTAAAGCAGATTTTACAGGCAATGAAAAGAAGTTCGCTGTAGAGACCCCAGCGCTGTGTTTCTCAACATCGGCCCCTTTTAAGATCGGTGGACTTCGACTCCCAGAATTCCCCAGCCAGCAAGACTTCTGGGAGTTGAAGTCCACACCTATTAAAGGGACAGAGGTAAGAAAGAATTGGAGGGGAGTTTAAAATCAGGCATCACTCTGACATGAACCCATTCAGTTGTGCACGAATAGAATAGAGTAGGGTGTCAGACTACGATGCTATCTCAAAATTAAATGAATTTCCAAACTGCCAATCTTTAAGGAAATCTTTCTTTAATTAAGCACAGCCACCGGATCATGACTCCACGCGGACAAGACTGACCTTTTGCCCCCAATCCCTCCCTTTCGATCCCCAAATCTCTGCTTCTCATTGGCTATCTTCCAAGTCATTCTTCAGACTTCTTTTCTCGTCATTTCCCAGGAATGTGCCCCCTCCCCTCATTCCACGACAACCCGACTTCAAAGGGATTTGGCAGGCAAAAGTTTCAGAGTTTATCTCCCGCTCTCCTCTGCTCTCTATGCCAGCGTTGAAACGCTGACATAGGGTAGGAGGATTTTGTTGTTGTTAGTTGCGAAGTCGTGTCCGACCCATCGCGACCCCATGGACTACGTTCCTCCAGGCCTTCCTGTCCTCTACCATCCTCCGGAATCCATTTAAGCTCCCGCCGACTGCTTCGGTGACTCCATCCAGCCACCTCGTTCTCTGCCGTCCCTTCTTCTTTTGCCCTCCATCGTTCCCAGCATGAGGCTCTTCTCCAGTGAGTCCTTCCTTCTCATTAGGTGGTCAAAGGATTTGAGTTTTCTCTTCAGGATCTGGCCTCCTAAAGAGCAGTCAGGGTTGATCTCCTCTAGGACCGACCGGTTGGATCGCCTTGCAGTCCAAGGGACTCGCAGGAGTCTTCTCCAGCACCAGAATTCAAAGGCCTCCATTCTCTGGCGCTCAACCTTTCTTATGGTCCAACTTTCACAGCCAGACATTGCAACTGGGAAAAACCGTATCGCCTTGACTATACGGCACTTTTATTGGCTGGGTGATGTCTCTGCTTTTTAGGATGCTGTCTAACTTTGCCATAACTTTCCTCCCCAGGAGCAAGCGTCTTTTAATTTCTTGGCTGCAGTCCCCATCTGCGGTGATCTTGGAGCCCAGGAAAATAACATCTGTCACTACCTCCATTTCTTCCCCATCTATTTGCCAGGAATTGAGGGGGTCGGGTGCCATGATCTTAGCTTTCTTAAGGTTGAGTACCAAGCCAACATTTGCATTCTTCTCCTTTACCCGCATCAAGAGGCTCTTTAGTTCCTCTTCACTTTCTGCCATTAGAGAATTCGAATAGAATAGAATAAATAGAATAAGAATAGAATAAATAAAATAGGCTAGGCTAGGCAATATGCAGTGGAATGGAATGGAATGGAATGGAATGGAATGGAATGGAATGGAATGGAATAGAATAGAATAGAATAGAATAGAATAGAATAGAATAGAATAGAATAGAATAGAAAATAAAATAAAATAAAATATGGAGTGGAATGGAATGGAATGGAATGGAATAGAATAGAATAGAATAGAATAAAATATGGAATGGAATGGAATAGAATAGAATAGAATAGAATAGAATAGAATAGAATAGAATAGAATAGAAAATATGGAATAGAATAGAATAGAATAGAATAGAATAGAAAATAAAATATGGAATGGAATGGAATGGAATGGAATGGAATGGAATATAATAGAATATATGGAGTAGAATAGAATAGAATAGAATAGAATAGAAAATAAAATAAAAATGGAGAATAGAATAGAATAGAATAGAATAGAAATAGAATAGAATAGAATAGAATAGAATAGAAAATAAAATATGGAATAGAATAGAATAGAATAGAATAGAATAGAAAATAAAATAAAATATGGAATGGAATGGAATATAATAGAATATATGGAGTAGAATAGAATAGAATAGAATAGAAAATAAAATAAAAATGGAATAGAATAGAATAGAATAGAATATATGGAGTGGAATAGAATAGAATAGAATAGAATAGAAAATAAAATAAAATATGGAATGGAATGGAATGGAATATATGGAGTGGAATAGAATAGAAAATATGGAGTGGAATAGAATAGAATAGAATATGGAATGGAATGGGATAGGATAGGATAGGATAGGATAGGATAGGATAGGATAGGATAGGATAGGATAGGATAGGATAGAATAGAATAGAATAGAATAGAATAGAACAGAAAATAAAATAAAATATGGAATGGAATAGAATGGAATGGAATGGAATGGAATGGAATGGAATGGAATATATGGAGTGGAATAGAATAGAATAGAATAGAATAGAATAGAAAATAAAAATGGAATAGAATAGAATAGAATAGAATAGAATAGAATAGAAAATAAAATATGGAATGGAATGGAATGGAATGGAATATAATAGAATATATGGAGTAGAATAGAATAGAATAGAATAGAATAGAAAATAAAATAAAATAAAATATGGAGTGGAATGGAATGGAATGCAATAGAATAGAATAGAATAAAATATGGAATGGAATGGAATGGAATGGAATGGAATAGAATAGAATAGAATAGAATATATGGAGTGGAATAGAATAGAATAGAATATGGAATGGAATGGGATAGGATAGGATAGGATAGGATAGGATAGGATAGGATAGGATAGAATAGAATAGAATAGAACAGAACAGAACAGAACAGAACAGAACAGAACAGAACAGAAAATAAAATAAAATAAAATAAAATAAAATAAAATATGGAATGGAATGGAATATATGGAGTGGAATAGAATAGAATAGAATAGAATAGAATAGAATAGAATAGAATAGAATAGAAAATATGGAGTGGAATAGAATAGAATAGAATAAAATAAAATATGGAATGGAATGGAATGGAATGGAATAGACTAGAGTAAAATAGAAAATATGGAACAAAACAGAACAGAACAGAACAATAACAACTTTACTGTCCCTTCGAATGCCAGAGGGATCAGCATAGATATTCAGATGCAATTTCGTCGCCCCCCCCCCCCCAGCTCTCAAAACGGGTCACGCCGCCTCCCATCTATATATATATACACCCGACGCCAATACCGCCTAAGAAATCAATCACAAAAGCACGTCCAGCCAATCAAATCAACTCAGCCCAAAAAAAAAAAAAAAAAAAAAAATCAGCCCCCAAGATTTTAAATTCCCACCTTCGGATCCGGATTGGCCAAGACTGCTTGCGGCCCGGACTCTTCTGAACTACATCTCCCGGCATGCCTTCCTTCCTCTTTAACCCCACCCACCCCTCCAATAAATAAATAAATAAATAAATAAATAAATAAATAAATAAATAAATAAATAAAACCACCCAAAAAGCCCATTGCGGAAGGCTCCCTCCGACCAGCGATCCCCCCACCCCGGGAGCAGCTCGGGCAGCCGCTGCGCCCGATCCTAAAAGTCTCCAAGCTCCCTGCGCGAAAGCTTAGGATCGCGCGCAAGGGGTTTTTTTTTTTTTTTTTTTAGTTCCTTCCCCAGCCATCCACCCACGCCTGCTCCCTTGGAGGGGCTGCTGCTGCTGCTACTGCGACGCCCCCCTCCCCAAATCCCCGACGCTTCCGATTGCACTTAAAAGAGGGTAAATTTGCAGCGGGCGCCAGGTTGCAGATCGTGGGTCGCGAAAGGAAGCCTCCCGGAGGCCGTTGCGTCGGGCTGGGGGCGGCGGCTCCGGGTGGAGGAAGAGGCGGCCTCGGGGCGGGGACTGCCGGCTTGCTCGGCCTCAACCTCCCGGGCGGTGGAGGCTGGGCTTTGGGGTGTCTTGCAGCCGTCGGTGGGCGCCCGCTTGGCGTTTGGTGAGTTGAGGATCGCCAGGCTGGGCTTCTCCCCCCCCCCCTTTAAAAAAAGAAAGAAAGAAAGAAACAGCCTGGTCGGGAAAAGGGATCGGGTTGAACGCTGCTTTTGTCTCTTTTTCCCTGCTTTCCGGCCTTTCTTCCTCAGCCTGGCCCACTACAAAGCCCATCTGCCTGCCTTAGGGCCCCTCCCTTGTGGCCGGCTTCCTGGGTGGATTGGGGTTGCGAGGCCTGGCTGGCCATTTCCCCCCCCCCCCCCCCCCCCCCCCCCCCCCCCATGCAGGGCAACCCCCCCCCCCCCCCCCCCGCATTCCCTCCGCATGCAAGGCCTGGTATTTCCCCCCGGATGGATTGCAAAGCCTAGCATCCCCAGCCAGCATTCCCCAAATGCAATGCCTAGAATCCCTGGATGGATTGCAAAGTCTAGCATCCCCAGTTGCAAGGCCTGGCGTTTCCCGGATGGATTGCAAAGCCTAGCATCCACAGCCAGCTTCCCCAGATGCAAATGCCTAGAATCCCCCAGATGGATTACAATGCCTAGCATCCCCAGTTGCAAGGCCTGGCATCCCCCGGATGGATTGCAAAACCTAGAATCCACAGCCAGCTTCCCCAGATGCAAGGCCTAGCATCCCCCCCCCAGATGGATTGCAAAGCCTAGCATCCACAGCCAGCATTCCCTCCGCATGCAAGGCCTAGAATCCCCCGGATGGATTGCAAAACCTAGTATCCCCAGCCAGCTTCCCCAAATGCAATGCCTAGAATCCCTGGATGGATTACAATGCCTAGCATCCCCAGTTGCAAGTTCTGGCATTTCCCAGATGGATTGCAAAGCCTAGAATCCACAGCCAGCTTCCCCAGATACAAGGCCTACCATCCCCCCCCCCCCCCCCCCCCCCCCCGATGCATCCCCCCCCCTCCCCCCCCCCCCCGATGGATTGCAAAGCCTAGAATCCACAGCCAGCCCCGGGGACCCTTCCTCCAAATGCAGTGTGTGGGTGCCAGGGTGGTCTCCGAGGGAGGGGCGATGGTTTGGGTCCAAATGGTTGTCCGAAGGATCTGACCTGTTAAATTCCTGACACTCATGAATCTGGCCATACGGACTGTGCGGTTGGGACCCCTTGACCGAGGGGAAATGGCGCCCCCATGCTGCTGATTGTGAGAATTGCAGGGCAACCTACTTGTCTGGCCTCCCACAGTCACCTTTCCTCTCCCCATATGCCAAGATTCTTGGTTTATTTTAACCTGAGTTCGGTATTTCTGTAACAAGTAGTCCTCGACTTACGACCGCAACGGAGCCCCGAATTTATATTGCTGTGGGAGACCGGGAAGTGAGTTTTTGCCCCGTTTTGCGACTTTTTCTCATATTTGTGAAGTTGATCGCTGCAGCTGTTAAGCGAGTCGCATGGTCGTTAAGTGAATCCGGCTTGTCCGAAGGTCGCAAAAGGGGATCCGGCGACCGTCATAAATATGAACCACTTGTCAAGCATCCAAATGTAATTGCCTCTGTCTCTTAGCAATTTGCCTCCTTGCAGCAAACAGCAGCCTGCTTCAGTTTCAGTTTCAGTTTCTGCACAGCCTGATTAGCACAAGGGAAAAAAAATCTGCCTCCTTGCAGCAAACAGCCCGTTTCAGCTTCAGCTTCAGCACAGCCTGATTAGCACAAGCAGCTGATTGTCGGTTGGATGGGGATGGGGATGCTGCAGTGGTCATGAGTCATAAGTCACTTTTGTCAAGGCCGTTGTAACGTTGAACGGTCGCTAAAATGAACTGTTGTAAGTCGAGGACTATTTGTATTGGGCGTAGTGAGGTATCACATCATCTGTGAAGTTTTGCTGGGGTTCAGAAATCAAGGCAAGGCTGTTTACAGATGCAGCCGTTCATTTAAAGCAGTGCTGGCCCCTTTAAGACAGGTGGACTTCAACTCCCAGAATTCTCCAGCCGTGAGGAATTCTGGGAGTTGAAGTCCACCCGTCTTAAAGGGGCCACGTTTCAAAAAAAATACTCATTTAAACCCTTCTTTTTTTTCCCCTCTCCATTTTCTCTCTTGTACGTCTTCCTTATTGCCTTATTTGTTCCATTTTTCCCCTTCCGCAGACGCTTCCCATGGACACCAGCCCCCCGATCCCAGATCCCGGGGGTCCCCGAAGGGATTTTAGCACCTCGGCTTCGGAGGTGGGCCCTCCCTCCTTTGAATGGCTGCTGGGGCGCCTGGGGGCCCGGGGCCAACGTCGGCAGCGCCTTCTGCTGGCTCTCAGCTGTCTCCCCTGTGTCCTCGTGGGTTTGGCCTTGGGTTCGGATGCCCTCTTCGCTCTCACCCCTCTGCATCGCTGCGGGGACCCCAACGGCACCAAGCTGCCCGATAATGCCACCTGTCATGGCCCCCACGGTCAAAGTGGGGAGTCTGGGGGACTCCCCATCCTTACCAGCAATCCAGTGACGGAGGTGAGTATCTCCACCACTTCGTTTTCCTGATGTAATCATCTTTTAATGACCCCATAATTCCTTGCGGGATGGAGTCTGGGCAACTAAATAGAGCTGAGTGTTTACTGGCCGGATGCCCTTCCTGTCACCAGTGCTGAGTTTTGTTCAACAGATATATTCTCATTGTAATCATTTATGCAAAAGACTTCAAAAATGCAGAGAAATGCGACCTAGGAAATAGATAAGGGGCAGCCTAATCCCAGAGCTGCACAATGGGTAAAGAAAGAGAAAGAAGAACCTTCAGGCTTTAAAAGAGATGGTGGGAGATTGAAACAGGTAGTCCTGGACTTACAACTGTTCATTTAGCGACCGAAATTACAATGACGCTGAAAAAAAAGTGACTTATGTGCGTTTTTCACACTTAACAACCGTCGCAACATCCCTATGGTCATGTCATCAAAATTGCGACACTGGGCAGCTGACTCATACTTATGACGGTCGTGGTGTCCCGGAGGTCACGTGATCCCCTTTTGCGACCTTCTGACAAGCAAAGTCAAGGGGGAAGCCAGATTCACTTAATAACAATGCAGAACGCAGAACAACTGCAGTGATTCACTTAACAACGGTGGCAAGACAGGTCGTAAAATGAGGCAAAACTCAACTGTCTTGCTTAGCGATGGAAATTTGGGACTCCATTGTGGTCATAAGTCGAGGATTACCTGTATAGATAATCCTCGATTTATGACTGTTTGTTTAACAATTGTTCGGCGCCAACAGAAGTGACTTACAACAAGTCTTCGTACTTACAACTGTGGCAGCATCCCACAGTCACGTGATCTTGCCTAGCAACGGAATTTTTCTCAGCTGAATTGTGGTCATAAGTTGAGCACTTACTTTCACGCTCGCCGTTAATGTAGCCTTACGATAAAGTAGAATTCTATTACCGTAGCTTTACAATAAAGTAGAATTGTGAATTTATGTGGAACTAGCTGGACGCCCGTGCTTCGCTACGAAACTATGTGCTCGGGCTTGATAAATTGACACTTACAACCTGAAACTTAATGTAGAATGTGTAACTCCGTAGCATCAGAGTGTGCTAACATAATGCAACTGGCAGTTGGAACAGAGAGGGAGGGGGAGTAGAATGTCCCAGCCCGCAGCATCCATTGGTATTCATCTGGCTAGCATCCTGTCCGTGTGAGAGAGTTGAGGGGTGTTTGGAAACTCAAACAGTATTTGCTGTGAGCAAGAAGAAGGCTGGGCGTGGCTTAGCTCAACTATTCTGTAGTAAAGTTGCTTGCTGCTGTGAAAGTAAAACTGAAAGTGAAACTCCTCTCCTCTGCTTGTGTTTTGCATTTGGAATAGATTTCTTTTGAGATGGGGAGGGGCAGAGCGTGGAACAGATTTTTTTCCAGGTGGGAAGGGGGAGTAGAATTCCTTAGCATCAGAGCATGTTAATCATAATATAGAAATACTAATGCTCTGATGGTCATTTCAAAAAATCCTTTCTTAGCGAGCACCTAGAAGCCAAGAGGAACCTACATGGCAAAATTCAAGCTTGTAGGCTTTACGGTTCTGGAGATTTCATGATTACGGCGTGAGCGGTTTGCGCTTTTATATATATCGATTATGAAGTACAAGTTAATAAAAGTGAATAAAAAAATTGTAATCTATTTTGCTTTTAAGTGTTTTATGCGGTTCCGAGTTGCAGAGATCGGAGGCCACCGAGGAAAATAAAAAATGTCAAAAATGCTGTGAGAATGTTTAAAAAAGTGATTTGCAGAGGGTGCGACTGGAAACGTGTTAAAACACAGATTATGGATTGTTTGCGAAGTTGTTTAAACTGCGTCGAGGCGGCTTCTTGGCCTAACAATGGAGAAACCGGGCATTGTTTTTCTCTACAAACAAAAAGAAAAAAAGTTACAGCAATTTCTAAAAGGGATCAGCAAGAGATTTTCTTTGGATTTTATTCGAGACGTGGCCGGGAAGCCCATTTAGGAAACGCGGTGTAGCTTTTTGGGAATTGGGGAAACCGGATTTTTAAATCTCCGGAAAGAGAAATTTTATTGCTTGCTTCTAATTTTTTAAGGGAAAAAAAAACCAAACATTTAAAACGAATAGACTCGAGTTACGGACGTTTTTTTTTTTCATAATTTAAGAGACCTGAAATTTGAGTTCTGAACGTGGCAAAAGAAAGATAGGACAAAAAGAAAGCATACGTGGGAATAAATGGAACGCTTAATGAATTCGCATGGTTCTTGACATACGACCACCACGGAGCCCCAAATTTGCTAAAGGAAACGGTGGCTCAGTGAGTTTTGCCCCATTTTACGACCTTTCTCGCCACCGTTGTTAAGCGAATGGCTGCAGGGGTTACGTTCAGGGGTGGGATTCAGCCGGTTCGGGCAAAACGGATGTTAATTTTAATCTGGTTCGCCGAACCGGTTGATCCAAGGACTGGCTGACCCTCCCCACCCCTCCCAGGAGTCTCCACATGGCTTGGTAAGTGCAGGGCACGAACGGAGGCTCTGGTAGGGCGAAAAATGGGCCTAATGGAAGTCTGGAAACGGCCCAATTTCCAGCCTCCAGAGGGCCTCCAGTGCCCGGGGGAGGCCGTTTTCACCCTCCTGGAGGCTCCAAGAAAGCCTCCGGAGCCTGGGGAGGGCAAAAATGCCCCCCCCACACACACCATGGTGCAGGAGGCCGAGTAGGCCACACACCCACCCAACAACTGGGTAGCGAACCGGCTGCTGAAATTTTTCAATCCCACCCCTGGTTACGTTAGTCGCTTGGTTGTTAAGTGAATCTGCTTTCCCCTTTGACTTTGCTCATCCGAAGGTCGCAGAAGGGGAATCGCGTGACCCCCGCCCCAAAGGGGGCTCTGCGACCGTCATAACTACGAGTCGGTTGCCTCTGAATTTTGATCACGCGACCGGGGGGGGGATGGGAATGCTACAAGGGCCGTAAGCGTGAAAAATGGTCATAAGTCACTTTTTTCAGGGCCGTTGTGACTCTGAACGGACACTAAGCGAACTGTTGTAAGCCGAGGACTACGGTAGTTCGACGCTAAGCCAGGAGTGTGAGCCAGTGATGGGCTGCAGCTGCCCCCAAAAAAGCCAATGCAAGTTTAGGCTGTGTTAACAGAGGGATAGAAAGAACCAAGCCATAGAAATTTTCAGCTCCACTACGGTCATAAGTCGAGGACTACCTGCAACTCAGAGGTAGTAAACACAAGGACCGATCCCTAAGTTGCTTTTTCCAGCGCTGTTGTAACCTCAAATGGGTTGTAAGCCGAGGACTGCAAAGATGCAACAGTCTGGAAAGATGGAACCACATTCCTTCCAATATCAGATTTAAATTAAGGCATTTATTCCTTCTGAGGCGTGAATGAAGGAATTTGTATTTTTTATTTTTTTCTCCACAGTGGTCCCTGGATCATTCCGGCAGCTGGGTGATCCCTCTGGAGCAGATCTGTTTCCTCCTGGGCTTCGCTGCAGGAGCCGTTTTCCTGGGTCACCTGGCGGACAGGTAAGTTGGAAGGTTGGGACACGGGAGTTTTTCGTTTTGCCAACTAAATGGGGTATCTATTTATGGTTTTCATAGTTTTTTTTATTGGTTATTATTATTTATTTTTTTACGGATTGCAAGCCATCTAGGGGCACCTCCAGATGGGTGGCATATAAAATAAATGAATGAATGACGGAAGGAAGGAAAGAAGGAAGGAAAGAAAGGGAGGGAGGAAGGAAGGAAGGGAGGGAGGGAGGAAAAAATAAGCAAGAAAGACGGAAGGAAAGTGAAAAGGAACAAAAAAGCAAGAAAGGGAGGAAGGAAAGAAAGAAAGCGAGAAAAGGAAAGAAAGATGGAAGGAAGGAAGGAAAGAGAAAAAAGAAGGAAGGAAGGAAAAAGAAAAGGAACAAAGAAAGGGAGGAAGGTTTACAGAATATATTAACTTCAGTCAAGATATACAAATAAAAAATAAAATCTACACTAATCTTATCCTTTTTTTATTCTATTATTCTATTAAATAAAAAAATAAATAAAAAATAAAAAGAAGGGAGGAAGGAAAGGAACAAAGACGGAAGGAAGGAAAGAAAAAAGGAAGGAAAAAGAAAAGGAACAAAAAAGCAAGAAAGGGAGAAAGGAAAGAAAGAAAGGGAAGAAAGAAAAATGGAAGGAAGGAAGGAAAGAAAAAAGGAAGGAAGGAAAAAGAAAAGGAACAAAGAAAGGGAGGAAAGAAAGAAAAGGAAGAAAGACGGAAGGAAGGAAAGAGAAAAGGAACAAAAAAGCAAGAAAGGGAGGAAAGAAAGAAAGAAAATAAGAAAAGGAAGAAAGAAAGATGGAAGGAAGGAAGGAAGGAAGGAAAGAGAAAAGGAACAAAGAAAGGGAGGAAGGTTTACAGAATATATTAACTTCAGTCAAGATATACAAATAAAAAATAAAATCTACACTGACCTTATCCTTTTTTATTCTATTATTCTATTAAATAAAAAAATAAAAAAAAACAAAAGAAAGGGAGGAAGGAAAGAAAAGGAAGAAAGATGGAAGGAAGAAAAGAAAAAAGGAAAAAGAAAAGGAACAAAAAGCAAGAATGGGAGAAAGGAAAGAAAGAAAGAGAAAGGGAAGAAAGAAAAATGGAAGGAAGGAAGGAAAAAAAGGAAGGAAAAAGAAAAGGAACAAAGAAAGGGAGGAAAGAAAGAAAAGGAAGAAAGATGGAAGGAAGAAAAGAAAAAAGAAGGAAGGAAAAAGAAAAGCAAGAAAGGGAGAAAGGAAAGAAAGAAAGAAAGGGAAGAAAGAAAGATGGAAGGAAGGAAGGAAAAAGAAAAGGAACAAAGAAAGGGAGGAAGGAAAGAAAAGGAAGAAAGACAGAAGGAAGAAAAGAGAAAAAAAGGAAGGAAAAAGAAAAGGAACAAAACAAGAAAGGGAGAAAGGAAAGAAAGAAAGCGAGAAAAGGAAGAAAGATGGAAGGAAGGAAGGAAAGAGAAAAAAGGGAAGGAAGGAAGGAAAAAAGAACAAAGAAAGGGAGGAAGGAAGAAAGAAAAAAAGAAAGGAAGGAAAAGAAAAACAAAAAAGCAAGAAAGGGAGAAAGAAAAGAAAGAAAGAAAAGGAAGAAAGAAAGATGGAAGGAAGGAAGGAAAGAAAAAAGGGAAGGAAGGAAGGAAAAAAGGAACAAAGAAAGGGAGGAAGGAAAGAAAAGGAAGAAAAGAGAAAAAAGGAAGGAAAAAAAAGAAACAAAAAAAGAAAGGGAGAAAGGAAAGGAAGAAAGATAGTGAGAAAAGGAAGAAAGAAAGACGGAAGGAAGGAAAGTGAAAAAAGAAAGGAAAGGAAGGAAGGAAAGAGAAAAATGGAAGGGAAGAAAGAAAGAAGGAAAACTCAAGTATAGGTAGTCCACCCACTTACAACAGTTTGTTTAGTGGCCGTGCAGAGTTACAGCAGCACTGAAGAAGGTGACTTACGACCGTTTTTCACACTCACGACCGTTGCAGGTCACGTGATCAAAATGCAGACGCTTGGCAACTGACTCGTATTTATGACGGCCGCAGCGTTCCAGCATCACGTGATCCTCCTTTAGCGACGTTTTGACAAGCAAAGGGGCAGCCAGATTCACTTAACAACCATGTTGCTAACTTGACCACTGCAGTGGTTTGCTTAGCAACGGCGGCAAGAAACGTCGTAATATGGGGCAAGATGCACCTTAACAAATGTCTCGCTTGGCGATGGGAACTTTTAGGCTTCGTGGTGGTCGTAAGTCGAGGACTGCTAGCCCTCCACTTAGAAACATTTGTTTTAACGATTCTTTGGCGCTGTAAAAAGGCACTTCCAACCAGTCTTCACACTTATGACCGCTGTGGGTCACGTGATCGCCATTTGTGACCTTCCCAGCCGGCTCCTGAAACACTGTCATTGGGGGGGGGGGGAAGCCAGATTCGCTTAACAACTGTGTTACTTACTTAACAACAGCTGTGATTCACTTAACAACGATGGCAAGATAGGTCGCAAAACTGATGTACAAAACCACTTGCGATCAACAATGCGTTTTAACCACCGTTTTGCGAAAAAGGGGGCGAAATCTGGCATGCCTCGCTTAACAAACTGCCTAGTTTGGTCGTACGTCGAGGACTGCCCTGTAATCTCTCCATTTCCGTTGCTCTTGTTACAGCGTAGGGCGACGGAGTACCTTCCTCCTGGCTCTGGCTCTCGGCTGCCCAGCGGGCATCCTGGCAGCCTTCGCGTCTTCCCCCTCCGTCTTCATACTAGGCCGGTGCCTGTGGGGCACGATGCTGGGCGCCATGCAACTCGCCCTCTACATTACCCGTAAGTACCACATCGTCCCCAAAACTTTGATTTCTTTGGACTGCTGGAAGAGACCCACAAGAGTGGCTTATGAACTGAAGCGTTGGCTGTAAATACATTTTAAAAGATGGCAAGGCCTGAAGCCCAGGGTTGAAATGCTACCGGTTCAGGCCAGTTCGCCTGAACCACTAGTAAAAAATGCTTCCGGTTCGCTGAACTGGTAGTAAAAAATGCTTCCTGTTCACTGAAGTGGTAGTAAAAAAATGCTTCTGGTTCGCTGAACTGGTAGTAAAAAATGCTTCCGGTTCGCTGAAGTGGTAGTAAAAAATGCTTCCGGTTCGCCGAATCCGTAGTAAAATAATGCTTCTGGTTTGCTGAATCCGTAGTAAAAAAATGCTTTCGATTCGCCGAACCGATAGTAAAAAATGCTTCCGGTTTGCTGAACCGGTGGTAAAAAATGCTTCCGGTTCACTGAAGTGGTAGTAAAAAATGCTTCCGGTTCACCGAATCCGTAGGTAAAAATGCTTCCGATTCACCGAATCCGTAGGTAAAAATGCTTCCGATTCACCGAATCCGTAGTAAAAAATGCTTCCAGTTTGCCGAATCGATAGTAAAAAATGCTTCCGGTTCGCTGAAGTGCTAGTAAAAAATGCTTGAGGTTCACCGAATCCGTAGTAAAAAATGCTTCCGATTCGCCGAATCAGTAGTAAAAAATGCTTCTGGTTCGCTGAACTGGTAGTAAAAAATGCTTCCGGTTTGCTGAACTGATAGTAAAAAATGCTTATAGACATAACCAGTTCCTGCAGCCGTTCTTCATAAGTTTTAGCCTCCAGTCCCCTCATCATCTTTGTCAAATCTAGTATGTCAAATCTAGTGAAAAGAAGAACTTAGGGGAAACATGATGGCAGTGTTCCAATATTTGAGGTGCTGCCCCAAAGAAGAGGGAGTCAAGCTATTCTCCAAAGCACCTGAAGGCAGGACAAGAAGCAACCTGGAATGAAGGAGGAACTTCCTAACAGGGAGGACAATTAACCAGTGGAACAGCTTGCCACCAGAAGTTATGGGTTCTCCCATCACTGGAGATTTTTAAGGACTATTTGTCCAGTGTGATATAGGGTCTTCTCGAGCAGGAGGTTGGACTAGAAGACCTCCAAGGGTCCCTCCAACTCTGGTATTCTGGATTGTCCAATCTCGAAATAAGTCGGACTTTGAAATGCAGTGATTCCAAAATTAATCCAAGCTTGCAACGTGGATGTTTTACAGGCCATAAATTCAGGGAGGTTTGAGAAATGCTTCTTCAGGCATGGATTACAAACCCCATCATACCCTGCCCTTATTCTTAAACTTGGAGAAGCACTTAACGGCTTGTTGCCTTTACAAAATTTGCATCCTGGACTTCGAGCTAATTTTCTCAAAGGCTGTATGTGGTTTTTCTTTTTGTTTTTTTGCTTGCTTAATTAATATAATTATGTTAATTTTCATTCCTTTTCATTAAGACGGATAATATTATATGTCCTGGGGCCTGCCTTGAAAATAACTGAAATTAAATAAAAGACAAAATAGAGAGGAAAAAAAAATTAGGTAGTCTTCCACTTAGGACCATAATGAAGGCCAAAATTATCGTCGTAAGTCATGCCGGTCATTAAATGAGCATTTCTTAGTACCAATTCGGCAAACCGGAAGCATTTTTTACTACGGATTCGGTGAACCGGAAGCATTTTTTACTATGGATTCGGCGAACCGGAAGCATTTTTTACTACGGATTCGGCGAACCGGAAGCATTTTTTACTAGTGGTTCAGGCGAACTGGCCCGAACCGGTAGTGATCAAGTTGATTTTATGACTTTTTTTTTTTTTTTTGCAGTGTTTGTTAAGCGAATCGTGGTTCTTAAAGTGAACATTACAATTAAATATGCCTTGTCCATATTTTTTTTTTTTTCCTGGAAAATGACCCAAGGAATTCTGGGGGTTGGAAGTCCACACATCTTAAAATTGCCAACTTTGGAGAATGCTGCTCTAAATTTTCAGCTATAATTTGGATTACAGATAGTCCTCGATTTACAACGGTTCCATTTAGCGACCGTTCAAAGTTACCGCGGCCCTGGAAAAAAAAGTGACCTGTGACCATTTTTCACACTTAACGACCGTGGTCCCGTGATTTACATTTGGAGGCTTGACCACGGACTCATGTTTGTGACATTTGCAATGTCCCGGAGTGAAATGTTCCCGTTTTGCGAACTTCTGACTAGCAGAGTTAATCGGGAAACTAGATTCACTTAACAACCGTGTTACTAAATTACGGACTGCAGTGATTCTCTTAACAAATGTGGCAGGAAAAGTCGTAAAATGGGGCAAAACTGACTTTTTAAATTTCCCGCAGCGACAGGACAGGACACAGGACAGGACAGGACAAAAACAGGGTTGGAAGGTACCGTGGAGGTCCTCTAGTCCAACCCCCTGCAGAATGGAATGGAATGGAATAGAATAATAGAATAGAGGGATAGGATAGAATATAGAAATACAATAGAATATAGAAAGAATAGAAATAGAATAGATTAGAATTAGAATAGAATAGAATAGAATAGAATAGAAAATATGGAATGGAAGAGAGAATGAGAGAGGAGAGGAGAGGAGAGAGGAAATATGGGATAGGATAGGATAGAATAGAATAGGGTAGGGTAGGATAAAGAAATAGAATATAGAAAGAATAGAATAGAATATAGAAAGAATAGAATAGAATAGAATAGAATAGAATAGAATAGGAAAGGGTAGGGTAGGGTAGGGTAGGGTAGGATAAAGAAATAGAATAGAATATGGAAATAATAAAATAGAATATAGGAATAGAATAGAATATAGAAAAAAGAATAGAATAGAGGAATAGGATAGGATAGAATATTGGAATGAAATAGGAATAGGGTAGGGTAGGGTAGGATAAAGAAATAGAATAGAGTATAGAAAGAATAGAATAGAATAGAATATAGAAAAAAGAATAGAATAGAGGGATAGGATAGGATAGAATATTGGAATGAAATAGGAATAGAATAGAGTAGAGTAGAGTAGGGTAGAGTAGGGTAGGATAAAGAAATAGAATAGAGTATAGAAAAGAATAGAATAGAATAGGAAAGGGTAGGGTAGGGTAGGGTAGGATAGGATAAAGAAATAGAATAGAATATAGAAATAATAAAATAGAATATAGGAATAGAATAGAATATAGAAAGAATAGAATAGAGGGATAGGATAGGATAGAATATTGGAATGAAATAGGAATAGAATAGAGTAGGGTAGGGTAGGGTAGGGTAGGGTAGGGTAGGGTAGGATAAAGAAATAGAATAGAATATAGAAAGAATAGAATATAGGAATAGAATAGAAATAGAATAGAATAAAATAGAATAGTGTGTCTTATACTACAGTGCGACTTATACTCCGAAAAAATACGGTATATATAAATATATATTGATTGTGCTACATTATGGTCATACGGTGAGGACTTGTACCTGTATCCCGCCTCTTAAGTTACAATGTCCCGCCTGCCTTCTGTCCTTCCCTAGGTTTGGAGTTGTGTTGTCCTTCGCAACGGCTACCGGTAGCCATGGCGGGAGACCTCGTCCAGGTGGGAGGACGGTTCCTCCTCCTGGGTCTGGCGTGGGTCTGCGGCAGTTGGCGAGTTCTGCAAGGGGTGATCTCAGCCGGAATGGGGGTTTGCCTGCTGTACGGGTAAGTTGGCTTCCCTTTCTCCAAACTGGGTCAAGCAATGTTGAGGAAGGGGGGATGCCAGAACCATTCAAAGGAGAGAAATGGCCACTCAGCCCCAGGAAAGGGTGAGAAGGAAAATCAATATCACACCATCTTGATGCTCTTCCCCATCCAGCTTTGGGAATCTAAAGACAAAAAAAAAATTTCGGGTGAAAATACAAACACAGTTAGAGAAAAACGATAAAGCAACATATATTTAAAAGCCAGAAATATTTTTGTTAGGTATATTGCCGGAAAAATATGACAAAGGGAATATATATATATTTAATACTACATGTCTTGACCGCAGCGAGAATTGTATTTGCGCAGTACTTGAAAAATGAGGAAACTTCTACAAATGACAAAATTATTTTAAAAAAAACACTAGATTGCGCAGAAATGGATGGATTAACATTAAAGATAAAGATAAAGAAGATACAGAATATTTTTCAACATGGGATTGGTTCTATCAATGGTTAGATAATAGAGGCAGAAATTAGAAATTGAAAGATTATTACTGTGTATCACCATCATCATTTAACGACCCCATAATCCCTTGCGGGGGTGGAGTCTGGGCAACTGAATGGAGCAGAGTGTTTTAATATTTTACTGGCCGGATGCCCTTCCTGTTGCCAATGAAGAGTTTTGTTCAGCAGATATATTCTCATTGTGCCCAGAGAGAGAAATATCTGCCTCTACCTAGGATCGAACTCACAGCCCTCTTGATTGTGAGGCGAGAGCTCCACTTCTAGGCCACCGCACAACTCTAAAGATTATTACTATGTATAAGTAAATAATATTATTTCACTATTATATATAAAGTGTTTTTTTCTGTCAAAACATCTGGTCTACCCCAATATGGGAACAGGGCCTATGCTGCCTGGTGAGAGACTTATATAGATCTATTTCTGGCTCGTTAGCCATCACCAGTAAGCCACACCCACATCTCATGTATCCTCCCTGTAAAGGTACAATATCTATTTTCTTACTCTTCGTAGGTTTTATGTGTGTTTTTCCACATAAAACACACATAAAACACATAAAACCTATGAAGAGTAAGAAAATAGATATTGTACCTTTACTGGGAGGATACATGAGATGTGGGTGTGGCTTACTGATGATGGCTAACGAGCCAGAAATAGATCTATATAAGTCTCTCACCAGGCAGCATAGGGCCTGCTGGCTGCCAGAAGAAAAAAAGCCCAGAATCGAGTGGATGTGACTCCACTGAGCTAGGGCTGCAGAAAAATCTTGGTTATGTAGGAAAAACCTGGCTAAAAGAAAAACACATATATAATATATTATATATATATATATATAAAAACACTGGGAATCCGGCATGATGCAGTTCAGTGGTGAGAATTACAACTCCAACAGTTCGCTTACTGACTGTCGAAAGTTACGACGGTACTGAAAAAAGTGACTTATGACCGTTTTTCATATTTAATGACTGTTGCAGCATCCCCACAATCAGGTGATTCATATTCAGATTTGGTGCTCAATGGTGGTCATAAGTCGAGGACACGTGGTGGAGAGGAAAATCCCTTATAAAACCAAGGAGATGCAAATTAAAAAACGCATAGCAACTAAAGTATTGAAGAGGGCAAGAGACGATGGATAGATGATTTCTCTTCTTTGTTGTTCTGATTTGCTTTTTCTTTTCTCGCTCTTTTTTTTCTTTTTTTTTGTTAAGGTAGGTGACACGACTAGAAGGTTAGGTAGGATAGAAATAAAATGTGTTTCAGTAAAAGGTGACATGATTAAAAGTTAGAATAAGTGATAGAAATAAGAGAAGGGGGAATGTTAGGGTAGACTTTTTTATATAATAAAATAAAAGTAACAGTAAGAGAAAACATGGAATAAGTGAATGATGACAGATTGCAGCTTATTATAATTGTGTATCGTTATTAGAAATTCATAAGTTGATTGAATGTAATAACTACGACTGATTTTACTAGTTTTATTTGCATTAGAATGCAAGGCCCTCAGGTGCCACGCTGTTCACACATTGATGTGACATTTATTTTTATTTATTTATTTTATTTGTATACCGCCCATCTCCAACAGGACTCAGGGCAGTGAACAGCCACGGTAAAAACACAACATATAAAATTTAAAAACAGTTTAAAAAACATTAAATAATTTTGGCCATCAATTTAAAATAACCCAATTAAAACCAATTATGAATTTAAAACTGTAAGGATGGGGTCAAGCCAGCCCGGCTAGATGGAATAGATGTGTTTTCAGGGCCCGACGAAAAGTCCGGAGGTCTGGTAAATACCCCGGCCCTAAGCCATGGAGCTCTTTAAAGGTGGTCACCAACACCTTGAAGCGCACCCGGAAGACCACAGGAAGCCAGTGCAGCTCGCGCAGGAGAAATGTCACATGGGAGCGCCCCGTCGCTCCCATAATCCCCCGCGCGGCCTCATTCTGGACCAACTGAAACCTCCGGGTGCACCCCAAGGGGAGCCCCATGTAGAGAGCATTGCAGTAGTCCAGGCGGGAAATGACGAGTGCCTGAGTGATGTGATTTTTTTACATGTTTGTAAAAAAATAAAAATAAAGAAAACTTAAGAGATGAAGGAGGGGGAGGAACCAAGGAGATGCGCTGCTCTTTATGCATTTCAGGAATGCGAGGCAAAATTATGCCGCGCATAAATCTGCATATGGGACCGCCTGCTACCACCAATAGCCTCCCACCGACCAGTACGCTCCCATAGAGAGGGGCTCCTCCGGGTGCCGTCGGCCAAACAATGTCGACTGGCGGCCCCCAGGGGGAGAGCCTTCTCTGTGGGGGCACCTACTATCTGGAACGAGCTCCCCCCCGGAGATACGGAGGATTCCGGATCTGCGTACCTTCCGTCGCGCGCTTCAGACGTTCCTATTTCATCGAGCTGGCCTGACCTAAACTTTTCCTCTTTTTAAATGGGAATTTTAAATTCGGTTTTAAATTATTGGGGTTTTAAAATGGTTCAGCCAAATTTATTTAATTTGTTTTATCTCCATTTTAAATTTTGTATCTATATGTTTTATTTTATGGCGGTTCACCGCCCTGAGTCCTTCAGGAGTAGGGCGGTATACAAATTTAATAAAATAAATAAATAAATCGTAGACCTCGGGTTACTTCCTGCCCTCTTGCTGCCTTCCAGAGGACAATTGGCGTAGCGAGAAGACAAGTGGACATCTTGAACTTCAGCAATTGCCATGGAAATGTCTTAATAAGGTTTCCCACGGGGCTGCTGGGAGCCGAGCGAGAGACACATGAGGCTTCTGTTCCTTGCGTTTCCAGTTTTGTCTAAAATGGTGGCGTTCATCCGAAGGCCCGTTTTGGCCGCGCGTTGAGAGAGACAATTTGGGAGAAATTTCGCAGCCCTTCCAAGTGGGCCATATCAAGGAAAGGGCACCCAGGCTCTCTCCAACGCCGTTTTATTGTTCTAGAACCACGCAATCTTGAAATCTTGGCAAGGAAGTCCCTCCGGCCATGTTTAGTCCTTGTTTGTTTGTTTGTTCATCTTCGCTGGTTGAGGCTTGTTTCTCCCTATTTATTAGCAGAATGGTTGGTTTGGAAGACGAGCTTCCTTCCTGTTTTGGCTTTTTATTTTTATTCAACATGAATTAGACAAACCTCCCTGCCTTCTTTCTTTCCTTCCTTTCCTCCCTCTTTAATTTTTCTTTTTTAAATTCCCTCCTTCCTTCCTTTCTTCTTCTCTCGCTACTTAATATTTCCTTTTTAAAAGTCTCTCTTCCCTTCCTTCCTCTTCCACCCTTCTACCTCCTTCCTTCCTTCCGCCCTCCCTTCCTCCCGCTTTAATTTTTTTCTTTTTTAAATTCCTTTTTTTTAAAAAAAAAATTGATTTATATGCCGCCCTTCTCCGGAGACTCCTTCCTTCTTTCCTCCATCCATCCATCCATCCCTACTTAATATTTTCTTTTTTAAATTCTCTCCCTTCCTTTCTTCCTCCTTCCCTACTTAATATTTCCTTTTTAAAATTCTCTCCTCCTTTCCTTCCTTCCCTCTTTAATTTTTCTTTTTTAAATTCCCTCCTTCCTTCCTTCCTTCCTCCCTCCCTCCCTCCTTAACATTTCCTTTTTAAAATTCTCTCCCTTCCTTCCTTCCTCTTCCACCCTTCTGCCTCCTTCCTTCCGCCCTCCCTCCCGCTTTTTTTAAAAAAATTCTCTTTCCTTCCTTTCTTCCTACCTCCCTCCCTACTTAATATTTCCTTTTTAAAATCCTCCCTCCCTCCTTCTTTTTCTCCCTTTTTTCTTTTTTAAATTCCCTCCTTTCTTCTTTTTTCTTCCTCCCTCCCTCCCTACTTAATATTTCTTTTTTTAAATTCTCTCCTTCTTCCTCCTCCTTTTCCTCCCTCTTTACTTTTTTCTTTTTTAAATTCCCTCCTTCCTTCCTTCCTTTCTTCCTCTTCCCTACTTAATATTTCCTTTTTAAAATTCTCTCCTTTCCTTCCTTCCCTCTTTAATTTTTCTTTTTAAATTCCTTCCTTCCTTCCTCCCTCCCTACTTAACATTTCCTTTTTAAAATTCTCTCCCTTCCTTCCTCTTCCACTTTTGCCTCCTTCCTTCCTTCCGCCCTCCCTCCCTCCCTACTTAATATTTCCTTTTTTAAAATCCCTCCCTCCCTCCTCCTTTTCCTCCTCTTTTTTCTTTTTTAAATTCCCTCCTTCCTTCCTTCCTCCCTCCCTCCCTCCTTAACATTTCCTTTTTAACTCTCCCTTCCTTCCTTCCTCTTCCACCCTTCTGCCTCCTTCCTTCCTTCCGCCCTCCCTCCCGCTTTTTTTTAAAAAAATTCTCTCCTTCCTTCCTTTCTTCCTGCCTCCCTGCCTCCCTCCCTACTTAATATTTCTTTTTTAAAATCTTCCCTCCCTCCTTCTTTTCCTCCCTTTTTTCTTTTTTAAATTCCCTCCTTTCTTTCTTTCTTTCTTCCTGCCTCCCTCCCTACTTAATATTTTTTTAAAATTCTCTCCTTCTTTCCTCCTCCTTTTCCTCCTCCTTTACTTTTTTCTTTTTTAAATTCCCTCCTTCCTTCCTTCCTTCCTTCCTCCCTCCCTCCTTCATTTTTTCTTTTTTAAATTCCTCCCTCCCTCCCTCTCTCCATCCCTCCTTCCCTCTTTCATTTTTCCTCTTTTTTTAATTCTCCCTTCCTCCCTTTCTTCCTAGCTGCCCAGGGTTGTACCCTGAATCTCCCCGTTGGCTCTTGGCCACCCGTCGAACAGCTCAGGCCAAGGACGTCTTGTTAGCCCTGTGCCAAGATGGCAACGCCCAGGAACCCGAGACCCGCGAGGCCCTGGATGGTGAGTATTGCAGCTTGCCAAAAAAAAAAAACCCGTTATTCCAGTTGGTTGGCTGGGCGTTAACAGCATTACCGTAGCACAGAGTGTGAATTTTAAACTGGGATCCTTTCAGCACAATTCTGGGATATAGGAGCACTTTGTAACTGCTTGTTTGTGAGTCAAGATAAGACGTGGGAACTTCAACTCCCAGAATTCCCATGGCTAACTTTGGGGCCTTTAGGACACTGTTTTTCAGCCGTGGCCACTTGAAGATGGGTGGACTTCAACTCCCAGAATTCCTCATCCAATATGGCTGTTAGGAACCTTAGGAAATTGAAGACGGGTGGACCTCAACTCCCAGAATTCCACAGCCAGCATGGCTGTTAGCAACCTTACGAATGTTAAGGTGGTGGACTTCAACTCCCAGAATTCCTCAGCTGACTACTGACGGTGGAATTCTGGGAATTGAAGTCCACACATCTTTAAGCTGCTGAGATTGAGAAACTCTTGACGTCCGCTCTCTGTCCATCCTGACCCAAAGTTGTGTCGAGGATGGCGTGTGTTGTGGTCTGCCAGCAGCCTATGGAGCTGGCAGCAGAGTTGGACAGTTAGAAGGCTGGGGAGGAACATGGGCCAGTCCTGGAGTCTGGGGAAGGCCCGGACGAGGGCTCTGCGTCGGAGGCAGAGATGGGGCCAGGGCCATCTGGGAGTGATGTGCGGATTCCGGAGCCCCCAGAGTCGGGCAGCAGAGAGGCAGAGGAACAGGAGGAGCCTGTTCCTAGCGCACGCATGCGCAGAGCTGCCAGAAGGCAAGAGCAGCTAAAGCAAAAGGGACGACTCGGGAGTAAGGCCAGGAGATGATTGGCCCCTCCCATAAGGTTTAAAAGAGAAACAAAGGCACTTGGGCCTTTTTGCAGGAAAGCAACGTTGCTAACTCTGTTTCCAGTCGGCATCTCTTGTTTGTTTCTGAACTTTGCAGGGCTTTGCCAAGTAAGGCCTTTGGCAGGACTTCTTCTGAAGGGCTTGTTTTGCAACTACCGTATATACTCGTGTATAAGCTGAGTTTTTCAGCACATTTTTTATGCTGAAAAAGCCCCCCTCGGCTTATACTCGAATGAGGGTCCCACTTACCTGTTCTCCGGTGCAGTGCGGGTGTTCTCCGGTCTCTCCCACTCATCTGTGGGCGCCTTCCGCCTCTGTGGGTGGTCCGATAACTGCTGATATCACCGCTCTTCTTTTCTCCCGCACGCCGGCAGCCTCTGTGTTGTCCGTGCCGTACTGGGCAAGAACCTTCTTGCTTCTTTGTGCTGTATTCTTATTTTTGAAATTTACCAGTAGCTGCTGCATTTCCCACCCTAGGCTTATACTCGAGTCAATAAGTTTTCCCAGTTTTTTGTGGTAAAATGAGGTGCCTCGGCTTCTATTCGGGTCGGCTTATACGCGAGTATATACGGTAATTGGGACTCAGCTGGGAATGAACGTAATTCTCAGCTGTTACAATAAAATAGGGTTGTTTGGGACTAATTGTGTGTTGTAATAACTCAGCAAGCCTAGGTCACAATAGTGTGATAACATCTCCACTGATGGACCTTCGTTTTTCCTTCCTCCACACTCATGATCTCATCCCTCCCATCTCCCACCAACCCTGCAGAGCTGGACAACATTTGTCATCTACCTGCAGCTGCCCAGATCTCATTCCGCACCCTCCTGTCCTGCAGGAACATCTGGAAAAACATTCTGATCCTTGGTTTTACCACGTAAGTTGAACCTCGTATGCTACTAGATCCTATGGAGGCTTCAGGAATGGTGGGGTGGACTTGTGGATGGCTGAGAGATGTATAAATTCTTAGAACGGGGTGTGGGGGACTCAATGAAAATTGAAGTAAGGAGAACTTAGTAGAGGGGACAAGTTGCTAGCGCAAATTTTTTAGGGAGCTCTGCTTTCAGTTTTATTTATTTCATTTATATCCTGCCTGTAATATTTTTTATAAATAATTCAAGGCGGGTATTGTGGCTCCGTTACCTGAGCCTGTGTCATCGGCAGGAAAGGACTCTGAGAGTGAAGGAGAGGAGTTGGCAAGGCCTCCTTCTCCAGGACCTTCCTCTCTGGCAATGCCTTCGGTGTCCGCCGAAGGGCAAGAGATAGGGCCGGGGTCCAAGCACGTCCACGCAGCCACAGATGGACAGTGATGAGGGTAATGAGTCTTGGCTGGATCCACGCCAGCGTTGCAGAGATAAGCGCGCGCAACAGAAGAAAAGGCGTGCCCAAGATTAGGCTGAGTCACTGGACCACGCCCCCCAAGGTATAAAAGGGAGCGTGGTGGCCAGTCAAACCTTGTGATGAACAAAGCTGAAAGCTTCCACGCCATTCTGCATTGCCGGACTTTTGCTATAATAGACTTTGCTGGATTATCTCTGGACTTTATTGACTGTAATTATTGAGCTGTTTCTTTTGATGTACCAGAAGCAGGGAGAAGTTATCTCTCCTCTTCGTAAGTAATAAACTCTTGGCAGGCAGCCACTAGGTTGTTGCCAAGTTCTGTTATCATAAGGAAAAGGATTTTGTCGGCTGGTTTAGTCTTTAACTCTTGAACGTCTGTTGGTGTGTGTGCGTGTGGGACGGGGACAGAACAGCGGGGAACATACCTAATACACCTTCCTCCTCCTATTTTCCTCACAACAACAACTCTGTGAGGTGGGGAAGGGCTGGTCCAAAGTCACCCAGCCAGTTTTCATGCCCAAGATGGGACTAGAACTCCCCCTCCTGGTGATTGGCCCAAAGTCACCCAAGTTGTCTTTCACGCATAATGTGGGACTAGAACTCCCCGTCTCCTCCTGATTGGCCCAAAGTCACCCAGCCAGATTTTAGACCTAAGGCGGGACTAGAACTCACTGTCTCCTGGTGATTGGTCCAAAATCACCCAGACAGCTTTCATGCCTAAGGCAGGACTAGAAGTCACCGTCTCCTGGTGATTGGCTCAAAGTCACCCAGCCAGCTTTCGTGCCTAAGGCAGCACTAGAACTTCCCGTCTCCTGGCGATTGGCACAAAGTAACCCAGCCGTCTTTTATGTCTATGGCAGGACTTGAACTCACAGTTTCTTGCTTTCTAGTCTGATGCCTTAATTATTAGACAAAACTGACTTTCTTATTTGCCTCTTAACGTCGATGAGATTCTTCCTTCCATCTTAATTTTGTCTGGAGTATCCTTCCTTGTTCTTGTGCTTTTGAGACCCGGAACCCGTAAACTTAAACCAATAAGATTTCTCCCTTCGGCTCGCTCTCCTCCAGGTTCATAGCCCACGCGATCAGCCACTGTTACCAGCAGGCCTGGGAGTCCATGGAGGACCCACGCGCCAAGTTCTACTTCCCCTTCCTGTTGTCGGCTGGCAGCGCCGGTCTCGGGTGCCTCTTTTTGTGCCTCACCGTACACCGGTGTGGACGTCGCGGGATTTTGCTCCTCACAACTACCCTGACCGGCATCTCCTCTCTGATCCTGCTGGGGCTGGGAGAATGTAAGAACCGCAAGCTCGGTTTCCAAGGAAAATCGTCTTGCAGCCTAAGACGTAAAGCTAGAGTAGAGTGGAGTGGAGTGGAGTGGAATGGAATGGAATGAAGGGATCTTAGAGGTCTTCTAGTCCAACCCCTTAGAATAGATTAGAGTAGAGTAGAACAGAACAGAACAGAACAGGAGAGTTAGAAGAGATCTTAGAGGCCCTTCTAGTCCTTGGTGGGTGGGTTCCTCCCGGTTTGGTCCGGTTCGGCCGAGCCGGTAGCGGTGACGATATGACGTCACAGCCCTTCTGTGGACATGCTGGCTGAGTTAATTCTGGGAGTCGAAGTCCAGAGGTCCTCAAATTATCAAGGTTGAGAAACAAGTTATCAAGGTGGAGTAAGCTATAAACTGGTGTATAAATAGAATAAATGAGTTTATTTCAAAGGTCGTTGTACAAAAAAGGGCTACTCCGTATTAATCGTCTGCGGGTGTCAAGCCATAAATCTCGCCGTTCTGTTGTAGGACAAAAAAGAGAGGCAATATGCCTTTCTCCTAGTTAAAAAAAATCAATTCCTAAATAAAATCAGCTTTAAATTTCAGGAGAAGAATTAAAAAAACAAAATCTATTTTAAAGCCTCCCTGGGAAATAGAAAAATTGGGAGGAATGATCCAAGAAAACTTTGAAATTTGTCAGCGTCTCACCGCTGGCATAGAGAGGAGAGAGATAAACCCTGAACTTTTGCCTGCTAAATCCCTTTGAAGCCCGGTCGTCGTGGAAATGAGGAGGGGGGAGACATTCCTGGGAAATGATGAGACAAGAAGTCAGTGGAGTGACTTGGAAGATAGCCAATGAAAAGCAGATAATTGGGGATCAGAAAGGGAGGGATTGTGGGGCAAAAGATCAGTCTTGTCCGCATCGAGTCATGATCCGGTTGCTGTGCTCAATTAAAGAGAAGATTTTCTTAAAGATTGGCAGTTTGGAAATTCATTTACTATGAGATAGCATCAAAGTCTGACATTAACTTTATCAAATGCCTTTTGTCTCTCTCTGGTGGGATAGCTATAAATGGCTGTTGGGGGGGGGGTCATCCTACTTTTGGGAATGTGCGGCTGTCCAGATGTTGTGGGACTACAACTCCCAGCAGCCCCAGCCTGTTCGATCTCCCTTTTTTTGTCATTTCACACTTTCCGTTTTGTCTTCCGTTGTAGATCTCAACAAGGCGGCCCGAAGGACGTTTTCCATTCTTGGACTCTTCACTTCCCACGCAGCCGGCTCCCTCAGCATCTTCTTTGCTGCAGAAGTCATCCCCACCGTCATCAGGTCAGGTGGAAAAGGCCCCCGAGAGAATAGGGAGGGGGGTCCCGGAGTAGAAAAATAGAGCTTCGGGCCACCAATCCGGAAAGGTTGGGGAACGCTGAGTTCAAGGACAGAAAAACAGCTTTCGGGGAGGTGGGGAGAAAATCTCCAGTGTAAATTCACACCCTTCCTTACCTTTCCGTCCAGTTTGCCTTCAAGTGTCTAGTCCTCATGATTACAGCTTTTGCTCCTTCCTTCGTTCCCTCTTTCCTCCCTCCCTTCCTTCCAGCCAGCCATCCCTTTTAGTTTCTCCTTCCTAACTCCTTCCTTCCCTTACTATTTCTCTTTTCTTTCTCATTCGTTCCTCCCTCCCATCCATCCATCTTTTCCTTTCTTCTTCCATTCTGCCTTTCTTTCTCTGTACTTGTTCCTTCCTTCCTTTCTTTTTATTTCTTTCTTTCCCTCCCTCCCATCCTTCTTCCTTCCTTCCTATTTATCTTTTCCTTCCTTCCTTTATCCTTCCTTCCTTCCTCTTTTCCTTTCATTTTACTTCCCCTCCCTCCTTCTTTTCCTTCCTTCCTTCCTCCCTATCACTTGTCCTTTCTCCTTCCTTCCTTCCTCCCTCCTTCCCTTCTCCTTCCTTCCTCTTCTTTCTTCCTATTTATCTTTTCCTTCCTTTATCCTTCCTTCCTTCCTTGTCTTCCTTCCTATCTCTTTTCCTTCTTTCCTTCCTTTCCCTCCCTCCCTCTTTCTTTTCCTTCCTTCCCTCCTATCACTTGTCCTTTGTCCTTCCTCCCTCCCTTCCTTCCAGCCATCCATCCCTTTTAGTTTCTCCTTTCTAACTCCTTCCTTCCCTTACTATTTCTCTTTTCTTTCTCATTCCTTCCTCCCATCCATCCATCTTTTCCTTTCTCCATCCATTCTGCCTTTCTTTCTCTGTACTTGTTCCTTCTTTCCTGCACCTCCTTCCTTCCTTCCTTTCATTCATTCTTTATTTCTTTCTTTCCCTCCCTCCCATCCTTCTCTCCTTCCTTCCTATTTATCTTTTTCTTCCTTCCTTTATCCTTCGTTCCTTTTTTCCTTTCATTTTACCTCTCTTTTCCTTCCTTCTTTCCTATCACTTGTCCTTTCTCCTTCCTTCCTCCCTCCCTCCCTCCCTTCTCCTTCCTTCTTTCTTCCTTCCTATTTATCTTTTCCTTCCTCTTTTCTTTCATCTTCCTTCCTATCTCTTTTCCTTCCTTCTTTCCTTCCTTCCTGTCCCTCTCTCCCTCCTTCCCTCCCTCTTTCTTTCTTTCTTTTTTTTTTATTTGATTTATATGCCGCCCTTCTCCGGAGACTCAGGGCGGCTTACAGTGCGTTAAGCAATAGCCTTCATACTTTTGTATATTTTATACAAAGTCAGCTTATTGCCCCCACAAACTGGGTCCTCAATTTACCTACCTTAGAAAGGATGGAAGGCTGAGTCAACCTTGAGCCTGGCAAGATTCGAACTTACTTTAATTGCAGATAGCTGGTGTTAAATTACAGTGCCTTTGTCTTTAGAGCTATCCAGGCTCTTTCTTTTCCTTCCTTCCTTCCCTCCTATCACTTGTCCTTTCTCCTTCCTTCCTTCCTTCCTTCCTGCATCCTTTCCTCCCTGCGGAAAACTTGAGACCTCCTCCTCCTAATCTAACAAGCCAATTTTCTTCTGCAGAGGGAAGGGTCTTGGCATCACGCTGGGCCTAGCGTCCCTTGGAGGGCTGAGCGCCCCACTGTTGCGGGTGCGAGAACAGCACGGCTCCTTCCTCGAACACATCGTCCTGGCCTCCCTCAACATCCTGGCCCTGCTTTGCCTCCTCTTGCTGCCTGAGACCAAACGCAAACCCTTGCCCGAAAGCTTGCAGGATGGAGAACTTTACCGGAGGCCTTCGCTGCTCCGGCGGGCCGGCGAGTCTGCGGACCGGGACTCCCACGGCGTGTCACGGCGAGACGACGTCCCGTTGCTCTCTACCCCGAATCCCACCAGCTGATGCCACGGCGGGCTTGATTTTGGCCTCAACGGGTGGGCTCGACCAGCAAACGCAAGAGCCGAATGGAGGCCAGGAGGGAAAAAAATATCAAATTTTGGCTTTTTCTACTTCTGACGTTGCACGAAAGGAGTCGCTTCATCTTGGCTGCACCAGCAGCACAAACTCGTTTATTTAAATGGTCGGACTAAAAATTGGAAAACTAGGATTCATAGCTAGTTGCCCCAAAATTAGCTAGAGCAGTTCTTTTCGACCTTGTACTACTTGAAGATGTGCGGATTTCCAACACTTAAACGCCTGTTGCCTTTTTTAAAATTTGCATTGCGAACTTCAGGGTAGTTGTGTGGGTTTCTTTTTTCCCACTTCCTTAATAATTAACATAATTACGTTAATTTTCATTCCTTTTCATTAAGACGGATGATAATATACGCCCTTGGGTGTCCTGCGGCCTGCCTTGAAAATAACAGAAATTAAATAACAGACAAAATAGGAAAAAAATAAAATAAGTTAGTCCTAAATTTAGGGCCATAATGGAGCCTAGAATTATGGTCGTAAAGTCGTGCCAGTCGTTAAATGGATCATCCCGTGACCAGCTTGATTTGATGACTTTTTTTTTTTTTTGGCAGTGCTCGTTAAGGGAATCATGGTTAAGTGAATTATCACAATGGTTAAGTGAATCCATGGTCATTAACTGAACCATCGCGATTGTGAAGTGAACCAATTGTCCACCATTTTGTTCCCGGAAAACGACCAGGGAATTCTGGGAGTTGAAGTCCATACATCTTCAAGTGCTTCAGGTCGAAAAACACTGAATTTGGAAGCAGCACGAAAAACCTTTGATGTACCCACCGCGCCTTTACTCCAGAGACAAACTGAAATTTTTAAATTTAAGGTCAAGTCAAACCGACAGACGATTCTCCGCGGACTTTCAAGGAGAAAAGAGAAAAATCGGAACACTTTCTCCCCGGAAGAGAATTTTTATATCTGCTTTCGGCGACGAGGCTTATGAACTGAAGGATACGGGATCAAGAGTTCCTCAGTGAAGGGCTGTGTGTCGAAATGCTTAGCTAGGAGGTTGGGCTAATCCTCCGGTTTTTAAAATCCCTCTCGGATTTTTTTTAAAAAGAGTTCTGCGAGGGACGATTTGGGGTTTGGCGGGAGATAATTCTGTTTTTATTTCCGTTTTACCAATGTAAGACAGGGGGATTAGGGGCTGGGAGTCTGCGGACTGACGTCCGAGACAGCATCCAAGGGTTTGATCCTATGCATTCATCTTGTTTTTAATAATTGTGTCTGTGACACACTTCTCTTTCTAAAGGGCTCACGTTCAGGACGTTGGACCAGAGGTGACCAAATCCCCAAAAAACTAAGACTTACCGTATTTTTCAGAGTATAAGACGCACCTTTCCCCCCCAAAAAAGAATGTGAAAATCTGGGTGCGTCTTATACTCCGAATGTAGCCGCGCCCAGCTTCTCAAACGGAGGTTTCAGAGGCTGAAAAAAGCGTCAGAAACGAAGCTTCAGAAGAAAAGCCTCCAAACAGCTGCAGAAAAAAAGCCTCCATACAGAACTGCAGAAAAAAGCCTCAGAAACAAAGCTTCAGAGGCTTTTTTTCTGAAACTGTTTCAGAGGCTTTCAGAGGCTGAAAAAAAAAGCAAGGCACAGAGCTCACAACCAACGAACTTGTTGCTAAAATTCACCTCTGGGAACAGCTGATTGGGTATTCCTGGGTATTCCAGGAGGCCGATCCACCCGCCAATCAGCTTTTTTCTTATTTTCCTTCCCAAAAACGAAGGTGTATCTTATACTCTGAAAAATACGGTATTTTAAATCCTTCCCTCCCGGAAAGAAACCGATGGCTAGATCAGACGAGCAATGTTCTTCGTTGCTTTTCGTGACGAACAGCGAGTTTGGTCTGAGCTCCAAAAATGATTGATCGGCACCTTTTGGCTGATCAGTTCTTCATTTAAGCTCACAGCAAAGAGAAACAAATCAAACCGCTTTATACAAAGACTTCAGCGGTCAGTTCCCTCACCTCCAAATCTGGAACATACAGGTAGTCCTCGATTTATGACGACGATGGAGCCCCAAATGTCTGCGACTGAGAGTTCAGTGAGTTCTGCCCCATTTTCCGACCTTTCTCCCCATGGTTGTTAAGTGAATTGCAACAGTTCAGTTGGTAACACAGTTGTTCGGTGAATCTTTCTTCCCCCTTCACTACCGTCATAAATATGACTCAGTAAGCCTCTGAATTTTGTTCACAGTAATGGTTGAGATGCTGCCACGGTCATAAGTGTGAAAAACATTGCTTGTTAGTGGGGCCGTTGGAAATTTGGTGGCTAAGCCCACCGTTGTAAATCGAGAACTTCCTGTATGTTCCATTTTTAATCGGTTGCCAATCATTTTTTGGGGGAGGCTCAGAATTAATAGTGGGTTTTATTACCGATAAAGGAGAGATGATGGCTGAAGTAATGAGACAACACCACACCCAGGGAAGGACCACTCAGGCCGACACACACACGCGTGTGTGCAAACACTACCCCCTTTTGCTCCCCTGGGAGTTAAACATGCAACCCCCCACCCCACCCAAGCCCCTAGTAGGCTCAAAATTTTTTGGACTGCTTTGTAATCTCGGAAGGGAAATAAAACACTGACTGTTAATAAGCTAAATAAAAGGAAATATATAATCCATTCAGAAAACCCTGGCTAAGCTTCGGAGTTTCTGTTAGAGGAGCAGAGGAGATATTCAGCTGGTTCGGGCGAATCGGTAGCAGAGATTGCGGATGGTCCCACCCACTCGTCCTGGCTCTACGCCGTCCTGTTTAGGGACATTTTTGAGGCTGGGTGCACGCGTGGAAGGCTGACGCACAAAGCGAGCGTCCACAATATTTAAAAAAAGATGTTGAGACTGGAAAGAGTGCAGAGGAGAGCAACAAAAATGATTGGGGGACTAAATCAAGAACGGTTGTAGGAATTGGGTATGGCTAGGCTAGAGAAAGGGACGCGGTGGCTCAGTAGCTAAGACGCTGAGCTTGTCAATCGAAAGGTTCGCAGTTCAGCGGTTCGAATCCCTCGTGCCGCGTAACGGGGTGAGCTCCCATTAACTTCTCCCAGCTTCTGCCAACCTAGCAGTTCGAAAGCACGTAAAAAATGCAAGTGGAAAAATAAGGACCACCTTTGGTGGGAAGGGAAAGCGTTCCATGTGCCTTTGGCGTTTAGTCATGCCAGCCACATGACCATGGAGACGTCTTCGGATAACGCTGGCTTTTCGGCTTTGAAACGGGGATGAACACCACCCCCTAGAGTCGGGAACGACTAGCACATATGTCCAAGGGGAACCTTTACCTTTATCTTTAGAACAATTAATCAGCGGAACAACTTGTCTCCAGAAGTTGTGAATGCTCCAACAAATTTTTAAGATGTTGGATAACCCATTTGTCGGAAGTGGTGTAGGGTTTCCTGCCTAAGCAGGAGGTTGGACTAGAACAGGGGTCAGCAACCTGCGGCCCTGGAGCCGCATGGGGCACTTTCACCCCTCTGCTGTGGCTCAAAATATGCGTCACAACCGCCAATGTGTGACACCCGCTGGTACGCAATTTATTGAGCTTTTCGACCCCCGGTAGGCCAACCATAGATAAATCCAAGAAAAGAAAAGTTTCATAAGAAAACAGGTTTAATTCAACTACATATGCTAGTTTTGTGGCCGCTCAAGAAATAGTCAGGCACAGGAAGGGTTTTGTAGCTCCCGGTGTTTTCTTTTCTGTGGGAAATGGGTCCAAATGGCTCTGAGTATTTAAGGTTGCAGACCCCTGGACTAGAAGACATCGAAGATCCCTTCCAACTCTGATTTGATTCGATTCGATTCTATTCAGGACTTTATAAGGCCTTGGTAAGACCACACTATCTGGGTGCGTCTTATACTCTGAATGTAGCTACGCCCAGCTTCTCAAACAGAGGTTTCAGAGCCTGAAAAAAGCATCAGAAACGAAGCTTCAGAAGAAAAGCCTCCAAACAGAACTGCAGAAAAAAGCCTCAGAAACAGAGCTTCAGAGGCTTTTTTCTGAAACTGTTTCGGAGGCTTTCAGAGGCAGGAAAAAAAAGCATGGCACAGAGCTCACAACCAACGAACTTGTTGCTAAAATTCACCTCTGGGAACAGCTGATTGGGTATTCCTGGGTATTCCAGGAGGCCGATCCACCCGCCAATCAGGTTTTGGTTGTCACGATATTAAAAAAAAAGATGTTGAGCGACTGGAAAGAGTGCAGAGAAGAGCAACAAAGATGATTAGGGCACTGGAGGTTAAAACAGGAAGAGCGGTTGTAGGAATTGGGTATGGCTAGTCTAGAGAAAGGAAGGCCTAGGGAGACATGATAGCAGTATTTGGGGGGCTACCACAAAGAAGTCGTCCACCAAGGGTCCACCTATTCTCCAAAGCACCAGACGGCAGGATAAGAAACAATGGATGGAAACTGATCAAGGAGAGAAGCAACCTGGAATTAAGGAGAAATTTCTTGACAATCAGAACAATTAACCAGCGGGACTGCTTGCCACCAGAAGTTGTGGGTGCTCCATCAGTGGAGGTTTTTAAGAAGAGATTGGACAACCATTTGTCTGAAATAGTATAGGGTTTCCTGCCTGAGCAGTGGGTTGGACTAGAAGACTTCCAAGGTTCCCTCCAATTTTGTTATTCAAAGGTTCAACAGTTGCGTTGGATATGTGCGTTGGATATGGGTTAAATTCAGCTCTCGTGGGTAATTCCACTCCTGACCACTAGAGGCCCTACTGAGTTTTCAGCCCAGTGTTTTTTAAGCTTGGCAGTTGTAATGCATTGACTTCAACTCCCAAAATTCTTCAGTCAACTATGCTGGCTGGGGAATTCTGGGAGTTGAAGTCCACACATCTTAAAAGTAGCCATGTTTGTAAAATACTACTCCCAGAATTCCCTAGCCAGCAAGACTTCTGGGAAGTCCACACCTCTTAAAGGGTCAGAGGTTAAGAAAGACCTGGCTGGGGAATTCTGGGAGTTGAAATCCACACAAGCGTCAAAACTACCAAAAACCCGACTTGAATGCGATTCGTCTCTTAAAACTCAATATACATAGTCCTCGACTTACAACCACGATTGCGCCCCAAGATTTCTGTCACTAAGTGAAACAGCCAAGTGAGTTTTGCTCCGTATTACAACCTTCCTTGCCGGAGTTGTTCAAAGTGAATTGCTGCCATTGTTAAGTGAGTAAAGAGGTTGTTAAGTGATTCACGTCGCGTTGTGAAAAGAGGATTCCATGACGCCAGGAACGCTGCAAATCGTCATGAATAGTTGGTTGCCGAGCATATGAATTTTGATAGTGTGACTCATGAGAATGCAGCAACGGTTGCGTGAAAAATAGCCATAACTCGCTTTATTTCAGCAGCATCGTAATTTCGGTCAGTAAATGGGACGGTTGTAAATCAAGTCCCAGCTCTCATCAGTAGGGATTTCCACTTTGCAAATCATAAGAACTTTCTTAAGTTATGCAATTTTTTAACATTCTCCAAGCAGGAATAAGGAAATGCCAGGCTCTATAGGGAGTTCTCGATTTACGACAATCGAGACCAGATTTTTGTGACAAAACAAGGAGCTTAAAGTCGCATCCAATATTATCATTTGAGCCACAAAGCAAATCGCCCGAGTTAAAGAAAACCATGCAGTCGTTAAGCAAATCGTTTCCACCACTAACTTTGCCTGTCATGTGACCCCTGGATGAAACCTGTTCTAAAGCAGCAAACTCTCGATGACTCGATCCTGAGGAATGCAGTGATGGTCGCAAGCGCGAGAACCGGTTCTAAATCACCTTTTTTCCAGTGCTGTTGTGAACTTTGGACTGTCACTAAGCGAGTGGTTGTTAAGCCAAGGACTGCCTGCATCAGCCAACTTGGGTCACCCGGAGGAATAAGCAGTCGTAAACCGGAGCACTCCATTCTGCAGGTAGTCCTTAACAACAATTGAGCTCAAGCTTTCCGGTTGTCAACTTCACTGCCATTTTATGACCTTTCTTGCCAGGGGTTTGAAGTGAATCGCTGCAAGTTGTTAAGTGAACGAGACAGTTGTAAAATGAATCTGGCTTCCCAGCCTGTTAAGTTTGCTTGTCGAAAGGTTGCCCAAAAACCAAAAAAAACACCACCGGGATTTTCCCCATCCCAGCAACTGTCGTAAATGTGAGTCGGTTAGCAAGTGTTTGAATTCTGATCACGCGAGCATCTGGGGACACTGCAACGGTCATTAACTGAGAAAAAGGGTCATTGAGCTGCTTTTTTCAGTGCTGTTGTAACTTCGAAGTCGTTAAATGAACTGTTATGTGGAAAACGTGAACCTGACGAGGTAGTCCTCGACTTACAACAGTTCACTTGGTGACCGTTTGAACTTTGGAGACCGTTCGAAGAGAAAAACAGTCATTAAGCCACTGTTGTGACGTAGTCTGTGAATTACGTTCATTCACAGCTGAGTCCCAATTAGTTACAAAAGTCCTTCGGGAGAATCACCAACCTTTATCTCCCTTGACACACTGCCAAAGACCTACTTGGCAAAGCCACAGTGTGTCCAGAATCAGAGATGCCGACTGGGAACAGCATTAACAATGTTGCTTTCCTGCAAGGGGCCCATGTGCCTTTGCTCCTCTTTTATGCCTTATGGGAGAGGCCAATCATCTTCAGGCCTTACTTCTCAGTCGTCCCTTTTGTTTTAACTGTTCTTGCCTTCTGGCAGCTCTGCACATGTGCGCACTAGGAACAGGCTCCTCCTGTTCCTCTGCCTGTCTGATGTCCGACTCTGGAGGCTCCGGAATCCGCGCATCACTCCCAGATGGCCCTGGCTCATTTCTCTGCCTCCGACACAGAGCCCACGTCCGAGCCCTCCCCAGACTCCAGGACTGGCTCATGGTCCTCCCCAGCCTCTTCACTGTCCGACTCCGCTGCCAGCTCCGCAGGCTGCTGGCGGACCACAACAGTTACCTCGAACTGTCGCTAAGTCGAGAACCACCTGAATGGGAATATACCTCCGCCTTTCGGCATCGGCTAACAAAATCATACACCCCACACTGGTTTCTTCCAAAAACATCTTTATTATTTTTTTTTTTATTTTTTTTTCCACCCTTATAACATTCTGCTTCTTCCTCTGTTTAGCCTCCCTCCGACCTGGAATATTTTTTCCCCCTCTTTTTTTTTTTTTCTCTCTCTCCCCTTTTTTTTATTTTTTTTTTTAAAAAAAGTCAGTCTGGCTTTTCTCAACACCCACCCACCCAAAAAAAAACCCCTCCAGGGTGGTCTTTTTTTTTTTTTCCCCTGCCCCTGGTTCTCTACAGCATCAGGTTTCGGTGTATTTCTTCAGGCTAAAAAATAAAGGAATCTGTAAAGATAAAGACACTCAAACAAGGCATATAACAACCCCCCCTCCCTAGAAGAGACACACACATGGGAGGAAGAATGAGGGGTGTGGGAACACCTACAACCTGTATGGTGGGCACCGGATGGGTGGGAGGGAGGGAAGGAAGGAAGGAAGGAAGGGGGAAGAAACCCGTTTTTTAAACAGGAATCAGTCTTTTTTAGAACAATACATTTGGGTGCAGGACAAAATTCCGAGATTGGAGCGAAAGGGTGATGGAGAGTAAGAGGCAGGGATGGATCCCTTCTGCAATCTCCAGCCAGAACGGGATGGGGCATTTGAAGATGTCCCGGGTGGAAACATAGGTCGGGCGAGGGACGTCTGGAAAAAAGGTAGCGACGAAGCCGTGAATGCCAGCTTCTTCCTGGCTAGTCTGGGTTGAAGGAAGGAAGGAAAGAAGAGCAGGGCAAAGCGACAAAGGCAGCGGGAACCAAGCAGGGAAATAAATGCGCAGACATACGAAGACACAGAATGGAGCGAGGGAGCAGTGGAAGAGAAACAAAAGAATTACAGAATTTCGGAGGGGATGGGGACGCCCTTCCCAGCATTGCCCCCCCTCCTAAAAACACAGAGGAAGAATCCTCCCCCAAAAAAAAATCTGCAAAAGGAAAGGAAGGGCGGAGAGGGAAACTCTTTCAACAATACTACCAGGTGTTTTTTAACAACAGCTCGGCTGACCCACAAATATTTTTTTTCGTCTTTCTTTCTTTCTTTCTCTTTCTTTCTTTCTCCCCTCCCTCCAGTATATGTCAACCCTCTTTCTCTGCACAGTGTAAGAAACATCCTCCTCCCACCAACAGTATATATATATATATATATATAATTTTTTTTTCCATCATGGTAACAATCTTCATTTTTTTTTCTTTTTTTTTTTCCTCCTTCCTAAAAAACCACTTTTTTTTTGTTTTGTTTTTAGTAAGGGGAATACCATGAGGTCGCTCTGGCCCGGCCCCTGTGAAGAAAAGAAGGAAACAGGTTAATGAAAAAGGTATTTTTTCTAAAAAATAAAAATAAGCAGCTTTTAAAAACTACAGAAAATGGATTTTTCAGTGAAAAACTGGAGGCTTCGGCATCTCCCAAAAAAGGCTTGAGAATTTTGGCAATCTCTGCCCCTACGACTTTGTCACTTTTTTTTTTAATTATCTTGCTTTGGCTTTTGACGTTCTGAAGCTAATTTGAAATTTTAATCAACTTTTCATTCAAGAACCTGATGACGTCAAAAAACGTTTTGACTCTCAGAGGTTCCTGAAAAACTTGAGGTTTATAAGGTAAGTAGTCCTCAACGGACTACTGCGAGGGAGCCCAACGTTTCTGTTGCTAAGCGAGACATTGGTTAAAAGAGCTGTGCCCCATTTTACGACTGACTCTTCAGGCCACGGCTGTTAAGCGAATCGCTGCGGTTCTTAAGCTAGTAACACGGTTTAAGTCAGGAGTCAGCAACCTGCAGCTCTGGAGCCGCATGTGGCTCTTTCACCCCTCTGCTGCAGCTCCGTCACTCAAAATATGCATCATAATCGCCAATGTGTGACACCCGCCAGCACGCGATTTATTGAACTTGCCAACCATGGATAAATCCAAGAAAACTATTCAACTACATATGCTAGTTTTGTGGCCGCTCAAGAAATAGGCACGGGAAAGTTTTGTGGCTCCCGGTGTTTTCTTTTCTGTGGAAAAGGGGTCCAAATGTCTCTTTGATTGTTTAAGGTTGCTGACCCCTGGTTTAAGTGATGACTGCCTTGTTTTTTTTACTTATCAAAAGGTCACAAAAAGGGGATCGTGTCACCTCAGGACACTGCAACCGTCGTAAGTGTGAGTCAGTTGCCAAGTGTCCGAAATTTTGATCCCATGACCACGGGGATGCTGCAATGGTCATAAGTGTGAAAAACAGTCATAAGTGTGAAAAACGCCCCAAGTCACTTTTTTCAGTGCCATTGTAACTTCAGGCAGTTGTTAAAACAAACTGTTGTAAGTCGAGGGCTACTTGAACCTGACAAGAGACAATCCTTGACTTACAACAGTTCACTTAGTGACCGTTCAAAGTTACAACGGGACTGACACTTACGACCATTGCAGCCTCCCCAGGGTCATGCAATTTACATTCAGATGTTTGACAATTGATTCGCATTTATGACGGTTTGCGGCATCCCGGAGTCCCGCGATCCCCTTTTGCGACCTTCAGACAAGCAAAGTCGACAGGGAAGCCGGATTCACTTAACAACCGTTTGGCTAATTTGACAAGTGCAGTGATTCCCTTAACAAATGCAAGAAGAAATGTCATAAAATGGGGCAGGACTCACTTAACAAATGTCTCAACTTAGCAAGGGGCAGGACTCACTTAACGTACATCTCACGTAGCAACGCCCATTTTGGGCTCGACGGTGGTCGTACATCGAGGAGTGCCAGTTGATTGGAAAGCTCAGGAAAACGGGACAAATTCTAGGATCGCCGGATCGTCGTTAAATTGGCTTTCAAACTCTTTTTTTTTTTTTTTTACCCAAATCAACTAATCTGGCTTGCAATGCAGGGTAGATAAAAATTGATGGCTTTTTTGATTTAAATTGGTTTTTTTATCTAATTTATTTTAATACAATGCTTTTGGAGTAAAAAATCTATCTCACGATCGTTTGCTATTTAAGATACATTCATACTTTAGTTTATGCAGCGTGAAATGGAGCTTAAGTTATGTAGCAGGAGGATGTGTATTCTGCGAAATTGAGACTATCGGTGAGTCAACAGCGGTGAGTCAGAGGAGGAGCCGCTGCGGAACAGAGGTGACAGCTGCCCTTTAAAAATCATGATTTCAATCGACTCGATTTAAATCAAGCCCTTTTTACTAGCGATTTCAATTGCGATTTCAATCGACTTGATTTAAATCAAATCCACCCTGCTTCCAAGAGCCCTTTCATGGATCTGTTTCTTGTGGATCAATGAAGGGAATTCCATTTTTACCTAAAATCAACTACCGTATTTTTCAGACGATAAGACGCACCTAGCTTTTGGGGAGGAAAACAAGGGGAAAAAATCTGCCTCTGCCTCCCAGCAATTTGCCTCCTTGCAGGAAACAGTGTGGTCAGCTTCAGCACAGCCTGATTTAGTACAAGCAGCTGATTGGTGGTTGGATCTGCCTCCTGGAATACCGCCAATCAGCTGTTGCAGGATGCGGGGATCAACATCACCCATCGGCACCCATTCCCGCTGTCATCTAGTTACACCTCTGTGTGCCCCAATTTTGGCCTCCATGCGCCCCATTTTTGGCCCGTTCCAGCCGCCACCCCCTATCCCTGCCACCTGGAATGGGCTGAAAATGGGATGTGCGGGGGTCGAAAATGGGGCGTGCGGAGGCCAAAAACGGGAAGCACGGAGGGCCGAAAATGGTACATGTGGAGGCAGCAATAGGTGACTGGCGATGGGCAGTGACGATACTGATCCCTGCAACCTGGAACAGCTGATCGGCGGTATTCCGGGAGGCCGATCCAACCGCCAATCAGCTGCTTGTGCTAAATCAGGCTGCGCTGAAGCTGACCAGGCTATTTGCTGCAAGGAGGTAAATTGCTGGGAGGCAGAGGCCGAAGGGTGGGGGCTGGGCTTCGGCCACATTCGCTGTATAAGATGGACAGACATTTCCACTCACTTTTTTGGGGGGGGGGGCCACAGTGCCTCTTATACTCCGAAAAGTAAAGTAATCTGGCTTGCACGAGCCCTTTCATGGGTCTGTTTCACTTGATCGAAGAGATGCCGGACTGTTTTAAGCCTGGGATTGCTACCTAGCCATCTGCGTGAATCTGACCACCTACTGTGGATCGACACACACACACATACACCCCTCCCCAACATGCCGTTCCCTTTTAAGGGTCAGACCTGTAAGCACGCCCTCGGGGCGGCCTGCTGCTGAAGCCACTGTAGAAACGGGCCCTGGAACTGCTGTAGCCGGAGCCTCGCCCTCGGTACCGGGTCCTGGGAAAGCCTCTGTCTGTGGTGCTGATGCCTGGCCGGTTGGTCCGTTTGGGAATCACCTGAAAAAGGAAGAGAATTGTGCAGGTCAGACTCAAGGGTGAGGGGGGTGGTAGTAAGAAAAGGATGAGGAGGTGTGGTGGGTGAGAATGCCTGATCTTTCTGCTTGTTAGGACAGTGATGGCTAACCTTTTTGCCATCGCGTGCCAGGAGACGGGGGCGGGGGAGGGTCGCGCACGCACGTGCCCACGCGCATGTGTGCGTAACCTCCTCCCCCTCCCCGCTCCTGGAACATGATGGCCCGGTAGGCCCGTTTTTCTTTCTTACCTGGCTCCAGATCCTCTCTGTGTATCTGGGAACGGCGAAAACAGCCTTTCCCACTCCCTTGGAGGCCCTACGGAGGCTGAAAAAGCCCATTTCCCAACTCTCGGTGGGACAGGAAGTGACATTTTTTGCTGTCCCCAGCCTCCAGAACCTCTAGGAGTCTCTAAGAGCCTCTCTAGGAGTCCCTGGAGGCTGGGGACAGGAAAAAAACATCACTTCCTGTTCCACCAGGAGTGGGGAAATGGGCCCTTTGAACCTCCATAGGGCCTCCAAGGAAGTGGGAAAGGCTGTTTTCGCCCTTCCCAGATACACAGAGAGGATCTGGAGCCAGGTAAGAAAAAAAAACGGGCCTCCCCCCCCCCAGGCAGGAAACAGGCTGTTTCCCTACTTCTGGTGGGCCCAGAAGGCCTGAAAATCAGCTGGCCGGCGCGCGCATACGCCCCAGAGCTGAGCTGGCGTGCCCACTAATATGGCTCCGCGTGCCACCTGTGGCACACGTGTCATAGGTTCGCCATCACGGCCCTACGACAGTGATGGCGAACTTTTTTTGCTGTCACGTGCCAAAACGGCCGGAGCACCAGGGGGGAGGGGGCCGCATGCACGCCCACACCCATAATTCAATGCACCTCCCCTGTGCACAACACCCCCTCCCCGGTGCTCCCCCTGCTTTTGGCACACAGTAGGCCCGTTTTTCGCCCTCCCCAGGCTCCAGAGGCTTTCTTGGAGCCTGGGGAGGGTGAAAACAGCCTTCCCCACCCCCCACAGGCCAGAAACAGCCCGTTTGCGAACTTCTGATGGGACCGGAAGGCCCATTTTTCACTCTCTGCAGGCTCCAGAGGCTTTTTAGGAGCATGGGGAGGGTGAAAATGGCCTTCCCCACCCCCTCAGAGGCCCTCCGGAAGCCAGAAACGGCCCATTTGCCGACTTCCGGTGGGACCAGAAGACCCGTTTTTCACTCTCCCCAGGCTCCAGAGCCTTTCTAGGCCTCTCTCTTTGGAGCCTCTGGAGCCTGAGGAGAGCGAAAAACGTGCCTTCCCCACCCCCTGGAGGCTGGAAACAACCTGTTTCCCAACTTCCGGTGGGCCCGGAAGGCTCAAAAATCAGCTGGCGCACGCCGGAGCTCATCTAGGGCAATGCTCGTGTGCCCATTGATATGGTTCCACGTGCCACCTGTGGCATGCGTGCCATAGTTCGCCATCACGACCCTAAGAAAATGCAGACACCTGTCTGTTAGCAGAGGGAATTTCAAGTAGAAGAGAACAGTTGCTACTGTGGGGTCCTTGGTGCTCTCTGAGCTAGGCGGTTTGCTTGCAGGCGTTTCGTGTCGCAACTAGGTGACATCATCAGTGTTAGAAGAGAGTGGGGTTGATGGAGTTGAGGAGAAGGGAAGAAGAGGAGAGAGAAGGAAAAGGAAAAAGAGGAGGAGGGGGACTATGGTTTCTTGCAGACGTTTCAAGACTAGGGAACATCATCAGTGCTAGAAGGGAGTGGCATTTGTGAAGAGAAGCAGGAGGAAAAGACGAGAGAAAAGAAAGAAAAAGAGAAAGAGAAGAAAGAAGAGGAGGATGACAAGTGAGGGGTTCTTGGTGCTCTCTGAGCTGGGTGGAGTTTTTTGCAGACACTTCATTACCCAGTCAAAGAATATCATCAGTGTTACAAAGGAGTGGGATTTGTGGAGTGAAGCAGGAAGAAGAGAAGTGAGAGAAAAGAAGAAGAGGAGGATTGAGGAGTCACTGGTGCTGTCTGAGCTCGGAGATTTTCTTGATGTTTCGTTACCAAACTTGGCAACATCATCCTTCCTTCCTTCTCCCTTCACTGCACAAACCCTGCTGCCTTCTAGCACTGATGACGTTCCCTAGCTGGGTCACGAAACGTCTGTGAGAAAACCACCAAGCAGAGAGAGAGAGAGGGAAGGAGGGAGACAGAGAGAGAGAGACAGAGAGGGAGGGAGGGAGAGAGAGACAGAGGGAGGGAGGGAGGGAGGGAGACAGAGAGACAGAGAGGGAGGGAGGGAGAGGGAGAGAGAATGTACAGGGGGAATTCCAGATTGGAGTGATCCTGAAGGGAAGAGATCCGAAGCAGAAAACCTCACCTTCTTCTCACTTAGTCTTAGGTGGTTCGGGTTCAAGGGTTGGCTGCAAGAGTTATTCAGGGGTCGGGCACAGTGCACGGTGTGTGTGTGTGTGTGTGTGTGTGTGTGTGTGTGTGTGTGTGTGTGTGTGTGAAAAGGGCATACCCACCTTGATCTGTCTCCCCCTAAAGAGGGACTCGTCTAACGCTAAGGAAGTCCGCACCGATTCCTTGTCGGAAAATTCTATGTAGGCGAACCTGGAGAAAATGGGCGGAAGGGGGATGGACGATTAGACACTTCGTACTATTAAGCAGGGAGGGGTTCACTTACAGGTAGTCCTCGACTTACGACCGCAACTGGGCCCCAAATGTCAGCTGCTAAGCGAGGCAGTTGCTCGAGCAGCTTCGCCCCTTTTTACGACCTTGCTCTCCACTGTGGTTAAGTTGGCATCAGGGGTGGGATTCAGCCGGCTGTCCGGATCGCGCGAACCGGTAGCAGCAACTGCATGAGGCTCCGCCCACCCGCAATGTGCGACTCTTGCGTATACGCAGAAGGCCGTGCATTTGCGAACCGGTAGGGAAGGTAAGTAAATCCCACCTCTGCTTGGCACCATGGAGTGGTGAAATCCAATTTTTTTTTGCTACTGGTTCTGTGGGCGTGGCTTGGTGGGCGTGGCAGGGGAAGGATACTGCAAAATCCCCGTTCCTCCCCACTCCAGGATACTGCAAAATCCCATTCCCTCCCCACTCCAGGGAAAGGATTCTGCAAAATCCCCATTCCCACCCCACTCCTGGGGAAGGATATTGCAAAATCCCCATTCCCTCCCCACTACAGGGGAAGGATACTGCAAAAACCCCATTCCCACCCCACTCCTGGGGGAAGGATATTGCAAAATCCCCATTCCCTCCCCACTACAGGGGAAGGATACTGCAAAATCCCCATTCCCCCCACTCCAGAAGGATACTGCAAAATCCCCATTCCCACCCCACTCCAGGGGAAGGATTCAGCAAAATCCCCATTCCCTCCCCACTCCAGGGGAAGGATACTGCAAAATCCCATTCCCTCCCCACTCCAGAAGGATACTGCAAAATCCCATTCCTCCCCACTACAGGGGAAGGATACTGCAAAATCTCCATTTCCACCCCCCTCTGGGGCCAGCCAGTGGTAGCATGTGTGTGTGTGTGTGTGTGTGTGTGTGTGTGTGTGTGTGTGTGTGTGTGAAAAGGGCATACCCACCTTGATCTGTCTCCCCCTAAAGAGGGACTCGTCTAACGCTAAGGAAGTCCGCACCGATTCCTTGTCGGAAAATTCTATGTAGGCGAACCTGGAGAAAATGGGCGGAAGGGGGATGGACGATTAGACACTTCGTACTATTAAGCAGGGAGGGGTTCACTTACAGGTAGTCCTCGACTTACGACCGCAACTGGGCCCCAAATGTCAGCTGCTAAGCGAGGCAGTTGCTCGAGCAACTGCCTCGCTTTTTACGACCTTGCTCTCCACTGTGGTTAAGTTGGCATCAGGGGTGGGATTCAGCCGGCTGTCCGGATCGCGCGAACCGATAGCAGCAACTGCATGAGGCTCCGCCCACCCGCAATGTGCGACTCTTGCGTATACGCAGAAGGCCGTGCATTTGCGAACCGGTAGGGAAGGTAAGTAAATCCCACCTCTGCTTGGCACCATGCAGTGGTGAAAAAAAAATTTTTTTTTTTTGCTACTGGTTCTGTGGGCGTGGCTTGGTGGGCATGGCAGGGGAAGGATTCTGCAAAATCCCCATTCCCACCCCACTCCTGGGGGAAGAATATTGCAAAATCCCCATTCCCTCCCCACTCCAGAAGGATACTGCAAAATCCCCATTCCCTCCCCACTCCAGAAGGATACTGCAAAATCCCCATTCCCTCCCCACTCCAGGGGAAGGATACTGCAAAATCTCCATTTCCACCCCCCTCTGGGGCCAGCCAGTGGTAGCATTTGCCTCTCCGAACTACTGAAAATTTCCGCTACCGGTTCTCCAGAACCTGCTGGACTTCACCCCTGGCACTATGGCTGTGAAATGAATCTGGCTCCCCCATTAACCCCGTTTGCAAAAAGGGGGGATCACAGGACTCCCCCCAGCATACGACAACCGTCATATAATACAGTTGCCAAGCGTCCGAATTTCGATCATGTGACCATGAGGACGCCGCAACCGTCATTAAGTAAGTCCCCCATCTTTTTCAGCGCCGTTGTAACTTCAAACGGTCAACTAAACGAAAGGGTGGAGGCCTACCTATATTCTACTGTACCACCTTTTGAGCTTTAAAAGAAGCTTTCAAGCCAAAAGACAAATCCCACACACCAAAGAAAAATTCCACTCACCCCTTGGGATGGCCCGTGTATTTGTCACACAGGATAGTCACACGATTGACGGAACCACAGCCATGGAAGTGGGCTTCCAACTCTTCTGCGGTTGCCCCGTAATCTACCTGAAATGGAAGACGGGTCAGTTCAGGAGGTGAGCCTGCTGGTTTTGTCCTCGCTTGAAGAAAGCTAGGAGAGGGGGGGGGGGAAAACTCACATTTCCTACGTATATAGATCTGGCGTCGGCTTCCATCTTTTCTTCTAAAGACATGATGACTGGGCCAGCTAGAGAGAGAGAGAGAGAGAGAGAGAGAGAAATAGAGGCAGAATTATTAAACAATGTGGAAGGAAAAATGTCTATGGCGATTCTCAGTCATCCCAAAATTTTCCTAAAAGAGGCAGCTGGACTTTCTGCTTATTTTTCTTCAAAGGCGTTTCGTTTCTCCTCCCAAGAAGCTTCTTCAGCTCTGACAGGATGGTGGGGAACGGAAGGATTTATACTCCTGGCAGACAGCTGGACATTTGCATCCTTTTAGTGAGGGGTCGTTAAAATCCCCTCAGGGTCACCTGAGTGGTGCAAATGGCTATGGAGCCTTTTTTTGGAACCGTGTTGTAGACTGGAGATAAGATTATGTGGTATCCGTCCCCCTTTGTTGAGAGAGGGCTGTTCAACTTGGAAATAGATGGCCTCTTTGACCCCTTTTTCGAACCAGCAGTCCTCTCTGTCGAAAATGGGGACTTTGCTGGCTTCAAAAGATTGGCCTCTGTCTTTTATTTGCAGATGGACAGCTGAAATAAGTCCTGATCGGTTTATTTATTTATTTATTATTATTGAATTTCTATACCGCCCTTCTCCCTGAGGACTCAGGGCGGTGTACAGCCAGAATTAAAAAAAAACATGCAGTACAAATATTAAAAAACAATTAAAAGATATATAAATTTGGCCCAATTAAAACTCACTACCAATTAAAACATTTAAAACATTTAAAAATTTCTTCTTAAGCTAGCCCGGCTTGCTTGAAAAAATGGGTTTTAAGGGTTTCTTCTCCTTTGTTGTGTCATGCGTTTAGGAAGTGGCTGTTTTGTTTCCCCAATGTACGGATCTGCACATGGCTCGCTGCATTGGGCTGCATATACCACGTTGCTCAGTTTGGTCTAGGTGTTTTATCCTTGGGGTGGACAAGCTTCTGCCTTTTGTGTATTCTTGGGTTTGAAGTGTGCACGTATGTTGTGTTGGCCGAAGATCCTCCTGAGCGTTTTCCGATATTCTTGCAACGTATGAAAAGATGACGTTGCTTTGTTCATTGTTCTCTTCATCGTCTTGTTATGGAGGAGCTCCTGTGGGATCTTTTTTGAAGATTTGATGAAGGCCCACTTGGCATGGCCACACATTCAGAGGGCTTCCTTGATTGTGTTGTCCTTTTTCTTTCCCATCGTTGGTGGCAGGCAGACCTTCAGCTTGGTGGTGTAGAGTTCTGATGACTTCCATTTTGTGCTCCAGTGGGTTGATGGGACTCAAAATGTAAATATTGATGGCAGCGGGTGGGGGTGGGGGCTGTCTGTAAACTTCAGTGTTAAGACTTCTGTCTTCCTTGATATGTACTGCACAATCCAGGAAGGCTATAGACCAGTGATGCCAAAAGCCGGGGAAGCCCAAGGGGGTTGCAGACACCCATAATTCAATGATCCCCACCTTAGCACATGTGCGCAGTACCCACCGTGCTCCCCACACTTTTGGCACATGATGGCACGGTGGGTCCGGTAGGCCCATTTTTCACCCTCCCCAGGCTCCAAAGGCTTTCTTGGAGCCTGGGGAGGGCAAAAATGGCCTTCTCCACCCCTCCAGAGGCTGCAAACAGTTCGTTTCCTGACTTCCGGTAGGACAGTTTTTCGCCCTCCCCAGGCTCCAGAGGCTTTCTAAGAACCTGGGGAAGGCAAAAACGGCTTTCCCCAAACATTGAAGTTTACAGAAAACCCACACACAGAGATCAATATTTACATTTTGATTCCCACCACCCACACTGGAGCACAAAATGGATGTCATCAGAACTCTACACTGCCGAGCTGAAGTCCAGGCTACCAGCTACACATCAAGGAAACCCTCGGAACGTGTGGCCTTCATCAAATCTTCAAAAAAGATCCCACAGGAGTTCCTACATAACAAGACGACGAAGAGAACAATGAACCAAGCAACATCGTCATTCCACACGTTGCAGGGACATCGGAAAAGCTCAGGAGGATCTTCAGCCAACACAACATATGTGCATGCTTCAAACCCAAGAACACACTAAGGCAGAGGCTTTTCCACCCCAAGGATAAAAACACCTAGAAACAAACTGAGCAACGTGGTATATGCAGTATAATGCAGCGAGCCATGTGCAGATCTGGACATTGGGGAAACAAAACAGCCACTTCTGAAACACATGGCACAATAAAGGAGAACAAACCCATCAGGACAAGATCCAGCCATCCATCCTCATTTAAGACAGAGGCCACTCTTTTGAAGACAGCAAAAGTCTCCATTTTGGACAGAGAGGACCACTGGTTTGAAAGAAGGGTCAAAAAAGGCCATCTATGTCAAAATTGGACAGCCTTCTCTCAACAGAGGGGGAGGGATATGATGTCATCTACCTCCAATCTACAACATAATCCTTTCAAGAGTTCCAAGAAGGCTCCACACTCATTTCCACCATGCAGGTAACCGATAACATACCTCCAGGTGGCTTTAAGGACTGGCTAAAAGGATGCAAATGGAAAATGATTAGCTGTCTGCAAGGAGTGTAAATCCTTCCATTCTCCACCATCCAATCAGAGCTGAAGAAGCTCCTGGAGGAGAAGCGAAGGAGAAGTCTTCAAAGAAAAACCAGAAAGTCCAGTTGCCTGTTGGGAAAAGCACGTTTGGGACAACCATGACCTGGATGACTGAGGAATCTCCAGAGACGTCCAGGTCATCGTTGTCTCAAAGGTGCTTTTTCAAAAAAGCAACCGGACTGTATTTTCCGTGAGGAATAGAATAGAATAGAATTCTTTATTGGCCAAGTGTGATTGGACACACAAGGAATTTGTCTTGGTGCATACGCTCTGAGTACATAAAAAAAAAAAAAGAATCATAAGGTGCAATACTTAATGACAGTCATAGGGAAACAGTCAATATAAATCTTAAGGATACCAGCAACAAGGTTACAGTCATACAGTCATAAGTGGGAGGAGATGAGAGATAGGAACAATGAGAAGAATAACAGTAATGCAGACTTAGTAACTAGTTTGACAGTGTTGAGGGAATTATTTGTTCAGCAGAGAGATGGCGTTCAGGAAAAAACCGTTCTTGTGTCTAGAAGACATTGCCAAAAAAGCCAACACAGGCTGTATTAATAGAGGAATAGAATCAAGACCACGTGAAGTGTTAATACCACTTTATAAGGCCTTGGTAAGGCCACCCTTGGAATCCTGCATCCAGTTTTGGTCACCACTATGTAAAAAAGATGTGGAGACTCTAGAAAGAGTGCAGAGAAGAGCAACAAATGTGATTAGGGGACTGGAGGCCAAAACATGTGAAGAAGGGTTGCAGGAACTGGGTGTGTCTAGTTTAATGAAAAGAAGGACTGGGGAGACATGATAGCAGTGTTCCAATATCTCAGGGGCTGCCACAAAGAAGAGGGAATCAAGCTATTCTCCAAAGCACCTAAGGGCAGGACAAGAAGCAATGGGTGGAAACCAATCAAGGAGAGAAGCAATTTAGAACTGAGGAGAAACTTCCTAACAGTGAGGACAATTAACCAGTGGAACCGTTTGCCACCAGAAGTTGTGGGTGCTCCAACACTGGGAGTTTTTAAGAAGAGATTGGACAACCCTTTGTCTGAAATGTATAAGGTTTCCTGCCTGGGCAGGGGGTTGGACTAGAAGACCTCATCGATGAAGCTTCTTGGATGAGAAGCGAAATGTTTTCTTCTTCCTTAACAAAAAGCACTCGTTGCCTTTTTAAAAAAGGAACTTTGAGAGGCCGTGGGAGAATTTTGTCCTTCCTGCCGGTATTCAGGAACAGCCTTAGGTAAAGGATGAGGGTTTAGGGCAGGGGTCGGCAACCTTAAATACTCAAAAGAGCCACAAAGGTCCTAACCGGAAGCCCCACCCCCCCATTCAATTCTGAAGCCAATCGGAAGTCCGGTTCCCCCACCATAGTGTCTCCTCCTAGCGTGGCGTCTTTTTTCCTCTACCTGTCCTAACTGAAAGTCCTATCAATTGTGGAGCCGACCGGCGATAGGGAGCTGCAGCAGAGGGACGAAAGAGCCACATGCGGCTCCAGAGCCGCGGGTTGCCGACTCCTGGTTTAGGGTTAGGTTTATCTATCTATCCTGACTCCGAAGGTAGCAATTCTGCCTAAGATCAGAGTGGATAAAAATCAATGATTTTTTTAAAAATATCAAAAAAAAAAATCGGATTTTTTTTATTTAAATCGGATTTTTTTGATTTTTATTGAATTTATTTTAATAAAAAACTTTTGGGGTAAAAATCTATTGTAAGATAGTTTTCTATTTAGGATACATAAATAATTTAGTTTATTCAGCATGAAATGGAGCTTAGTTATGTAGCATGAGGCTGTATATTCTGCAACACTAGGACTATCGGTGAGTCAACAGTGGGTCAAAGGAGTAGCAGAGATGACAGTTGCTCTTTAAAAATTATGATTTAAATCGAGTTGATTTAAATCAAGCCTTTTTACTAGTGATTTAAATCATGATTTAAATTGTGATTTAAATCAACTCGATTTAAATCAAATCCACCCTGCCTAAGATCCAAGTCAATAACAGACTGCTTTTTCCTCTTTCAGGGCCCGAATTTCCTAGTCAAGTTTAGCTAATGCAAAAGAGAATTTTTTTTGACTCCTTTTCAGTACAAGTACGTGTTTCTACTTTACAGGAAATCAACCAAAACACGTGATCATCCCAAGGCAATCTGTCTTTCTGTGCTCCCAAGATGTCATTTAACATCACCCTGCCAGGCCGTTCCAGCTTAAAGAGAGCAAAGATACGATTCAGTCAACTCAGCGAGGGACGATCTAGAGATTTTTGGGAGGGTGTGTGTGTAAGTGTATATATACACAAACACACAAGCACAGACCCACTCCTAGATAGGCACAGGGTGTACCAGAACTGAGGGCCCATAATTTATTTGACTATATACTTCTATTAAGTATTTGAATGGTTGCCATTTCCTTCTAAACACTTCCTTAATGCTTGGTCCAATTTATGACCTGTGATCATTTCTAAAAGCACAATTACCTTTTCTCTTGAGAAAATAAATAAATAAAACCTATTGTGATTGGCCTATGGGACCGGAGTTCCGGTATACCCTGTGCACAAAGACATGTATATTTTATTTATCTGCATCCCACTTTTTGTTTTTTACGAATAACTCAAGGCGGTGAACATATTCAACATAGCTTCCTCCTATTTTCCCCGTAACCACCACCTTGTGAGGTGGCTTGGGCTGAGACAGGAAGAGACCGAAACTTACCCAGCCGGCTTTCGTGCCTGAGGCAAACTAGAATTCACAGTCTCCTGGTGATTGGCCCAAAGACACCAAGCCAGCTTTCATGCTGAGACAGGACTAGAAATCACAGTCTCCTGGTGATTGGCCCAGATACCCAGCCATCTTTCATGCTGAGACGGGACTAGAACTCACCATCTTTGGCCCAGAGATACCCAACCAGCTTTCATGCTGAGACAGGACTAGAACTCACACTCTCCTGGTGATTGGCCCAAAGGCACCTAGCTGGTTTTCGTGCCCAAAGGTGGGACTAGAACTCACCTGCTCCTGGTGATTGGGGGCCAAAGTCACCCAGCCGGCTTTCATGACTAAGGTGGGACTAGAACTCACAATCTCCCGCTTTCTCACCTGGTGCCTTAACCACTAGACCAAAGAGGCTGTTGTCATATATACTCACGGATACAAACCCAAACTCACACCCATTTAAGACACTGTGTGCGAGTGTGTGCGTCTACAGTCCTGAATAATTAAAATGGCTCTCCTGATTGAGAAAATGGCTGAAATTCAGAATTTCCTGGGGGGGGGGGGGGGGGGGGCCCCCCCCTTTTCGGGGTGGGGGGCTCATGTTCATCTGTTTCTCCACTTCATTTTGCAATTCTTTCAACTTCTCGGCTTCTTCCTCCATCTCTCGTACCCTGGCTTTGATGGCTTCCAGCTCCTGGGGAGGAATGGGCGAGCAGCAATGAGCAAAAATAAATAAAATAAAATGCCCTTTGGGTGGTCCCACCCAAAGGCTCCTTCTGAAAGAAGTATAGGTAGTCCTTGACTTATTTACGACACCGGAGCCCAAATATTTCTGTTGGTAAGCGAGACATGGGTTAACCCCAAGGTTACGACCATTCTTGCCACCGTTAAGTGAATCCGTGCAGTTGTTTTGCTGGTCGCACGACGGTTCGGTGAATCTGGCTTTCCCCGTTGACTTTGCTCGTCAGACGGGAGATTGCGCGAGACCGTCCCGTCCGTCATAAATGTGAGTCACTTGCCAAGGGTCTGAATTTTGATCATGTGACGAGGATGCTGTAATGTGAAAAATGGTTCTAAATCACTTTTTTCCAGTGTCGTCGTGACTGTGAATGGTCACTAAATGAATTATTGTAAGTCGAAGGCCACCTGTATCCATTCTACAGCAAAACCACAGGTAGTCCTTGACATAGTTATTCGTTGAGTGACATTCGATATTATAACGCCACTGGGGGGAAAAAATGAGTTACCACCGGTCCTCATACTTACGGCCAGGGCGGCATCTCCACAGTGACGCTGATCGAAATTTTGGCAACCAACACATATTTACAATTGTGGCACTGTCTTGGGGTCACACAATCCTACCATTTGTGGCCTTTTTTGGACGGCTTCCAACTAGCAAAGTCAATGGGGGGGAAGTGGGGGACCGGATTCGTTTAACCACCCTGTGATTCCCTCAACCACCATGGCAAGGTCGGTTGTAAAATCAGGCAAACAACTGTCTCCCTTAACAATGAAAATTCGGGACCCCAATTGTGGTTGTAAATCAAGGACTAATTGCATTGCCAATTAGGATGCAATTGTGGGTAATACAGGTAGTCCCTCGACTTGCAAGAGTCCATTCTGTGACCGTTCGAAGTTACGACGGCACTGAAAAGAAGCGACTTCGGACCGTTTTTCACACTTACGACCGTTGCGGCATTCCCCACGGTCACGTGATCAAAATTCGGGTGCTTGGTAACCGACTCCTGTTTACGACCGTTGTCACGTCCCAGGGGTCAGGTGATGATCCCTCTTTTGCGACCTTCAGACGGGCAACGTCAACGGGGAAGCTAGAGTCGCTTAAGAACCGTTTTACCAACTCCACAACTGCAGTGATTCACTTTTACGAAAGGTCGTAAAAGGAGGCAAAATTCACTTCACTTTACTTTATCTCGCTTAGCGACCGCACTGCAGGGCTCAATTGGGGGTCGTAAGTTGAGGGTTACCTGTACACCATTCCAAACAGCTGCCCACCCCTCCTCTGCCTCCTGATTTTTTCCCTCACTAACGGTTCCCCTGGCACATATGTGCTAGTCGTTCCCGACTCTAGGGGGCGGTGCTCATCTCCGTTTCTAAGCCAAAGAGCCAGCCAGCGCTGTCCGAAGACGTGATCTCGGTGGTCATGTGGCTGGCATGACTCAACGCCAAAGACGCACGGAACGCTGTGACCTTCCCACCAAAGGTGGTCCCTATTTTTCTACTTGCATTTTTTTATGTGCTTTCGAACTGCTAGGTTGGCAGAAGCTGGCACAAGTAACGGGAACTCATCCCATTACGCGGCGCTAGGGATTCGAATTGCTGAACTGCCGACTTTCTGATCGACAAGCTCAGCATCTTAGCCACTGAGCCACTACATCCCTTCTTTATATTTGTATATGTGTATATGTGTATACACACACACACACACACACACACACAAATGCCCAGCTCTGTCTGGGCTGCCCCCCCCCCCCCCGGAAGCCATTGTTCCAGATGGCAGAAGCCCCCTCAGCCTTTAAGGAAAGGGGGTCTTCCCCCCCTCCCCGATTGGCCCAAATAGCGGGAAAGCTCCCATCCTCCGCTAAACACTCTTTGTTCCCACGCTGAGAAGCAATGGAGGCTCTCCCTGCCCTGGAGCTCTATCGTCCCATCAAAGCATCCCGCTTTGATTTCCATCTAATTTTGATTCCGTTTTTAAGCAGCCACATGTCTCCCAGACGCACCCCCACACACACAAAATCCCTCCAGGATCTGCATTGCCTTAAGACACCCCTCTTTTCAATCCTCTCTCCCCACCCCCTCATCTCCCATTAAGCCCCATGGCTCAATCCCATCTTTCCTCCTCCTGCCCAGCAAAGAGCCGCCCTTCCCTTCCCTCTTTTCTTTTCTTTTTTTCAAAATGCGCATAAAAAAATAAAATAAAACAGATCGTGCTTCCTCCCCATCAGCTTCTCTGGCGCTGAAGCAAACTGGCTCTAGTCCACAAAATAAAATTTAAAAATCATATATATGGTTTTTTTTTAAAAAAAGAGGGGTTTCCATCCCTCTTCTTATTGTTCTCCAGCCAAGCATGCGGGGCGAAGAAGAGACAGATCCGGGTCAGGGAGGAAGAAGAGGATTTTTTTAAAAAAATTGCCTTCCTTCCTTTTTCATTTTTTTCCTTTTTAAAAATTCTTGCCTTCCTCCCTTCCACTTACTCCCATCTCCTTTCTTCCTTCCACCCTCCTTCTTGAATGTTTCCTTTTTAAAAAATTCTTTTCCTCCCTTCGTCTTATTCCCATCGCCTTCCTTCCTATTTTTTCGTTTTTAAATTCTTTCCTTCCTTCCATTCCCATCTACACCCTTCTCTTCTTCCCAACCTCCCACTTTCATTTTTTCTTTTAAGAATTCTCTCCTTCCTTCCTTTCATTTTTCCTATTTTTAACTCTTTCCTTCCTCCCTTCTTACTCCAACTCCTCCCTTCCTATTTCATTTTTGCTTTTTTTGAATTCTTTCCTTCCTTATTCCCATCTCCCCTTCCTTCCGATCACTCACCCTTTTTCATTTTTAAAAATTCTTTCCTTCCTTTCCATTTTCTTTTAAATTATTTCCTTCCTCCCTTCCACTTATCCCCATCTCCTTACTTCCTCCTTCCCAATCTCCCTCTTTAATTTTCCCTTTTTAAAATTCTTTCCTTCTTCCCTTCCACTTATCCTCTTTAATCTTTTTTTCTCTCCTTCCTCCCTTCCACACTCATCCCCATCTCCTCCCTCCCTCCCTCTTTAATCTCTAATTCTTTCCTTCCTCCCTTCTACTTATCCCCATCTCCTTCCTCCCTCTTCTTTTTACAATTCTTTCCTTCCTCCCTTCCACACTCATCCCCATCTCCTTCCTTCCTTCTCCCTTTTTCTCTTTTTTGCAATTCTTTCCTTCCTCCCTTCCACTAATCCCCATACCCATCTCCTTCCTTCTTCCCTTTCTTTTTTTTTTTTACAAATTTCTCTTCCTCCCTTTCCCACTCATCCCCATTGCCTTCCTTCCCCCTTTTTCTCTTTTTTCCAATTCTTTCCTTCCTCCCTTCCACACTCATCCCCATCTCCTTCCTTGCTTCCTCCCAATCTCCTTTTTCTTTTTAAATTTCTTTCCTTCCTCCCTTCCACCCTCATCCCCTTCCTTCCTTCTCCCTTTTTCTCTTCTTTGCAATCCTTTCCTTCCTCCCTTCCACTTATCCCCATCTTTCCTCCCTCCCTTTAATCTTCCTTTTAAAAATTCTTGCCTTCCTCCCTTCCCTTCCACACTCATCCCCATCTCCTTCCTTCCTTCTCCTTTTTGCAATTCTTTCCTTCCTCCCTTCCACACTCATCCCCATTTCCTTCCTCCCTCCCTTTTTTTTTACAAATTTCTCTCCTTCCTCCCTTTTCCACTCATCCCCATTTCCTTCCTCCCTTTTTTTACAAATTTCTCTCCTTCCTCCCTTCCACACTCATCCCCATCGCCTTCCTTCCTTCCCTTTTCTTTTTTGCAATTCTTTCCTTCCTCCCTTCCACACTCATCCCCATCTCCTTCCTTGCTTCCTCCCAATCTTTTTTCTTTTTAAAATTCTTTCCTCCCTCCCTTCCACACTCATCCCCATCTCCTTCCTTCTTTCCTTTTACAATTCTCTCCTTCTTCTCTTCATCCCCATCTCCTTCCTTCCTTCTCCCTCTTTTCCTCTTCTTTGCAATCCTTTCCTTCCTCCCTTCCGCACTTATCCCCATCTTTCCTCCCTCCCTTTAATCTTCCTTTTAAAAATTCTTGCCTTCCTCCCTTCCGTCCACACTCATCCCCATCTCCTTCCTTCTTTCCTTTTTCTACAATTCTCTCCTTCCTCCCATCCACTCATCCCCATTTCCTTCCTCCCTCCTTTTTTTTACAAATTTCTCTCCTTCCTCCCTTTTCCACTCATCCCCAACTCCTTCCTTCCTTCTCCTTTTTGCAATTCTTTCCTTCCTCCCTTCCACACTCATCCCCATCTCCTTCCTTCTTTCCTTTTTTTTTTTTACAATTCTCTCCTTCCTCTCTTCATCCCCATCTCCTCCCTCCCTCCCTCTTTAATCCTTTTTTTTTAAAAAAAATTTTCCCTTTCTCCCTCCTTCCCCTCCCCTCCATTCATCCTCCCTCCCTCCCTCTCTCCCCTTCCCTTCATCCATCCATTTATCCATCCACCCAAGTCCCCGACCCCCTTTCTTCCCTCCCCCCCCCAAGCGTGCGTGTGTTTTTGAGGGGGGGGGACTGAGGGAGAGATTATGATGCTCACCGGGTCCTCGATGGCGGAGTCGCCGGGGTCGCCCTCGCCCAGGCCGGCCTCCTCCTCCAGCTCCTCGGGGTGAGGGTGGTGGTGGGGGGCGCCCACGCCGGCCGGCCCAACCCGGGAGGGCAGCGAGGAGGAGGAGGAGGACGACGTTGTCGTGAGGGCGCCCCGGGGGCCGCCGCCGCCGCCGCCTCTGCTCCCGCCGCCGCCGCCGCCGCCTCCTCCGCCCGCCGTCTCGATCAGCATCTCCTCCTCCTCCTCCTCCTCCACGCGGAGCCCCCCGCCCTGCTCCCCCCCGGGGCCGCTTCCCCCCAGCCCGTTCCCGTACTGCGACGGCAGGCCTCCGCCGGGGCCCCCGCCCGGCTCCCCGTCGCCCCCCAAGGCCGCGATAGCGCCTCGCCCGCCGCCGCCGCTCGTGCCCTTCACGGACGCCATAGAGCCCGCCGCTGTTGCTACTGCTGCCGCTGCCGCCACCACAGCCACCGCCGCCGCCGCCACTACCACTGGCCGCCCGCCTTCGCCGCCGCCGCCGCCGCGCTCCGATTGGCTACCCCGTCTCGCGCCCGCTCCTATTGGCTCGGCTCCGACGCTCTCTATTGGCTCCCTGCCTCGCGCCTTCAGCTCGGCTTCTTGGTTTGGCCCGGCTCGGCCGTCAATCAAGAGGCGTCCGTCGGCGATTGGGAAAGGGTTTGGCTACTTTCGACCCGCCTTCAAAATGGTGGATTTTTGGAGGCGAAGGGCTTTTCAGGGGTTTTTTTTTTGTGTGTGTGGGGTGGGAGACGACCCGCCCCTCTCAAGCGTTTGCTGCTCGCTGATTGGGACGGAGGGACCACCACCAACTTTTGTTGGCTCGGGGGTTGCGGAGCTGAATGGAGAAGGTGGGTGTCAATCTGTTAGGCCCCGCTGGGCGCGAAAGAAAGGAGGTTTGAGGCAAGGGAAGGTGGACTTTGCCCGCCTTTTCCTCGCCAATCTTAATCCTCGAGGCGTGATTGGTCGTTTGGCATGGTTAGTTTTTTTTTTTGTTTAAAAAAAAGGTAAAGCCATCGCTTATTGGCGGAAAAGTAATGTGTCAATCCTATCGGCGGATGTTTTCATTGGGCCTCCCAGCCCGCCTTGAGCCAATCAACCCAAAAACCAAATTGCATCAATGAGTGACGTTTTGCAAATCTTTGCACACGGTCTAGTCCACTGGGCGGGAACGGCGTTCCTCTTTTCCTATTCTAATTGGTCGATTTTTTTTTTTAATCTCTTTTGGCCCGCCTTTCGTTTTCCACACTGAGGTGGGAAAGCCGACATTTCTGATTGGCTCTTAAAGGAAAGAACGTTTAACGGCTCCTTTGGCCCCGCCCCGCGCGGACGGGCTACGATCTTAATAGACCCTTCAGCACAACTTCCGGTTTCTTTTCGGAGGTTGGGGGGGCGGCGGAAATAGGCCTTAATACCAATAGCACTTAGATTTATATTTATTTATTTATTTATTTATTTATTTATTTATTTATTATTTTTTCATATTTGTATACCGCCCTACTCCCGAAGGACTCAGGGCGGTGAACAGCCATAATAAATACAAATACATATAGAAGTTAAAAACTATTAAGAAACAGATTAAGTAATTTAGGCTCAAAGATTAAAAACATCCAAATTTATCTAAAGAGGTTTAAAACCCAATTTAAAAGCCAGTTTAAAAGCCAATTAAAAAGGGAGAGTTAGGGAGATACGCTAATCGGCATATGATAAAATGAAATTTCGTTGCATATAGCTCTCAAATGGTCGGCAACTCCAATATACCCTACAAACAAGACAAAATACATACATACATACATACATACATACATACATACATACATACATAATTAGGCATATGCCCACATAACCATGCAGAGAAACAACACTGCAGTTCGGATGTTTAGTTACAACTTTTGAAGCATCGCCATGCTCGTGTGATCAAAATTCAGATTCTTGGCCATGGGTTCATACTTATGACCGTAGCTGTGTCACGGGATCACGCGATCCCCTTTTGCGACCTTCTGGCCAGCCAAGTCCACAGGGGAAGCCGGATTCCCTTAAGAACCAGGTTATTAACTTATCAACTGCAGTGATTCACTTAACAAGCGTGGCAAGAAAGGTCACACAATGGGGCAACACGTAACAAATGTCTCACTTAACAATGGAAATTTGGGGCTCCGTTGTGGTCCTAAGTCGAGGACTACCTGTAAATGGAGACCTCCTTTACTGCGGCTTGCCTCCAAATTCATCGGCTCCGGCATCTTTCTCCCAGCATGGACCTGGACCAGATTTTACTTCCAACATATGGGTTTAAATAACCTTCTGCAAGTGGCAAATTAACTTTATAACCATTCATTTAGTGACCATTTGAAGGTCCCACGGCCTGAAAAAAAGTGACCTACGGCCATTTTTCACACTTACAACCACGGCAACATCCCCTTGGACACATCAAAAGTGATCAAAATTCAGCCACCTGACAACTGGTTCATATCTATGACGGTTGCAACATCCCTGGGTCCCCTTTGCGACCTTCTGACAAGCAAAATCCACGGGGAAGCCAGGTTCACTGAACTTCGGTGTTACTGACTGAACACCTGCAGTGATTCACTTTAACGACTGTGGCAGGAAAGGTCGTAAAATGGGACAAAGCTCATTTCGCAACTGTCTCGCTTACCAACGGAATTTTTGGGCTCCGTTGTGGTCATAAGTCGAGGACGATCTGTATTTCTTAATATTTGCGTGTGTATTCCAGGACTTCCAGAATAATATTTCCAATATTTTCTTGTTAAGTTTCCGAATAAACTATGTTTTTTCCCAAAAAATGACTTTATCTCGAAGGAGAAAGATTTCCTGGTCTTGAAAAGGTCACTAAACAGATAATTGTAAGTTGAGGACTATCCAAATGGAAAAACTCAGGCTTTGAAGGATTATGGATTGATAGGACTTGTTCAAGAGAGAAGTTCAAATGTCACATCTTTTAAGATTGGGAACGTGTACATGCAGGACCTGGGTTCCCCAGCCAGCACGGGGAATTCTGGGAGTTGAAGTCCCCCCCCACCCCCGTCTTGAAGCTGGTTTTTCCAGTGTGGGAAGCTCCTCCCCTCCTAGAGAATGAAATATTTTTGGTAATATTAAAAGAGGCAGAATATTTTATCTCCAAAGGAGAAATGGAGAAATGTGTTCTTAAAGGCAGAAAGCAGCCCCCAGTCTTCCTGCCACAGGAAAACAGCCTCAAGCAGAAGCTTGAAGAGGCTAGTCTTTAGGAATGGAGATTTTGTATCCATTCAGAAAGAATGGATAATGGCCAATCTATTCAGAAGCAAAGAGACTCCAGATAAGCAGCACAATTAGGCAAGCCAAAACTGACAAGATTAGCTCAGACAAACACCTAGGATTTGCATTTCTCCTTTTGTCTGAACATCCAGCCATGACCCCATAGGAATCTGGCAACAGCCATTAAAATATTAAAGGACACAGAGACAAGCATCTGAATTACAAAGCCCCGAAGAATGTATCAAAGCCCATCTATCCCAACCCCATTTGATCAGCCACCCCAAAAACATGCTGCTGTCACTAAAGTTTCTGGCATCCAAATAAACAGACCTCCTCTCCTTACAGCCAGCCTCCATTTTATTTTCAGCGTCTTTTTCCCAGCTTGGGACCGGACCAGATTTTTTTTTCTTCTGACACTCAGCCAGCATGGGGAATTCTGGGAGTTGAAGTCCACCTGTCTTAAAGCTGTTTCCTCAGGCAGCATGAGGAATTCTGTGAGTTGAAGCCCATCCATCTTAAAGCATGGGGAATTCTGGGAGTTGAAGTCCACCTGTCTTGAAGCTGGTTCCTCAGCCAGCATGAGGAATTCTGTGAGTTGAAGCCCATCCATCTTGAAGCATGAGGAATTCTGGGAATTGAAGTCCACCCGTCTTAAAGCTGGTTCCTCAGCCAGCATGGGGAATTCTGGGAGTTGAAGTCTACCCGTCCTAAAGTGGTTCCTCAGCCAGCATGGGGAATTCTGAGAGTTGAAGTCCACCCGTCTTGAAACTGGTACCTCAGCCAGCATCTGGAATTCTGGGTGTTAAAGTCCACCTGTCTTAAAGCTGTTTCCTCAGGCAGCATGGGGAATTCTGGGAATTGAAGTCCACCCATCTTAAAGCTGGTTCCTCAGCCAGCATGTGGCATTCTGGATGTTGAAATCCACCCGTCTTAAAACTGCTACTACCGTAGACTGTAGAACAGCCAAGAAATTCTGTCCATCTCTCCAGAATTTGACAGAAAGAAATAGCTGGATTCAGGTACCTTTCTGAAGTTGCCCTAAAGTTTCTTCTTCTGGTTTGACCGGCCGGACTGCCTACTAGAAAACAGGCCTACTAGAAGTTTGGGAAGGCCAGAAACAGGTGGACTGGAGGCAGTTGGTCAATTTGCATTGACCAACCCCCCTTTTTTGTTTTAATTGCATAGCTCAACCCTTTTTATGCTGCATGACAAAGCGCTCAAGGGAATTTCAGTAGATCCAAGATGGGAGTTTCATTATTCATGACTGAACAAATAAACATTCGATGATTCAGATATGAACAGAAACTCCTAGTTAATGATCCCCCAAGCCAAGCCAACCCTTCTCCTTGACATCCAAGGTTATACAATGTTTTGGGGAGCCCGGAAAGTGCCTCTGCTTTACCCCTCAGGCCAACATGGAGGCCACCCATGGCAGGATCCCATTTCTGATCTCCCGTTTCCAAACTGATCCATGTCAATGACCCCCCCACCCCCACCCCAATCTCGGTCCACTCTCCTTCCTCGGTGAGTGTGAGGTTTTTCTCCTTTCAAATATCTCTGACAGTGCATTAACTCCATTTGATCTTCTGAATTATTCATCGCCCTGGAAACATTTCTGGGCACGGAATCTCTTTTTAAAGAGACATTTTGTCCTTGGCACCTGGACCTCCCTTTCCAGAAGTCATAAAACCTTTCGGAGTCTCGTCCTAGAGACGTTTCTATCTCCGCTCTTCCAAACCTCTCATTTTGGGTGCGATTCTGGGATTTCTCACAAGGATTCCTTGCTCGAGGATCGAGCCAGTCAGAAACTAGAAGTCTGGCTTTCAACGATTGGCGGTGAGAGTAATTTTGAAGTCACCTTTGGATGGACTGAACCTAAAAAAAAACCCCGCTCACAAGCTTGCAAGCTCTCAAGGAAAACACGTCGTTGTACAGACAGGGCATGCTTCGGTGGAGATATAAAAGGATTGAGCCAGTGAGAGAGGGTCCATCGGACGGGGTGAGTGACAGCTAGAAGGCAGAAAGGAACGATTGAGCCCTTGGCAAGAGGCAAAGAGACCCCCCCTCCATTTGATCAAAATAGCCTAAGGGAGAGGGGGTTTGAAGACTCAGCATTTGCCTAAGCTCAAGGAGACGCAGATAACCAAAAAGGACAGAGGACATCTTAGACAGCTGGTGCAATAGGACCAAAAGCAGAGATCAGGCAGACATAAGACATTTTCACTGAAGGAGAGGTCCTAACGTTACAAGTCACAGATCTTGCGCAGACGATTCCTTTTTTTCTCCTCCTAGAAAGAAACCAGGCAGAAGACTCCATGGGAGAAACAGAGATCACCAATGGGAGAGTTCATTCCTCACCCACCCCATGTAAATTCCTGTGAAGTAGCAGAACAATTGCAGAGGAGCAAGTAGATTTAAGAATCCGTGATCCGAGGAGGTAACGGGATAACGAGAAGATCTGGGCGCTCCAAAGATCAGAAGACGCGCAAGAGAATGATCAAGAGGCAAGTCTTCCCCACCCACCCACCCAAGGAGATCTAAGACGGGACCCCGTCTCCGTGAGAGCAAGGACGAGTCTCGTGGAAGGGTTGATCAAGGACTGTGATCCCTAAAGGTAACCACGACTAAACGATCACAATAGACTGGACAGGGCAAGTGAGTTGGGCTGTAGGGAAGAGGGGTCGGCAACTTTGCTCCTATGGCCCGTGCTCCGCCTTCCCCTTTGACCCCCAGCAACATTCCCCGCAACTTAAGCTACATCGCTGGCTTGTACGAGAGGGCCTATTATCGCACGGCCCGTCCGAGCATTGCGGAGGATTCGGGAACCGAAGGCTCCGAATCTGAGTCTGAGGGCAGGCCACGAGGCAGGACCCAGAGGAGACGCCGCCATCTCTTCCAGGGGTCCAAAAGAAGGGGAAGGCGCCGGACTCGCTCGGCCCCGGCTCAGGGTAGGATACGAGGAGTATCACGCAGCCGTAGCCCTGGGACTCGCAAGAGGGTGCGCTTCGCCGACTCCTTGGGCCTGGAGCTGATCAGCGTGCGGCAGTTCTGGCCTAACGATCTCCCACAGGTGCCAGAGAGGGTCCACAACCAGCTGAGGCGCGATTCACTCAGCCACTTCGCGCCGTGTCTGCCGTTCTGCCCACCAGTGAAGGTAACAGGGGTCGGTCCTGCCCGGAAGCACCTTGGGGTGGGTTTGGGTGAGCCTTCCATAAAAGTTAGAACCATGCAATCAATTCAGAGTTTTCTTTTCCTCAGCAAAGGAGAACAGGGTATTCATTTCCTTGAGGGAATTAGAATAGAATAGAATAGAATAGAATAGAATAGAATAGAATAGATAGAATAGATAGAATAGAATAGAATAGAATAGAATAGAATAGAATAGAATCTGGAAGGGACCTTGGAGGTCTTCTAGTCCAGCCCCTTGCTCAAGCAGGAGAACCTATACCAGAGGTGGGTTCTAAATTTTTTACTACCGGTTCTGTGAGCGTAGCTTATTTTGTGGCTGTGGCTTGGAGGTCATGTGACTAGGTGGGCGTGGCTAGCTGGTCAGAGTTATTTCTGGAAGGTCCTTGCACTTACGACCAGTCCTCGCACTTACGACCCGACTCATTTGTTTGCTTTTAACACTGATCAGCTGTAGGACGACCCTTTGAAGCCCCACGGCAAGAGTTTAAACAGTTTTTTTCCCTCTAGTCATCAGCTGGGACTCAGGAGGCAGCAATAGATTGGGGGTGGGACCAAATAAAAGGTAAGAATAACGTGGGAGGGGGGGGGGGGGGAGAACTGGTTCGGTGACGTCATATCGTCACCGCTACCGGCTCGGCCGAACCGGACCGAACCAGGAGGAACCCACCACTGACCTATACCCATGATGGCGAACGTGCCACAGGTGGCATGCGTAGCCATATCAGTGGGCATGCGAGCTTAGCTCCGGCGTGCATGTGCGCGCCAGCCAGCTGATTTTTGGGCTTTCTGGGCCCACCAGAAGTAGGGAAACAGGTTGTTTCCTGCCTCCGAAGGGCCTCGGGGGTTGGTGGGGAAGGCCCGTTTTTCTCTCTCACCTGGTTCCAGAGCCTTTCTAGGAGTCTGGGGAGGGTGAAAACGGCCTCCCCACCCACCCCCCGGAGGCCCTCCAGAGGCCAGAAACAGCCCGTTTGCCAACTTCTGGTCCCACCAGAATTCATGAATTAGTGAATTAATATGTGCCTGGTCTCTTCAGATCTAGAGTTTAAGTCAGCAAAACGTTTTAAGTTTTCTCCCTATATAAAATTATCATACAGGGTTGTCCACCGGTCAAAAAAAAAAACAAGATGATAGCTACAGGTTAAAGCTCTGTGGAATTTTTTTTTTTTTATGTTCATTGCGCATAAAAAGCAGGCAGTTTTGACCCCACCGACGAGAGCCTCGTTCTCCATCCTTTTTTGACCATGTCTTCCAGACACCCCTGTACAATCTTACGGGTGACGTTTCCCGGCGCTAATGTTAATGTAGACGAGAAGGTGGGCTGCAAAAACCTAGCCGTCCGGGAGACGGCCGCAGTTTTCTGTATATAGCTTTTCTCATCCCTTATTTTGCACGATGGTCTTGCCGGAACGGACTACGGTAGTCCATTAGCGGGAAAACAACCAAGTCATGGCAACAGGGCTAGGACATTTAAACCTGCTGAATAATGCACAATCCAGAAGTTAAGGCTGGGTCAGGAGCTTTATTCAAGGACGGCAGCTTCCATTCCTTCTAATTAAAATAATAATAATAATAATAATGTCAGTGCATTACCGCCTTCACAACCTGGCCTTGAACCGGATCTGAATCAGGAAGAAAAGAAAACCAATTCTAGGAATAGGGTACGCAAAGAACATTTCAAGGCTTTAGAGATGCAGGCTACCAGGAAATGAGCCATCCTCGGAAACTGTGGCTAGTAGCCATAGTTTCGGCTGCCAAAAGGCTTGAGTTTAGCAATTCAACATTTTTTTTCTGCTCATTTTTCTTTTTTTTTTCCAAGCTGGGCTTTGGGATTTTAGATATTATTGAGCTGTGCGGGTGGAAGGGACCAATCTCTTAAGCAGTGGTGAAATCCACATTTTTTTTATTGCCGGTTCTGTGGGCGTGGCTTGGGTGTGGTGTGGCGTGGCGTGGCGTGGTGGGCGTGACTTGGTGGGCGTGGCAGGGGAAGGATACTGCAAAATCTCAATTCCCACCCAACTCCAGGGGAAGGATACTGCAAAATCCCCATTCCCACCCCACTCATGGGGGGAAGGATACTGCAAAATCCCCATTCCCTCCCCACTCCTGGGGGGAATGATATTGCAAAATCTCCATTCCCTCCCCACTCCAGGGGAAGGATACTGCAAAATCTCCATTCCCACCCAACTCCAGGGGAAGAATACTACAAAATCCCCATTCCCTCCCCACTCATGGGGGGAAAGATATTTCAAAATCTCCATTCCCACCCCATTCTGGGGCCAGCCAGAGAGGGTATTTGCTGGTTCTCCGAATTACTCAAAATTTCCGCTGCCGGTTCTCTGAACTGCTCAAAATTTCCACTGCCGGTTCTCCGAACTGCTCAAAATTTCTCCTGCCGGTTCTCCAGAACCTGTCAGAACCTGCTGGATTTCACCCCTGCTCTTAAGGCTCCTAACACCGTGGAATTGGTCCTGTGTCTTCGGAGTCTAAAGAAGGAAAGTAAGACGTGTTATCGATTGGTCTGTGTGGATGGCTCTTCTATCGTGCGAGCCTAAAAATGCCATTTTCTCTGCTCCAAGTGAGGCTCCTTGGTCCTGGAAATCTGCCCCAAACTGAAATATATGCGGTAATTAATTTCTTCATTCCAACTGATTAGAGCTTTAAGGTAAAAAAATCTTGCTGTCATATTTTCTCTCTCTCTCCCTCTCCTCCCCTTCCATCTTTTCCCTCTCTCTCTCTCTGCTGACTTTCTATTTCTTAGCTCCCCCATCTTTCTTGGTTTTCCACCTTCCCCTCTCTTTTTCTCTCCCCTGACCTATTCCTCTTTCTGGTCTCCTCCCCCCCCCCCCCCCATCATCTCTTCATCCTTTTCTCTACAAGCGCACCAGCTGGAAGGCTCAGTTTCATCCCCGTCTGCTCAGGGATAGCCTGATTCTCCTTATTCCAGCTCTCCCCCTTGTATCTATATTCTCTTACGGTCCCCATCACCTATTTTATCTATTCCATTACATTTCCTCCTGATTCTTCCTCTAGCCTTGCAATCCCATTTGGTTCTCCCCATTTCCCTTATTCTATACTTCCTAGACAGGGTTTTGATCATTTGCTCTCTTTTGGTCCCTTTCGCTTTACGCTTCCTTCCCTTCAATCTCTCTTTTTTTATATATATATATATATAAATTTTTATTATAACATATAGTGATACAATCGGTACATTTTCGGTTCATTGGTGCAATTACATACATATATACATCTGCATGCATTATTACTTGTCTTTTATTTGATATTGTTTCTTGAAGCTAGATTTAATTTCAAAACACTTAAAGATAATAGTGCTCAACTCTCTAAGACTAAATATAATACTATTCATATAGATTTTGTTAATTAGTTAATATTTAATCTCTATTACCTTCTTTATTTCTTTTCCCCATCCATTCGTACCACCCTTCAATCTCTCATATAGTACTTGTTTTCATCGTTTCCCTGTCTGATACATCTACAATCCTACACATTTTCCTTATCTTTCTGTAATTTTTTTTCCTTCCCATCAACCCAATTTCCCTCTAATCCAGTGATTCTTAAATTGTTTAACCCAATTTTTTTTTAATATACTTTATTGACTTTTTTAAAGAAAAAAAAATTTTTTTAAAAGAAAACGTCCAATCACTGTTAACATCTGAGGTGTCGTATAGTTACATGTTTGTGTTATATACATTATATACATATCTATTACATTCGAATCTGCGATTATTGAACATATACATATTCTTACAATCCCATTCTAGTATTCCACCATTTATACCACCTTTCCCATACTGCCTTGAATTTTGAATTCGTATCATCATTAAGAACACTTGTTAATTTTACCATTTCTGCACATTCTAGAATTTTGTTTATTATTGCCACCTCTCGAGGGGTTTGTTTGTCTTTCCAGTATTTTGCAAAAATTAACCTGGCTGCTGTAATGACATGTATTGTTAGATGTATCTTATCTTTGGGGAGTCCATCTCCAATCATTCCTAATAGAAAAATTTCAAGGGAAAGTTTTATATCTTCTTCCACTATTTCTCATAGCCAATTTTGTATTTTTACCCAGAACTTTTTTGTCTCAGGGCAGGAGCACCACATATGAAAGAAGGTGCCAATCTCCCTTCCACATTTCCAGCATATTGTTGAAGCATTGGCAATTTTTTTTTTTTAATTTGATTTATATGCCGCCCTTCTCCGGAGACTCAGGGCGGCTTACAATGCGTTAAGCAATAGCCTTCCTACTTTTGTATATTTATACAAAGTCAGCTTATTGCCCCCACAAACTGGGTCCTCAATTTACCTACCTTAGAAAGGATGGAAGGCTGAGTCAACCTTGAGCCTTGGCGAGATTCGAACCAGCAGTAATTGCAGGCAGCTGTGTTAATAACAGGGTGCTTAGACCACTGTGCTATCAAGGCTCTTGATAGCCCTGGTCTATCCCTAACCTGGTCTCCAAAAATGTTATTATACCCAGAATCGTCTTTTATAAGCACTTTGGCAACCACAGCCCTAAACTGGATCCACAACTCACAAATGAGCAATTACAAATTTATCCATTACTGCCCCCCCCCCCCCCCCCCCCCAGAATATGCTCCAATTAGCCCAGTTTAAGGATCACTGTTCTAATCCTTAGGGCAGTGCTGTGATTGCATGACGGCCACCATTTTGACTTTTTTGACCTTCCACGGCACACCCCCTACCTCTAATACTGCAACGAAGCTACAATTTCTCCATTTATTATTCCTTGCAGAGTGGTGCGGTGACCTAGAGGTGTAGCCCTCGCCTCACAATCAGGAGGTTATGAGTTCGATCCTAGGTAGAGGCAGATATTTCTCTCTCTGGGCACACTGAGAATGTATCTGCTGAACAAAACTCCGCATTGGCGACAGGAAAGGCATCTGGCCATTAAAACACTCTGCTAGCTCCATTCAGTTGCCCAGATGTATTATGGGGTCGTTAAAAGAAGATGATTAATCCTTGCTCTCCCGTCGTTTACCTCCTCAGGAATCTTTGAACCTGCAGACTCGGCTGCTGGAGCCAATGTTCCCAGATCCTGTGAGCATGCCCGATTTCCTGCCCCGTCTTCTGGCTCAGTGCGTGCTGCTGGAGGGTGTCCGGGCCGAGGGATCCTGCGTTTCTGGTACCATCCGTGTGATCAACCTGGCCTATGAGAAAAGGGTTTCTGTGCGATACACCTGGGACTTTTGGGCTACCGAGCACGAAGCTCGCGCCTCTTACGCCGCCCCTGCAGGGCGGGACCGGGACCACGCCGACCGCTTTGCCTTCCGCCTGCCTCTGCCAGTCCCACTCTCCGCAGGGGTGGTACTCGAGTTTGCCCTCTGCTACCTGGTGGGGGGGAAGGAATTCTGGGACAACAACCAGGGACGTAACTACTCTCTGCGGCCGCCTCCTTGCGTAGCCGAGGAAGACGAATTCCCCAGCCCCATTCAAGATTGCTGTGAAACTGGCTGGATACACTTTCTGTAGGCAAAGCTCCGCCTCCAGGAGAGAAGGAAAGACGGGGAGACTTGTTGAACCTGAAGTTTGATAGGAAAAGTCGAAGATCAAGGTTGAAACACAAAGATACACAGGCATCTGGGCACACACCCACCACCACACCAGAATCGATGCAGACACTTGGATTTGCTTCCCGTTCCTCAGCGGGCTTTTCACTAAATCAAAATCCACTGCTTGTAGCTTTTGCGATCACCGACAGACCATTCACACAACCCCTGACATTGGGCTATCGCCTTGCAAGGAGGACCACTCTTTCTTTTGACTTGCGGACTTGCTTGCAATCCAAATCCAGTGTCGATGTTGAGTGGGGACGTCACCCTATGGGGGGGGGTCTCCTCCAAAAGAGATGTCCGTGAGAAAAGGATATTAAAAAAACTCAAAATGTTAGCCACAACGATGTCATCGAAGATCTGAGTTCTACTCTCCCATCTTGTAAAGTGACCTTTGATACCCTGGAGATTTTGGAGAGAAAGGGATCGGGAATAAAAGAGAATAAGAGAAGAGCAAACAAAGATGATTTGGGGACTGGAGGCTAAAACATATGAAGAATGTTGCAGGAATTGGGTATGTCTAGTTTAACGAAAAGGACTAGGGGTGACATGATAGATGTCTTCTAATGTTTGAGGGTCTGTCACAGAAAAGAGGGGGGTCAATCTATTCTCCAAAGCACCTGAAGACAGGACAAGAAGCAACGGATGGAAACTAATCAAGGACAGAAGCAACCTAGAACTAAAGAGAAATGTCCTGATAGCGAATACAATTAATCAGTGGAATGGCTTGCTTTCAGAAATTGTGGATGCTCCATCACTGGAGACTTTTAAGAAGAGATTGGACAATCCTTTCCTGCTGGAGCATGGGGTTGGACTAGAAGACCTCCAAGATCTCTTCCAACTCTGCTATTCTATTCTGTTCTGTTCTGTTCTGTTCTTTTCAAATGTCCACCTTGTATATTGTACACTGGGGGGAAAAAACCCCAGATTCATAACTACGTCGATGAAAGAACAGAGTTTTTCTTCAATTTCCTGTTTTCCTCGGCTTGGGGAAAACATTCTGGATCTCCATTCCAAGGGACTCATTCGCACATGCTGTTTCCACATTTTTCTGCATGAATGTATTCACACTTCTCGTCGCATCCTATGTTATTTCTATGCTGGCTGGTTAAAGGAGAGAAAAAAAAAATCACCCTTGTTATTCCTGATGGGGCGTTTCTTATTATTTTCATCCATGCGTCATGGACCCTGATCGATGGAATGTTTTTTTTTAGACCCAGCAAAAATCCGGAAAAGTTATTTTAGAAAAGGCATAAGTGCCAATCAGTGCCTTTATGGGGGGGAAAAAACACCCTAACATTTCAATCACTTCTATGCTTGATGGATTTCTAAGTTGTCTTCTAGCCTAAAACTAAAAGAACTTAATAATATCTGAATGGCACCCACCCACACAGTATGGCGGATAGTGGTATTTCCGAGAATTTTGCAACATGGGCAATTCAATTCCCAGAATTCTCAGCCATAGCCATACTGGCTAGAGCAGAGGTGGGGACCTGTGGCCCTTTTACGATTTGTGGACTTCAACTCCCAGAATTCCTGAGCCGGTGGGAACTGAATTCTGGGAGTTGAAGTCCACACGTCGTAAAAGGGACATAATTTCCCATGCCTGGACTAGAGGATTCTGGGAAAATCCGAGGTGCCATTTTACTGGAATAAGTAGGTTTTTTTTTTTTTTTTTTGCTTTAATTTATATGCCGCCCTTCTCCGGAGACTCAGGGCGGCTTACAATGCATGTAAGCAATAGCCTTCATACTTTTGTATATTTATACAAAGTCAGCTTATTGCCCCCACAAACTGGGTCCTCATTTAACCTACCTTAGAAAGGATGGAAGGCTGAGTCAACCTTGAGCCTGGTAAGATTCGAACCTGCAGTAATTGCAGGCAGCTGTGTTAATAACAGGGTGCTTTAGACCACTGTACTACCAAGTTTGACCCAATGGGCATGAAAAGAACCGTAAGAATTACAGATTTTATAACACTTCCTCCAGATCTGTGTCTCCGAACCTGAGAAACTTTTAAGATGCGTGGACTTCAATTCCCAATTGAATTCTGGGAGTTGAAGTCCACGCATCTTAAAGTGGCTGAAATTGAGAAATACCATTCCAGATTCTATTGCATTTTATCTCTGAGCTGACCTACTTTGCTTTATAACTTAAAAAGTTAAGATGTAAGACGAGGGCCCTTTCCTGAGTGGGGGGCACTATTGGGAATTCTAGGAACCCCATTATGGGTCCTGCCACCAAACTATTCCCATGCCACCGAAGACCCGATTACTGAAAATGTCCGGAGTAATGATCAGGCTATATAAAACTGATAATTAGCTCAATCATTTAATGATTCATGTCTTTGTGTGTCTGACTGAGTGGTGAATTTAAGGCAGAGATTTCTGCTAGATACCAAAGAAACTTACATTCGTTCATTCCTGTTAATAACTGAACAAGCCAGGGGGAAAATGAATCATATTTCAAAGAAATAAACATGGAAGGAAAACCCAGAGATTTCCAATTCACATTTTATACCCAGGAAACATACTTTTTGGCCTAAGGATCTGCAGTTCTTTGAATCCAGGGGATCCTGAGGGGCAGGCTGGATGAAAACTGGGATTGTTCAAGACAGACCCACAATGGGAGGTCTTGGCTTGCCCAACACAGCAGGGTTGTTGTTATCCTCTTGTCCAAAGAGCTTAATAGTGAGGTTTCCTGCAAGGGCAAAGTGTGCGTCCTTGTGACTGGGTGACAATTGAGGGGAAGACCAGAAAGGAGGAAGCAGCTGGGAGAAAAGAAGAGAGGAAGAGTGGAAGAGAAGGAGGGAAGGAGGGGAATGGCGAGAAGAAGAAGGTAGGAAGGAAGGAAGGAAGGAAAGAGGGAGGGTGAAAGATAAAGCGGAGGAATGAGGGGAAGGAAGAAGAGAAAAAAGAGGGAGAGAAAGAAAAGGAAGGAAAGGGAGGGAGGGATGGGAACAGGGAGGAGGAGGAGATAGGAATGGAAGAGAGGGAGGGTGGAAGAGAAAGGGAAGGAATGAAAGAAGGAGGGAGGGAGGGAGCAAGGGAAGGAGGGAGGGGAATGGGGAGGAGGAGAAGGTAGGAAGGAAGGAAATAGGGAGTGAAAGATAAGGGAGGAATGAGGGGAAGGAAGAGAAAAAAGGGAGGGAGGGAGAGAAAGAAAAGGTAGGAAAGAAGGGAGGGAGAGGAAAAGGGAGGAGAGGAAGATAGGAAGGAAGGAAAGAGGGAGGGTGGAAGATGAAGAGGAGAAATGAGGGAAAGAAGAAGAGAAAAAAGTAAGATAAGGAATGAAAGAAGGGAGGGAGGAGAATAGGGAGGAGGAGGAGATAGGAAGGGAAGAGAGGGAAGGTGGAAGCGGAAGGGAAGAAAGGAGAGAAAAGGGAGGGTGGAAGATGAAGAGGAGGAATGAGGGGAAAGAAGAGAAAAAAGGGAGAGAAAGAAAAGGAAGGAAAGAAGGGAGGGAGGGGAAAAGGGAGGAGAGGAAGACAGGAAGGAAGGAAAGAGGGTGGAAGATGAAGAGGAGGAACGAGGGGAAAGAAGAAGAGAAAAAAGAGAGGGAGAGAAAGAAAAGGAGGGAGGGAGGGGAATAGGGAGGAGGAGAAGATAGGAAGAGAGGGAGGGGGGAAGAGGAAGGGAAGAAATGAAATTAAGAAGAGAAAAAAAGGAGGGAGGGAGGGAGGAGAGAAAAAAGGGGGAGAGAGAAAGAAAGGAAGAAGTGGGAGGGAGGAAAGGCCCCCAAATCGCGGCTTGCATAAAGAGAAGCCTGGAGGAGCCCCCACCTGCCTGCCCGTCCGCCTGGCTGCCCCGAAGCGATCGTCCGCATTTGGGGCGAGAGGGGGGGGGAGAAAGGAAAGGAGGCCCGATCTCTTGCTCCCCCCCTACTCCCGACCATCCACCGGCCTGTCCCCTGCCCCACTCCCTTCTCTCCTCCTCCTCCTCCTGGAGAAAAAAAAAACGGGGGGCGACCCATCTTCGCCCTTCCTCCGCCCGCCCCCCCCCAAAAGACGGCCGCAGAGTCTCCGCTTTTGCCCAGGTAACTCCGGCCGCGTTTCAGTCCCTTCTTCTTCTTCTTCTTCTTCTTCTTCTTCTTCTTTGGGGCAAAAATCTTCCCTTCCCGAAGGGAGAACCAACGGGGGGGGGGGGGAGGTGTCTCTGGATCTCATCTGCGCCAACTTTTCCCAGCTCTTCCCAACTGAGACCCCCACCCCCATTTCAGCCAGCTAAATCCAGTACGTAGATTTGGGAAGGGGGGGAGGTCTTTTCCCCAAGGGTCTGATCCGGTTTTCTAGAGGAAGGGGGGGTCTCTCTCTCTCTCTCTTTGTTTCTTTCTCTTTCTCTCTCTCTCTGTCTCTATCAATCTCTTTTTATCCAAATCCGCTCCCCCCCCCCCAGTTTGCAGAATATGGGGCATAATCCCCCTCCCCCCCCCACAAGAAAAGAAATCCGGGTTTATAAAGGCCAGGTGTGGAAAGGAAAGGAGGAGCAGGGGGGGGAGAAAAGAGGAGGGGGAGGGATAGGAAGAGTTAAGGAAACTTTGAAAGAAAGAGAGAAGGTTAGGAAACATGAATCGGGGAAGGAACAACCGGCTGAAATACACATTTTACTGCACGGCGTATGGCAGAATTACCCTGGTGGTCCTCTTTTACAGTGTTGAAGGATGATGAGGAAGAGAAAAGAAAAGAAAGAAAGAAAGAAAGAAAGAAAGAAAGAAAGAAAGAAAGAAAAGAAAGAAAGAAAGAAAGAAAGAAAGAAAGAAGAAAGAAGAGGAGGGAGAGGGAGGGATAATTGGAAGGAAATGAGGGGAAGGAAGGAAAAGGGAATAAAGTAAAAAGAAAAGGGAGAGGGAGGGAGAAATGAGGGAAGGAAGAAAAAAAGAAAATGGGAGGGAGGGAGGGAGAAGGAAGGAAGGAATAATCAGAAGGAAGGAAATTAGGGGAAGGAAGGAAAAGGGAATAAAATAGAAAGAAAAGGAAGGAAGGAAGGAAATGAAAAGGAAGGAAGGAATAATCAGAAGGAAGGAAATGAGGGGAAAGAAGGAAAAGGGAATAAAGTAAAAAGAAAAGGGAGAGGGAGGGATCAGAAGGAAGAAATGAGGGGAAGGAAGGAAAAAATGGGAGGGAGGGAGGGAGAAGGAAGGAATAATCAGAAGGAAGGAAATGAGGGGAAGGAAGGAAGGGGGAAAATGAGGGGAAGGAAGGAAAAGGGAATAAAATAGAAAGAAAAGGAAGGAAGGAAGGAAATGAAAAGGAAGGAAGGAATAATCAGAAGGAAGGAAATGAGGGGAAGGAAGGAAAAGGGAATAAAGTAAAAAGAAAAGGGAGAGGGAGGGATCAGAAGGAAGAAATGAGGGGAAGAAGGAAAAAAATGGGAGGGAGGGAGGGAGAAGGAAGGAATAATCAGAAGGAAGGAAATGAGGGGAAGGAAGGAAGGGGAAAAATGAGGGGAAGGAAGGAAAAGGGAATAAAATAGAAAGAAAAGGAAGGAAGGAAGGAAATGAGAAGGAAGGAAGGAAAAGGGAAGAAAGTAGAAAAAGAAGGGAAGGAAGGAAGGAAGTTTAAAAAGCTCCCTTTTTACATCCTATAAATAAAGCATGCTTTTCCAACCTTGCCTACTTTAAGATGTGTAGACTTCAACTCCCAGAATTCCCAGCCAGCATGCATTGTTGGCTGCAGCAGCATCCTATGCTGCTGAGGGATTCTGGGAGTTGAAGTCCCCCTGTCTTAAAGTAGGCCAAGTTGCAAAACTCTGCCATAGAGAGGAATCTATCATTCTCTCCCTCTCTCCTTCCTCCCTCCATCCCATCCCATCCCATCCCATCCCTTCCTCCCTCCCTCCATCCCATCCCATCCATCCCATCCCATCCCATCCCATCCCATCCATCCCATCCCATCCCATCCCATCCCATCCCATCCCAATCTGTCTGTCTGTCTGTCTGTCTGTCTGTCTGTCTGTTTTAATTCCCTTCCAGGTACAGCTGGCAGCCATGCGCTGGTGGGTGGTTTTGCTTTTCGTGGCAGCCGCATGGGCTGTGGGTCCACGCCAAGGGGTGCAATAAAGCACTTTGTGCGAGTGACGTCAGCAAGTGTTTGCTGCAGGTAAGGCACTGCGACGAGCATTCCGGGACTCTGCTCAGGTTTGAGAAACAAATGAGTCATATTTGCAGGCAGTCCTCGATTTACGACCACAATTGAAACCCAAAATATTTGTCGCCAAGGGAGACAGGTGCTAGGTGAGCTTTGCCTCACTTTATGACTTTTCTTGCCACGTTTGTTAAGTGAATCCCTGCAGGTGTTAAGTTAGTCACGCAAAGCTGGGTTTCCCCCTTGACTTGGCTTGTCGAAAGGTCGCAAAAGGGGATCACGTGACCGTCGTAAATATGAGGTGGTTGTCAAGCCTCCGAATGTATATCGCCCGATGCTGCAACGGTCATAAGGGTGAGCAGCGGTCATTTTTAACCTCGAACGGTCACTATAAACGAACGGTCGTACAGTCGAGGACTGCCTGTTACTTCAGTTTTGTGGCTTGGGACACGCCTCTCTCTGGACGCGAGGGTTGTGTGCGCGCAGACGCCTGAATTCCTTTGTTTGGAATAAAAGACGCCGTTGCCGTAACCAATCTTCTCTCGGCAGGAAATGTGCCAGTGCAAAGCCAACCGTACCCGTTGCTGTCGGCAGTGCGCGTTCTGCCTGGCTAAACTCTGGGAGCCTTGCTGTGATTGTGTAGGTGAGCTGACTTGCCCCCTGGATGGGAAGGGGCAAGGGGTGGGATGTGTTGTGGTCCGCCGGCGGCCTGTGGAGCTGGCAGCGGAGTCGGACAGTGAGGAGTCTGGGGAGGAACATGGGCCAGTCCTGGAGTCTGGGGGAGGCTCAGACGAGGGCTCTGCGTCGGAGGCAGAGAGGGGGCCAGGGCCATCTGGGAGTTTTGTGCTGCCTCCGGAGCCTCCAGAGTCTGACGTCAGCGAGGCAGAGGAACAGGGGGAGCCTGTTCCCAGTGCGCGCATGCGCAGAGCCGCCAGAAGGCAAGAACAGTTAAGACAAAAGGGGCAACTCGGGAGTAAGGCTTGGAGATGATTGGTCTCTACCATAAGACATAAAGACACGTGAACCTTTGCAGGAAGCAACTTTGTTCGTTCTGGTCGGTTTAAATTCTGAAGCTCCGTTTTGACTCTGTGCTCCGTTTGGCCTTCCAAAGCTAATTGCCAATTAGGTCTCTGGCAGCATTTCAAGGGAGATAAACGCGGGGGCTTATCAGCCTTATCCCGAAGGACTGTGGCAGACTTTCTGTCGGACTCTTTACAAACTATTGATGACTCATTACGGGCTGGGAATGAACAGAATTCACAGCCGTTGAAATAAAAAGAAGGTTTTGGGGACTAATTGTGGGCTTTTTACTGTCTCAGGAAGCCTTGGTCCTGAGACATAATATTATTATTATTATTATTATTATTATTATTATTATTATTATTATTATATTATTTTATTATTATTATTATTTATATACCGGCCCTCCTCCCGAAGGACTCGGAGCGGTGTACAGCCAAAATTAAAACATAAATATACAATATCATAGTTAAAATTAATTAAAATCATTAAATAGTTTTGGGCAAATTTTAAAACCAAAAGTTAAAACCCAATTTAAAATCATTCAATTAGACAGCCCCGCCTGTCGGAACAGTAGAGTCTTGAGGGCATAAACGAAAGACCCGGAGATCAGAGATGTTACGAATATCCGGGGGCAATTCATTCCAAAGGGCAGGGGCTCCGACAGAGAAGGCTCTCCTCCTGGGTGTCGCCAGCCGGCATAACTTGGCCGACGGCACCCTGAGGAGTCCCTCTCTGTGGGAGCGAACTAGTCGGTGGGAGGCTGTTGGTGGCAGAAGGCGGTCCCGTAGATATCCTGGTCCTATGCCATGGAGCGCTTTAAAGGTGGAAACCAACACCTTGAATTGCACTCGGAAGACCACTGGGAGCCAGTGCAGCTCGCGCAGGAGAGGTGTTACATGGGTGTAACGAGGTGCGCCCATAATCACCCGCGCGGCCGCATTCTGGACCAGTTGGAGCCTCCGAGTGCTCTTCAAGGGGAGCCCCATGCAGGGGATGCAGGAACCGGGGAGGGGGGTGTCTTCCTACCAGAGGCGGGTTTCATATAATTTTATCACCGGTTCATTGTGCACAGAAAATGTGAGTGCGTGCGCGCGCTTTCCACATGGCTTAGAAAACGTGGCTAAATAGAATGGCATAGCCGCAGGTCGCCACTACCGGTTCTCCTGAACTTAGCCGAACCGGCTGAATACCATCACTGCTTCCTACCCTGTGTCATACCTGGAAGTCATATTACCTGTGTGCCTTGAGGATCCTGGCCTACCACAATCATACCGTGGGAAGTTGGGAGGGAGTTGGGACCCTGACATCCTGTTTTCTCAAACTTCCAGTCTTCACTCTGACGGGTTTCAATTTTCCAGCTTCCTCAGGTTGGGAAAAATCTATGGGGATTCCTCGCTTTGCGACCGCAGTTGAGCCCGAAATTTCCATCGCTACCCTGTTTCCCCGAAAATAAGACATCCCTTGATAATAAGCCCAATTGGGCTTTTGAGCTGATGCACTAAAATAAGCCCCCCCCCGAAAATAAGCCCTCCCCAAAAAATATTTAAACGTGTGAGCAGCCGGTCTCCATTTCCTCTGGTTTTCTCCACGCGCCCCGAAATAATAAGACCTCCCCGAAAATAAGGCCAAGCGCTTATTTCAGGATTCAAAAAAAATATAAGACAGGGTCGTATTTTTGGGGAAACACGATAAGCGAGACACTTGTTCGGTGAGGTTTTGCCCCGTTGTACGACCTTCCTTGCCACCGTTGTTAAGCGAATCACTGCGGTTGTTAAGTTAGTTAGCGAAGTGAATCTGACCTCCCCATGGACTTCGCTGGTCAGAAGGTCGCAAAAGGGATCAAGTGTCTCTGGGACACTGCGACCGTCATAACTACGTGCCAGTTCTCGTGTGTCCGAATTTTGATCGCATGACCTTCGGGATGCTGCAACCGTTGGGAGATCCAATTATAAGTCGTTTTTTTCCAGTCCTGTTGTAACTTTGAATGGCCACTAAGTGAATGATCGTTAAGTCGATCGATCGATCGATCAGAATAGAGCTGGAAGGGACCTTGGAGGTCTTCTAGTCCAACCCCCTGCTCAAGCAGGAGACCCTATACCTGTGATGGCGAATCTATGGCACGCGGAGCCATATCTGTGGGCACACGAGCATTGCCCTAGCTCAGCTCCAGCGCGCATACATGTGCCGGCCAGCTGATTTTCGGGCCTTCTGGGCCCACCGGAAGTCAAGAAATGGGCCGTTTCCAGCCTCTGGAGGGCCTCGGGGAGTGGGGAAGGCTGTTTTTGCCCTCCTCAGGCTCCAAGAAAGCCTCTGGAGCCTGGGGAGGGTGAAAAATGGGCCTTCTGCTCCCACTGGAAGTCGGGAAACGAGTCATTTCCAGCCTCTGGAGGGCGCCGGTAGGGGGGAGGCTGTTTTCTTCTTCCCCAGGCTCCAAGAAAGCCTCTGGAGCCTGGGGAGGGCGTAAAACAAGTCTACCAGGCCCACTGGTAATCTTTTTGCTGCCACGTGCCAAAAGTGGGGGGAGCATGGGGGAATCGGATGCGAATGTGTGGGGGGCGGGCATGGGGGGCATTGAATTATGGGTGTGGGCATGTGCGCGCACGCGTGACCCCCCCATTCCCCCCGCTTTTGGCACGCGACGGCAAAAAGGTTAGCCATCACTGCCCTATACCGTTTCAGACAAGTAGCTATCCAATCTTTTCTTAAAAACCCACAACTTCTGGTGGCAAGCTGTTCCACTGGTGAATTGGGACTCTTACCATTTGTGACTGCAGGGATTCACTTAAAAAATAGTGGTAAGAACGGTCGTACCATATAGGGCAAAACTCGCTTAACAACTGTCTTGATTAGCAGTGCAAATTTTGGCCTCAACTGTGGTCGTATGTCGAGGACATACCTGTTACTCAGGTGTCCTTTGTTCTTTGCCGTTTCCTTGTTGTTGTTGTCCCCATCTCAAGGTCTGTGTGATGAACGCATCTTAACCGCTCCTCACCCTGCCCAACGAAGTTCCATGCACGATTTGGTGTCACCGGTACCGTCCCTGTTCCGGGCGCTCCTGGCACTCTCCAACAATCATCCTGCTCTCGGCTGGAGCATCGTGACTCTGCCGTTAGAAGAGGAACTGCGGCAAAACCACGTGGATACCGGACATCTTCTGCTGGGACCACATACAGGTATGCCCAGAGTGAGACGGGCGTACGGAAAAACAAGATTTGGAAGAGATTTTGGAGGTCTTCTAGTCCAACCCCCTGCTCAAGCAGGAGACCCTATACCAGTGTGGGCGAACCTTTTCGGCACCGAGTGCCGAAACGGGAGTGTCCGTATGTGCGTGCCAGGGGGTTGCTCTTCCAGTTTCCGGCATGCACATCGGACACCTGGTTTTCTGGTGCACATGCGCGCGCAAATACCAGCTGCTCTTTAGGCGTGTGGGAGCGCCGGAAATTGGAAGAGCACCTGCCCGGCGCGCGTTGCGAAGATCAGCTGGCCGGTGTGCATGTGTGCACCGGAAACCATAAGAGCATACATGCCAGAAACCGGAAGACCAGGTGGCCAGTGCGCATACGCACATGAAGACCAGCTGGCCAGTATGCAGGAACCCGGAAGAGCTATGGGCAACAGCTCGCATGCCCGGAGAGATGGCTCTGCGTGCCACTTCCACCACACCTGCCATAGGTTCATCATCACGGCCCTTCCAGACAAATGGTTATCCAATCTCTTCTTAAAAGCCTCCAGTGTTGGAGCATTCACAACTTCTGGTGGCACGTTGTCCCACTGGTTAATTGTTCTCACTGTTAGGAAATTTCTCCTTAATTCTAGGTTGCTTTCCTCATTGACTAGTTTCTATCCGTTGCTTCTCGTCTTGCCTTCAGGTGCTTTGGAGAATAGGTTCATCCCCTCTTCTTTGGGGCAGCAGCCCCTCAAATTTTGGACGATTGCTATCACGTCACCCCTAATCCTTTCATTGAACTAGACATACCCAATTCCTGCTTCCTATGTTTTAGCCTCCAGTCCCCTAATCATCTTTGTTGCTCTTCTCTGCACTCTTTCCAGACTCTCAATATTTTTTTTTATATGGTGGCGACCAAAACTGGATGCAATATATGTGTAAAAGTGCATAGAGGTGAATAAAGAGAAACAGAATAATAGAATAGAGGTGAAAAAAAATAATAGAATAACAGAGTTGGAAGAGACCTTGGAGGTCTTCTAGTCCAACCCCCTGCTCAAACAGAACCCCTATTGCCATTTCAAACAAAGGGTTCTCTGATCTCTTCTTAAAAACCTGCAGTGATGGAGCACCCACAACTTCTGAATTAACCACCGATTAATTGTTCTTTCAAGAAATTTCTCCTTAGTTCTAGGCTGCTTCTCTCCTGGATTAGTTTCCATCCCTTGTTTCTTGTCCTGCCTTCAGCTGATTTGGAGAATACCGTGTTTCCCCGAAAATAAGACCAGGTCTTATATTATTTTTTGTTCCAAAAGATGCATTAGGGCTTATTTACCTGTTAGGTCTTATTTTGGGGGAAATACAGTACCAAATGCACCCATCTGGCTGACAATCTTCACTGGGGCTTATTTTCGGGGTAGGGCTTATATTACGAACATCCTGAAAAATCATGCTATGACTTATTTTCCGGTTGGGTCTTATTTTCGGGGAAACAGGATAGATGGATCCCCTCTTCTTTGGGGCAGCCTCCCAAATATTGGAAGACTGCTATCATGTCATCCCTAGTCCTTCTTTTCCTTAAAAAAGACCAGTGGTGAAATGTAAAATTTGTTACTACCGGTTCTGTGGGCGTGGCTTGGTGTGGGGGGTTAATATGACTGAGTGGGTGTGGCCAACTTTTTTTTTTTTTTAACTTTTAAAAGCATTTTTTCTACAACCTCTTCGGAGAGGTTGTAAAAAAAATGCTTTTAAAAGCCTCTGACGATCCCAGCTGACTTGCCTGATCGGCAGAGGCTTTCTTTTTTTTTTTAAGCCTCTGATGATCCCAGCTGGCTTGCCTGATCGGCAGAGGCTTTTTTCCCTTTTAAGAACTTTTTTTCTATAACCTCTTCGGCCGAAGAGGTTGTAGAAAAAAATGCTTTTAAAAGCCTCTGACGATCCCAGCTGAGCCACGTGATCATCAGAGGCTTTTTTTTTTTTTTACTTTTAAAAGCATTTTTTCGGCCAAAGAGGTTGTAGAAAAAATGCTTTTAAAAATAAAAAAAAAGCCTCTTGATGATTGCGCGGCTCAGCTGGACAATGAGGGGGGGGGCAAGGATTTTTGCTACCGGTTCTCCGAACCACCCGCCTCCATCGCTACCGGATCAGGCGATCCGGTCCGAACCGGGAGCATTTTACCCCTGAACTAGACCTATCCAATTCCTGCAACCGTTCTTTATATGTTTTAGCCTCCAGTCCCCTAATCATCTTTGTTGCTCTTCTCTGCGCTCTTTCCAGAGTCTCAACGTTTCTTTTTCTTTTTTTAATATCGTGGTGACCAAAACTAAGGAGAAATTTCCTGACAGGGAGAACAATTAATCACTGGAACGGCTTGCCTGCAGAAGTTGGGGGTGCTCCAACACTGGAGGTTTTTGAAGAAGAGATTGAAATTTTGTTTGAAATGGTATACACTGTCTCCTGAATGAGCCGGGGGTTGGACTAGAAGACCTCTGAGGTTCCTTCCAACTCTTGAGATCCATTTATCAACCTTTCTTCTTCTCGTTGGCAGACTTGGTGCTCCCGGATCCCGACACCGCCAAGGGCCCGAATGCGACGGCGCCAGCTTGCCAGTCCATTTACTTCAACGACTGCCTGTCCATGAGCCGGTGCCGCGCAGCCTGCCAGTCGGTGGGCGCCTGGCGTTACCGCTGGTTTCACAGCGCCTGCTGCCAATGCCTGGGGCCGGATTGCCAGGGCTACGGAGGTGCCCACGCCAATTGCTCCAACTGCCGGGACTGAGTTGGGGTTGCTTTCTCCTTCCTCGCCTCGCAGAGCGTCGCCTCGCCTGCACTTTTCTGCGCAGCCTTCCCCCCCTTGCAAACCGCACGCGGCCATTACAGGTAGTCCTCGACTTACGACCGCAAGGGAGCCCCACATTTCCATTGTTAAGCGAGGCATTCTTGTCCCCCCCCCCATTGTTAAGTGACTCGCCACAGTAGATAAGTTAGTAACATGGTCATTAAGTGAATTTGGCACCCCCCCTTGACTTTTCTTGTCAGAAGGTCGCAAAAGGGGATCCCATGATCTTGGGACACAGCCAGGGTCGTAAGTATGAATTTGCTGCCAAGCATCGGAATTTTGATCCTAGGATCATGGGGTTGTTACAAAGGTCGTAAGTGTGAAACGCTGCCGTTAAGTCACTTTTTTCAGTGCTGTTGTGACTTCAAACGGTCCCTAAACGAACTCCTGTAAGTCGAGGACTTCGCTGTATTGCTTCCTGCTTCAGCCTGCTTTCCAAACCCAGATATTTTCAGCAGCGAGAACAAGTTTAGGGGGGGCACCGAAGACCCCTGCCCAGCCCAGTCTTTCCCTCTGCAGCTGGGGGTCCATCTGTCCTGGGACCTCACTTTGGACATTTTTCCTTCCTTACCCCCCCCCCCACCTTAGTTTTGCTGACATCAGCCCCGTGCACGAATCCTCAAATCCATTCTTTTAAAGATAAAATATCTTTGTAGTATTTTGTAGAAATAAAAATAATGGGGGAAAACAGGGTTGCCTGAAAGTATCGGAGGCACAAAGTCTGCAGGCAAATTTCTGGTTCCAACTAGCCCACAGGTCAATCGGAGTTTGTTTGGGACATTGTATATCGCGTTTTCTGGGCTTAGCGAGTTGTGTGAACCTGACCCACTTGCTAGTCATCGGAGTTAAACCGTTAAAAGGAGCTTATGGAGCAGAGATGCTCACGGGGGATGGGATGGAGGGTGCCATCTTGACTTTTTTGACTTTGCCAAACGGCGCTCGCTGCTAATGGAGGAACAGGAGACAATGAGTGAAAGTTAGTAAGTAAGTGTACGTGTTGTATGGATGTGTATGCCCACAAATCGTTTTCTCTGGATTCATTCTAACAATGGCTGCAGAAACACCGACCTCTAGATTAAGTGTCTCCAAATTTGGCAACTTTTAAGACTGTTGGACTTCAATTCCCAGAATTCCTCAGTCAGTTGTGTTGAGGAACTTTTAAAATAGGTGGACTTCAATTCCCAGAATTCCTAAGCCAGTCCTGCTGAGGAACTTTTAAGACGGGTGGACTTCAGTTCCCAGAATTCCTCAGGCAGCTATACTGAGGAACCTTAAGACGGGTGGACTTCAATTCCCAGAATTCCTCAGCCAGTCATGCTTTAAGATACATGGACTTCAATTCCCAGAATTCCTCAGGCAGCCATACTGAGGAACCTTAAGACGGGTGGACTTCAGTTCCCAGAATTCCTCAGCCAGTCATGCTTTAAGATACATGGACTTCAATTCCCAGAATTCCTCAGGCAGCTATGCTGAGGAACCTTAAGTTGGGTGGACTTCAATTCCCAGAATTCCTCAGCCAGTCATGCTTTAAGGCAGGTGGACTTCAATTCCCAGAGTTCCTCAGCCAGTCATGCTGGCTGGGGAATTCTGGGAGTTGAAGTCCATCCGTCAAAGTGGCTAAGTTTGGAGAGCCCTGCTCTAGAGACCAATATATGTGGACTTCAACTCCCAGAATTCCCCAGCCAGTCTGCCCATTCTGGTCCTAAGTTGAGATGGTCACAAAACGCGTCATCCATGTGACTGAGCCAATTTTATGTCCTTTTTGCAGTGGTCATTAAGTGAATGCCACAATCATCAAACAATCTCATTGTTCACTCTGGAGCGTTTTACCCCAAACCGGAAGTAAATACTACTTTTTGTCAAAAAATGTCAGGAAACAAACAGCTGTGAATGCAGGATGGTTGCTAAATGCCCCACCTACGTTCACATGACCAGAAGGGCAGCCATTGGAACCCATTCGGACGTATCCTTGAGACAGGTCCGTCTTAACTTTGAACCGTCGCTAAGCGACAAGGTTGTAAATCGAGAATTACCTCTTGTAAATGAGTCTTCTGAAGGATTATAAAATGCCTTTTCCTTCTTCATTCGGAAAAAAGGCGCAAACCAAACCATGGTTAAATGACAAGATATACTGCTCTATCTGCTGTTGAACCTGGTCAAATCATGGTTTATGCCTTTTTCCACCCATCCTTTTGTTTTACATAGGTGAGTTTTCTTGGCCAGATTTTTTTTCCCCCCTATGTGGTCTGCCGTTACTTCCTTCCCAGGGCTGAGAACGATTGACTGGCCCAAGGTCACCCGGTTGACTTTGTGCCTAAAGATGAGATCCGAACTCGGCTCTCCCAGTTTCTAGCCTGATAATATACCACTTTTAATGGCCGAGTGCATCTGAACCCATCCATCGGGGTTTGCATAAACTATGCATAAAACTATAAATCATGGCTTAAGACTTAAGAGGAATTTAGACCAAGGAAAACTCGAGCTTCTCCGTTGCAAAAACTTGCCTAGATGAAGCGAGGGAGTAAAAAGCACCCGAGTGAATGATCGCAATCCCGGGTTCGCCTCTTTATAGACACGTTACTCAAGATTCCTCGCTCATTGCACGGCCGAAACGGAGAGAAGGGCCGCGTTCCGACGACCCGCCAAACCCCCGAGTTCCCCAACCCCGCTTTAGAGCTCGAAGCCACGGCTGTCGAGAAGGGAGTAAGGGAAGGCGGCCTCGGCCAGCTCCTTTCTCCGCCTCCCTGCCCTGCAAGCGCCGCCGCTCCGCCCGCCCTGAAAGTTCCGGAACGCGTGAAGCCACAATGAGCGGAACTCGGAGACCTCTGAGCACGTGCAGAGTGCGGAATGGTCCGGAGCCTCCCCTGCCCGGCGCTCGGGGCTCGTCCAGCCAATGGCAGCCAGCCCAGCCTTCTCCCGCGCCCGGGCAGCCAGCGCCCCCACGCCAAGCCGAGAGCCGGAGCGCGGCCGAGCGGGTGAGTGGCCGGGGACCGAGCCGGGCGGCCCAGCTTCTCCTCCGGCGCCCTGCTCTTCTTCTTCTCCCTTCAGCCTTCGCCGCGGCTTTTATTTTTTCTCTCGAACAACGCCTGCTTGCTTGCCCCGCTTCCTCCGCGGCCTTTGTTCCCCGGGCCCCCAACGGGTCTCCCGATGCTGGGGAGGGAGAGAGAGAGGTGGGGTTCGCTTAGGCGGCCGCTTGGCCACCGGCAGGGAGAGACTCCAAAAAAAAAGAGAAGCTTGGAGAAAAGAGCCCCCGGAGGCCGTGCAACATGGGTCCTGTTGCTTAAGAGCATGGTGTGCGGGGAGGGGGAGGGGGGCGTGTGGACAAAGAGACGGCAGGGGAGGAAGAGGGCGGGCGGGGAGGGCAAAGGGAGAGTTGAAGAAGAAGGGGTGGTAGGGAAAAAAAAAAGGGGGGGGCGATGGGGAGGAAGCGGTTTGGGGATGGGGGGGCTGCCGGGGGTCCCCGCGTAGGGGAGCTGTGGGGCAGAGAAGCGGGGGCGAGGGGGTGTCCCACAAAAGGGAAGCTTTTCCTTTCGCAGACGCGCGTGGTTCGCGGCAACAGGTTCGCTGGGGCGCGAATGGGTTGGGGGAGGACCATCCTGAGCGGCGTTCCTCACTGAGGACTGGCTCCTTAAGCGTTCTTCAGGGTCCTCCGCAAAAGCCCATGCTGGTTTGTTTCGCCCTATATTGTTTTATAACGGGGCGTGCAGGAAGGAGGAGGAGGAGGAAGAGCCCGTTCCAAGAGGGAAGGAGGAAAGAAGAGATGGGTGGGTAGGTGGGTGGGTGGAAGCCACCTCTGGATTTGGGGAGGGGGTAATATAAGCCAGAAGGCTCCGGGGTAGGCTGGCATAGAGGCTGGGATGAACGTGCAGCTTTTTAGGGGAGTCCTTAAAAGGGGGGAAGGGAGCTGTTGAGAAGCAATCTTGGGACACCAGAGCCCAGCATGCACAGCCACTCTCTGGCAGGGCTGTGCTTTTCTCAAAAGTTGGGTTTCCTCCTCGTTTGAAAGAACCTGACAAAAAGTAGACGCGGGGCACACAATCTTTACACTTGGCTTGTCAAGACGTCCTGGGCGGCAACTTGCAATAGGTAGCATCTTTCTCTCGCCAAGTGAGTAACTACTATTCCCGCTGCTTGGTTGAAGGAGTCTGGATGGAGTTTGGAGCTAACCCATTAGGCAAAAACTCCAGCTTTACACAGCCAAGTATTGTCTGGCCTGCGTTGTGTTTGTCTACGGCTGCCGCGCAATTATCCCCATTTTACACAAAGCCTTTGCGGATAACTCCTCGAGTTGCGATCCGCAGCGGAGCCCAAAATTTATGTTGCTAAGCGAAACCCTTGTCGAGTTGAGTTTTGCCCCCATATTACGACTCTTCCTGCTGCTTTTGTGAAGTCAATCGCTGCCGTCATTAAATTAGTAACCTAGTTGTGACAGGAATCTTGTTTCCCCACCGGCTTTTGCTTTTGTCAGAAGGACGTAAAAGGGGATCACGCGACTCCGGGATATTTGCGACCGTCATATAAACATGAGTCGGTTGCCAAAGCATCCGAATCTAAATCCCGTGACCGTGGAGGGATGCTGCAATGGTCGTAAGTGTGAAAAACATTCATCAGTCGCTTTTTTTCAGTGCCGTTGCAACTTTGAGACGGTCGCTAAATGAACGGTTGTAAGTCGAGGACGACCTGCATTGCAGCGGGGGTTGGGAGTGGAGAGGCCAGAAGTGTGGGGTTTGTTTTTGCAAATCAAGAGGCAAGCAAACTCTGCTGGTTAACCTTGGCGTGTCCATCAAACATTGTGGCAGAAACCATCTCCGTTTATTTGACTGGGCTTTTTCTCAACTTTTCCGTGGGAAAAAGAAAATGCATTTCATTTTTTTAAAAAAGACGTACAGGGGATTTTAAGGGAAGGTGAACTGAGGAAGCAAAAGAGAGAGGAGGAAAAAAAAAAGCGAGAGGCAACTTAGAAAAGCTTTGGTGAAAAAAAAAAACATTAGGAACCCCACCACCACCTATATCCCTAGCGCCCCACCACCACTTCTTCCCTTAAAGAGCCAGTGTCCCTTTGGCGTGAGAAACTCCGCCTCCTGTTTCCCGGCGTGCCTTGCAGGGTATAGGAAAGAGAAGGAAGGAAGGAAACTCCTGAAGTGGGAGGGAAGAAAAGTAAGTACAGTGTCCAGAATTCAGTGGAAGGGATTTGAAGATGGGTGTGGGGTGAGAGGCAAGACTGGAAGGGAAGGCCGCTGAAGAAGTGTTGGAGTGGGGGACCTACAAAGAAAGGGTTACTGCGGACGTTTGGGGACGCCAAGCTGGAAAAGGAGAGATTTTGGTGGTGTTCACATTGTTATCATTCCAGAGATTGGTTCAGGATAGTTCCCATACACATACACACACAAACACACTTGAAAAAATGTTTGCTCCTCCTGCAGTGCATTTACTGAGCAAGACACTTTATTCCATTAGTGGCAGGATTTACTAAGAGGCTGTGGCTTTGGGGGGAAGCTGCCCATGAATTTTGACTTCAGGCACCTCATTTCCTCCTGTCATTTAAAGTGGCATTAATTGCCCCATTATTTCCATATTATCTGTTTGCTAAGTTGAAGCCATCTGTTTTTTCCATGGCTATTAAAGTGAAATTGGCTCTTCAGTCTGATTAGCACAATGGGCCCCGGCATTGCATTTCGTTTCGATTTATTACCTCTCCAGGTTTTAAGTTCCTGGGTTATATAAATTATTGCGCTTTGAAACACCGTCAGTTCCTCCAAATAGACTTTCCAGATAAAAAGCTTCCAACAAATTTCGGAGGGGATGCAGAAAGAATACTAATAGGTGGGTGGAAGTTGGCTTTAGCAAAAGGAAATTTGTGTTTGTGAATAATAAGCTGGAACTCAACACTTTTACATCCTTTTCTATAACAGAATTGAAATAAAAGGCCTACTTTCACCTGCGTACATAATTTGATTAATTTGATTCAATAAGCCAAATTAGAAGCTGTAGTTTATAAATTAATATACATTGAATGTTTCATGCTTCATGTTAAGCCAAAAATGCTCATATTTTAGCTTGGGAGCAACGTGAAATCTCTGGTACTGTGTTAACATTGATTGTGCACAAAAATATTTTTTGCTCCAGAAACCTGTTAAGATTACGATTATATATCTCTCTCTATATAAACTCTATATTCTCTCTATAATATTAATAAGCGGAACTTCAAGCACAGTTTCCCCAATTCACGTGACCTGGGAGATTCTTGGCCAAGTAAAATATGATGTTAATTGCAAATCCATACGAGGGAAGAGAAAGACGAACGTTTGTAAATGTCTTTTCAGTCTGGCATAGAATCCAAAATAACTAGAGAGATACACTGTTTAGAAAAGAGGCTCTGTTAATGCAGAGAAGTAAGCAGTTTGGCGATGAACCAGGGTCTGGGTGGGGCCACTTTGGACAATAAGAGGTTCATGTGACACGGTGCCTCTCTGGATCTCCTTCCGTCAACTCTCGAAAGGACTCTAGCTGAAGCCATACTTCACTTTGCTTCGTTTTTTACTTGCCGTGCATATTGGGTGGAGGGGGGGCAGATTTGAAGAACGTAGAACGTTTTCCTCTACAGCACCAGACATAACAGCAATAAGGCTCCTGAAAACCAAGGTCAGCTCAACGTGCCCTAGCAAGGGCAGGAGGGAGTGATGAAGTCATTGCCTGCTTGGTTGGTTAACGTGACCTGTCACACAAGGGTGGGTGGGTGGGCAATATCTATTCTTTCATTATGCCAAAGTGCGGGAATGATTTAGAGGTGGTTTCACATTTGAACGTGCCGATACGATGCGCCCAATAAACAGGATCTTTGAGAAAAGCCGCCGCCTCAGGGTTTTTTGAATGGATTGGGAGCATTAATCGGAACCATGACACACCCTCATTATCCAACCCATAGATTGCTGGGTCTCCTCTTTCTGACCAAGTGATAGTTTTCAATGTCTATTTTTTTTTTAAAGAAGAGCACTCAATTATGCGAGCCGTAACTTGTAGACTGGAGTTGTAGTGCTTGGGTGCTGGGTGGTGAGCAGAGAGAGAAAAAAGTAGATTTGTGGTGTTACATTAAAAGGTGCTCGCCTTTTCTCTAAAACTCTCTGCTTTATCCTTGCCTCATTATTTACTACTTAACATGCTGCGTCTTTTTACGTTTTCCCCTACAATTGATGTATTTTTTGATCTTTCCCTTTTCTTCCCCCTCTGCTCCAGCTCTTCTGAAAAGCCCGCAGCTGATTCCCAAAGAGAGACGACTTCTCGACTGCCGCAGCCATGCCCTCCAATAAGGACGCCTCTGGCTGTCTCGGCTCACCGCCAGGTTTGATCTGCTTGCCGCCCATCTCAGAGGACCTCCAGCTGGTATGGACTCAGGCGGCCCAGACGAGTGACCTGGATGGTAACCAGCACCTCCTGCAGACTTTCAGCTATTTTCCGTATCCCAGCCTTTCTGACCTGGCTTTGCTCTGCCTGCGTCACGGCCTGCACATGGAGAAGGTGAAGGCTTGGTTCATGGCGCAGCGGCTGCGCTGCGGCATCAGCTGGAGCGCCGAGGAAATCGAAGAGACTCGGGCTCGCCTCATCTATCACCAGGACCAGCTTCACTTTAGTTGCCTGCTTGCTGGCAACGAGGGTGACTCCTGGCACCAGACTTGTAAAAGCCCTTCATACCACCACCAGCTGGCTCCGCACTCCCTGCACTACTCCGGTAAATATCCAGAGAACCAGCAACCTCTTGTAACCTCCTTAAATCATTGTAGTACAGCTCCAGGGACAAAAGAACTCGGGACGATCACTCAGGACATTTGGAAACTGCAGGAAAACGCCCCGTCGTCCCACTATAAGAAACCTCAGGAACATTTTGAACCTTCAGGGATCACAATGAATTTTCAAAATACCAAAGAGACTATTTCCGGTGCTTATCCACCCATCACAACCCTTGGCCTGGATTATAACTTCCTGGATTCTCACACGATGGCCTGGAACTTCCCCGCAGCATCCCAACCTCCCGCTGAGTCCATCACGCCTGCCGTTAACGGCGGGCACCACCCGGTGATTCTTCCGCTGGGTTCCTCGGTGAAAGTCACCCCGTCCTCCTCGAAAGTTACAACCAGTGCCGCGGACCTTCAAAACCATCAGCACTCTGTCAGCGAGCAGCAGACATTTTTGCCAGAGGTTTTACGGAAGCCTAGGCGGAAGACGAAGGAACAACTGGATTTGTTAAAGGCCTTCTTCCTTCACCGGCAGTGGGCCAGGAGAGAGGATTATCACCAGTTGGAGCAAGTAACCGGGTTACCCCGGGCAGAGATCATCCAGTGGTTTGGAGATACACGTTATGCCCTGAAGCACGGTCAGCTGAAATGGTTCCGGGACAATGCAGGGCAGAGTCCAGAGCCTGCTTCCTCAGGTGGACCTCCTCCTCCCCAGCCATGCACAAATCCTCCAGACATGAGCACCCTGGAACAGTACTGGGCCACCCATGCGCAGCTGCATGAGAATGACTTGCCGATGCTCTGCCGCCAATCGGGAATGAGCGCGGAGCAAGTGTTGGAGTGGTTTCACTTGCACTTGCCGGCGCCGTGCGAGGTGGAGGTGTGTCTGGGGGACGATGACGAGGTAGACGAAGAGGTGGCGGCCGCAATGATAAAAGCGGAAGACGAAGACTACGACGAAGAAGAGGACGTGGAAGAGGAGGAGGACGAAGACTGAAGGACTTTTGTGCGGATGCTGGAGGGTTTTGGATTTCTCCGAGGAGCAGGTGGAAGGATCAGTGAGACAGATTAGTAAATCCTAGGAGCCAGGTTTCTGTCCCAACCGTTTCCTGCTGGTAGCAGTGACCCGCATCACTTATGTTCTAGAATGGTTTCTTTTTTCCCTTTGAGCCACTGAATATAAAAACAAAACTAGTTTTGTTTCCATTCACTGTTTATCAAGGCAGAATCACAATGGTATAAAGAAGGGGTTTCCAACCCTTCAGATGTGAGTGGCCATAATACTGTATATGAATGCCTTCAGCAATCCGCTGGGTCTCCAATGATTTCTTTGAAAAAACTTCAAAGAATTAAACTTCGGTTAATTGCATTGTTTTGGTTTCATATTGTTTCCTCTATAATAATCAGAGGAAATTTTTTCCTTAATAATTATACATTTGTTGTCTAGGTCACTAAACCCTGAAGCCCAACAATTGCCTAATTTTGTTACCTTTTCTAAGACTTGGAATACAGATATTTTTCATTTACCCTTGGATGTATCTGTCTTGATTCTGTTTCTTCCAATTCATTTATTTTTTTATTCGAGTTTAGAAACTGGACCGTTTGTTACCAGAGTTGCAGAGATTTGGCAACCCCACTCTCTCAAATTCCATAAAAGCCATACATAAGATTTAACCGGTCTAAGCTTGCATACCAACTATATTTTCCTGAGTAAATGAACAGTTAAAGTCATTATTTGCTTTTTGGTGCTTGTGTTTTGTTTTTATAAGCCAGTTCTTTGAAATCAAAGAAATGTAGAAGACAGACTAAGGCTATCTTTCCTGTTTTCATGCCTTCAAAATACTTTGGAACTAAAAAATGTTAGTTTCTAGACTGGTACTTAAGATGGTGATTGTAGCTGTTATATTCAAATCGGTATTTTGTCATTTATCTTCCATTTTCATTCTCTCCTTTATTTTAAAAAAATCATTTTTGGAATGACTTCTATTATCTACTCTTGGTGATCTTCTTTATCATATGATTCATATCATTTCTCTTAGTTGCTCTGTTTTCTTTTCCTTGTTCCGTTAGTGCCTTGATTCACCAGCTTTCCCTGTCATCCAGTTTTTCCATTCAAGTCATATATCTGGTCTGTACTAGTTGGTTGATATAGTGAATTCGATGCCAGTTAGAGATATTGTAAGATAACAAGAGTGGCCTCTTGCAAAAGAAGTGCAAACACTCCTAAATGCTTGGTTATCTTCCATTTGTCAAACTGTCATTGCCCTCAGATTGATGGGGAAAATAAAACCCATACATTCTGAGAATAGCGTTTGAGATTATTTTGAAAGAAAGTAAAGAGGAATTTGGAAGTTTGTGAAAGTATGAAGAGGTAGGAGACTAGACAGAGATTAATCATCTGTACTTTAAAATTTCTATTTATTAAATACCATTTTCAATTTTTTTTTAAGTAGAATCTTTACAAAAATATTCTGCAGGCAAGAGAATTCAAAAATACTGAAATAAGCTAAACAACTTTAGGTAAAAAGAAAGTGGTACATGGATTATGCCGTACTTAGTGAAATGTTCAAAGGCTGTAACTTAAAGATAGAACTGAGCGGAATAATTTGATTTGTGGATTGGTTACTTAATAAATTGAATGAGTTAATAGATAATTATGTTCAGTAAATTATATCTGTCTTTTTCCTCTTTCTAAGTATAGTTTTTTTAAAGACTTGTCTGTTTTGTTTCAGTTTGCAAAACAACATTGGTTGCAAATACAATAATCCTACATTATGGGCAACCTGGGTCAAATTGTTTGAATATTTCATCTTGGAAGTACACAAAGCATTTTAGCTCAGAGAACATACAACGTAATACATTTTCTTAGCAAATCTAGTCACAAAGTAAGATTGAAGCTAGGATCCACAGGTTACTTAATGGGCTATATTTGACAGTTAAAACACCATGTATCAATAATGCTACTGCAGAGTTCACCAGCTAATTTTAGCCATTTTCCTCAAAGACTTTATAGGGATTTGTTTTAAAATTATGTCACATATGCCAAGTGCCATAAATATACTTTGCCTTGCATAATAATTTTTATTTATTTACTACGATTCATACACCAGTTGGCTTCAAGCAACTGTGAACGTCTTATTTCAAGTCACAAAAAATATTTAAAAGAATTTTAATCAAAACAGGGTCTCCTAATGGCATCACTCAATTACTAATGGATTGCTTTTTAATCAGGTTCAAATATTCAGAAGATTTATACTGCAGGAAATCTGCACAGAAGAGTCTATCTTGCATCTAACATTAGGATGATGTTTAAGAGCACAGCTGCTTTGGTCATCCCCATTATTGCTGATGGATTTGGCTGATGGATGAATACCTGGGGAAAAGTGCAATTAACTAGTTGTGTGGAGCCAGTCTTCCTACTTTAGGGATGTATTAAATTCTGATCACTATTTAGTTTGCTCAACAAAATTACATTCTAATTTCTGATAACAGCAAGTAATGTATTTCTAACATGCTACAATTTTAATTTAACAGAAGACATGGGGAATGAGGAAAAAATTGGGACTTTGTTCCTTTGGATGCTGCCATTAAGATTTCTAAATGGTAAAGCTAGGACTTAAACCAATTTGTTTTAACAGCAAAAAAAAAATCATTGTTGCATCTTGCTGGCAAGGGTGATGAAAACTAGAGCCGCGGTGGGGGGTAGAGGACAGTGATAATTTCACCTGGATATGGATTACATTCATCATCTTTCACAAAGCTGTGTCATGTAACATATGAAAGGGTGAGAATGAAGAATCCATGTAGGTCTCACTTACCTGTGGGGAAAGGATGGTGTAGAGTGAGGTGTGAATCTCAGCTGAGAATGACAGAAAAGGAAAAGCAATTGGAATGAGTGAAGCTTTTCTTGGTATGAACTACCTGTCTACAAGTCTGTAGAGATTCTTGGTCATCCAGGTCATGGTTGTCCCAATGGTGCTTTTTCAGGAGGCAGCCGGACTTTGTTTTTTCTTTTGAAGATGTTTTGCTTCTCATCCAAGAAGCTTCGTCAGCTCTGACAGGATAGTGGGGAATGGAACCATGACCTGGATGACTGAGAATCTCTACACACTTTTAGCTACACAATTTGGGATGAACACTCTAAGGCGGTGTGGGAGTAGGAATGGCTTTCCAGAGGGAAAATTGCAGACTACAGAACCATTAGCACTACTCGGGTGACCATTGAGGACACAGATAAATCTCCAAGTGCTTCAATGATCCTCTAAAAGGATGCAAATGACCAGCTGTCTGCAAGGAATATAAATCCTTCCATTCCCCACTATCCTGTCAGAGCTGAAGAAGCTTCTTGGATGAGAAGCCAAACGTCTTCAAAAGAAAAAACCAAGAAAGTCCAGCTGCCTCCTGAAAAAGCACCTTTGGGACTACCTGCCTGCAATCTACATTTTACCTGTAGAGGGCGCAGTCTTTCAGCATTGTGGTCAGGAACAGAAGCACCTGTTGGATCTGTAAAAAAACGAAAGCAATAGGAAACCAACTGAACAGGAGGGCAAGTTCTGTGGGAGTTGAAGGGCTATCTTAACATGTTAGTCAATTTTGGCATTTGTATGTTATGCTAAGCCTTCGTTTGTCTAACCATTCTGGAATATATAATGCCAGGGTTAAAAATTGCACAATATACTTTGGGCAGACTGGTAATGTCAGGCATGCATCAAAAGAAAAGAGGACTTTTCTAAGAAAAAGTGAGGGAGATTAGGACAAAGGTTTAATTTTACTTAAAATAAAATAACAGTATAGTTGATGTGATTATTCCTTGTGTATGGTTCCCCTCTGTTCACTTTAAACAACTTTGAGGGGCCATTCAAGCTAAATCCAATGCTTTGGGATTCACCTGTAGCTAGTGGGCCTTAGATGTTGTTATTATTTACAAATCATTAGAAGCCAAATTCATATAAGGAGCTAGATCACAATCAAAAGTAGTGTGATACTGCACAAAAACTATATGGAATAAACATATGTTCACCAAAGAGGAACAACTTTCCTCACCGGGAAAGATGCTGAGGTTGAAGTACGGAGTTTCCTGTGGCTGCCCAGGGTTATTAGCACTCTGACTTAGTCTTGCCGTCGGAGTTTGAAGACTGAAGACATTGAAACTGGGGGTGTGGGAAGTGGAAGGAGAGGCCCTACGGAGGAAGGAGGGTGACAGAAGTCCTAATTATTGTGGAAGACGACACTAAATGTTTTTAAACTTATACCATATAAACTATATGTAAGCAACACCTTCATCAAGGCCCCTCCCCACTCCTATGACTCACCTGTAGAATAAGCTCTGCATGGAGGCTGAAGACGGAGTGGCTGCCAAATAGAAGGTAAAGGTGTTACACCTGGAATGAATGGTGGAAAGCACATGGAAAGGCGATAGGAAGTTTAAGGGTAGGCAATGTGAGAAAAGAGTATTGTAAGGCGAGGAGGAGATCAAATAGAAATGATGTTTCTCTTCACAATAAATTCTGTTCCAAATAATAAGCTGTGAAACGATGCTTGTCTGTAGAAATGAAACCCTGGAAGATTTCTTGATTTTATTTCCTTTGGAATCTAAATATGGCAAAAATTTACTGTTTGTTGACAGTTACACTTCTTACCATTCGCAGAGACCGCCGGGGTCGTTCGTGTGGTTCTGGTGGTATGCTGAATAAAGGGGGAGAAAAGTTTAAAGGAATTTTCATTTATTTAATCTCATTTGTATAGTGACTCGGAGCAGCGTACAACAAAGCTAAGAACAGTGACTATGTAAAATCATTACAAAAATATTAACTATTTTTTTAAAAAGCCAGATGGAGCAGGGGTGAAATCCAGCAGGTTCAGACAGGTTCTGGAGAACAGGTAGCAGAAATTTTGAGCAGTTTGGAGAACCAGTAGCGGAAATTTTGAGTAGTTTGGAGAACTGGCAAATACCACCTTTGGCTGGCCCCAGAGTGGGGAGGGAATGGAGATTTTGCAGTATCCTTCCCCTGCCATGCCCACCAAGCCATGGCCACAGAACCGGTAGTAAAAAAATTTGGATTTCACCATTGAGATGGTGGAGGGATGTTAAAGGAGCAAAAGTACTAAAAGGGCAACAATTAAAATATTCATAAACACCTTCGAGCTAAACATTATTCACTGTTCTTTGTTGCCGATAAACCAGTTTGGGGATTTGGAGCTTTTAGGATTCCCCAATGAAACCTCCTTTTTACCCATATTATTGCTAAGGAAACGGTGGTTTTGTCCAAGCCATGTTTGGCTAAAGAGAAAGAAGAGCCCAGAATTTTTTATGTCCAAAAACAGCTTTTTGTTTGGGCAGATGGTTATCAGTGGAATTTTATTCTCAAAACTACCTTCAAATAACTGCACGAAACAAAGCAGTCTATCTATCCATGGTTTCGCTTTCCTGGGAAAAGAAAAAAGCAATGGCAGAAACTAACCTGCCAGCTTGGTGGGCGGCTGACTCTGGAAGAAATGGAATCCATAGAAGACGAGCGGCTGAGAAAAGAGGCACAATAGGTCAAGGAGCTGTCACTAGCTACAACTGAAAGCTAAATCTGCAGTCGGATGCTCAGTATCTTTATGTGATCTTTTAAGTATAATAATCAAATTTTGCTGAAAGGGAACTCGACTGAAGGGACCATAGTCACAGTAAGGAAGATTCTAAGATATGGAAACACACTTATTCCACTTAGAATATGCATACCATGGTATATAGACAGCCATTTGTCTGAAATAGTATAGCGTCTCCTGCTTGAGCAGAGGGTTGGACTAGAAGACCTCCAGGATCCCTTCCAGCTCTATTCTATTCTGAATTCCAATTTTTCGAAGAAAACACTGTTCCTTCTCTTCAATTCTGAGCAAGTTTCTAAAAACTACGCAATCTTCCAGGATCTGGAGCAAATTTAGAAGAGTGGCTGCCTTGGGAAACTTAGCTCAAAATATCCTTTGCCAGAAAACCAACTAGCTCTTCGGGATATTTACACCAACCAACTGGGACTTTTTGCGTGGACCCAAGATACTTCTGTAAAAGGTATACTAGAATGTAGCATATTTTTGCTGGCTTGTTTATTTCCATATTTGACCATTTTTACAAAAAAAAAAAAAACAAAACACCCTGTCCAAGGAGTTTTTGATAAAAACTATTAACACTGTGAATCACCTCTAACTGGGGGGGGAAAAAAACATTTACCTGACCACCTCACTGGAGCGCTGGAAAATTGGTTGCGGTGTAACTGCAAAGTATGAGATAGTTACTATGTAGCCATGGTTAAATCTGCTAAACATAATGTTGGCCTGAGATAATAAGATTATCTGTCCATATCCTACATTGTCCTCAGAGATCCAGGCAAACATCCATATAGTTCCGTCCATGCACATATCTACACATACACAAAATATTACCCTGGACCAAGTGAAGAGATTCGGGATCCTTATCTCTCTTACCTGTCTGTGACGGAGGAGTGATGGCAATTGGCCTTGGGGTGCTGTTTCTGCATCAAATTGAAATGAGTTTGATCAGTTAGGATAACTCCTCCCCACCCACCCACCCCTAAACATTGGGGGTTTTCTTTGCCCTGTGTTTTCATTGCTGGCCTATGATGGTTCAAGACCCAGCTCCCTCATTTTGCCACGAAGATCTCTTACAGCACTGCCTCTATTTCATGGGCTGCCCATCCTGATTTAATGTTTCCAAAGGACAGAACAGACATACTGACCTGCTACCCTGGTGTTGTCTGGGAAAAGCCTGTTGTGAGAAGAAGGGAGGGTTTGGGGGGTCAACAGCTGGGCCCCTAACATGCAAAGAGGTTTGATTTACTCCCTCCTCAATAAATAAAGCAGAAGAGCAGTAGTCATTGCTGCCAGCAGAGGGTGACAAGAAACCAAATAAGGGAAAATATAATTGTTTCCACCAAACTTCTTACCTTCAGGTTGAAGTACTTCTTCTTCAGTTCCCTATTTTCCTTCTGTACAGCCTCTAGTTCTCTACATATGGAAGTGGCAGGCAAGAGAAACAGAAAGCGGGTAATAATAATATGCCTTGATGCTTTAGAGCCCACTAGAGAACACTTCAGCAGTGATGAGAATAAAGGCAGGAGGGCTGCCTCTGGGGCCATGCAAGCTATTAGTTTCACTTCACAAATTATCAACATGTTTTAACATTTAATGGCTGATATCAGAAGGGAGCAGTAGCCTGGAGTCTTCTTTAGAAAAGTATATAACCCTATTTGCTTGCCCCAGTTTTTATCTCCATCAAAAATAAAACAAGTGTTTCTTTCTTTCCCACCAATTAGGACAACTGAAGGATATTTCCAACTTACTCAATAACTTTCTTTTGGGGAAGAGAGGAGAGGAAAGAATGGCTTTCTGGATATATGAAGGGGGGGGGAATGTTTTAAGTATTTTAATTAAACAGCTCAGAGTGGGGGGTTGACTTAAGAAGGCACAATGGACCTTTGATCAACCAGTAAACTAGATCTTGTAAAGTTAATCATATTAACTTTACTAATCCCTACAGATAAAACTAACAGGCTGTATTCACAGAGTAGTAGGTCAAGCAGGTAAATGAAAGACCTAACAATTGTATTTGCACAACCCGTTAACCTTATTTTGAATCTTAGTTAGGTTCTCTTTGTGGCTTGGAGTGCTGTGTGAAGCAGCTTATTTGGTGCTTTAGCATGTTCAGTGTATTATATGTCGTCATCCCCACCCTCGGAGAGTAGGATAATTTAATATTCATACTGTGTTGTGCAGACACATTTATACTGTTTTCCTCTCTTATATGAACACAACCTGCATATCTCACTTTTCCTGGATAGTTAGTTTGTGGAGAGCTTGCTGGAGTGCTCCTTCGGCTTTTGAAGCATTATTTTTGTAGAAAGAGACCAGCAGGTCCATCTGGCTCTTCTGGAATGTCCATACCTAGAAAGAAGACCAGAAGGCACGAGAGAAGTGGATTTCAAGGAAATTCAGCATCTGGTCTCATGACTGTAACTCATTTAGGGATATAAGAAGCGGCATATGTGGAACCTTTTAAGTCCAGGTACATCACTCAGAGCAGAAGACATTTCCTGTATATGGATCGTACACAACCAGTCCCTACAAATCTCAGTAGGCTTACGATACGAAATCTTTGGCATTCTGAATATTATTCAAATCTTTTTTTTCCCATAGTTTTATTAATTTATAATACGACATGCAAAAAGAATACAAAAGCAAATATTAGGTAAATTAGAAAAGGAAAAAGGGGAAGTGGAAAAAAAGCATTGACTTCCGACTCCTTTCATGCAGTAAAATAAGGCATTAATATTATTCAAATCTAACTCCCATATATTTCAAATAGGATGGTCAGCAGTAATTGATGGGAAGACTGGTCCAATGACATCTATCCTAGATTGGAAGTCTCTGTTCACAGTCACTCATGCCTTGATCACCTCTTTTTTAGATTGCCACAATGTAGCTAAGAGCTGACAATCAGTTGATGACACATAATCATTTTGCTGTATTTAAAGCTACTCTTCCTTATGATTACAACTCAGTTTTCTGCTTTAAAGCTTGAGGTCTTGTTATCTATGAGATCACCTTCTCCAAGTGGCTTATGCCTACTCAATAAGACCGTGGACTCTTTCTGGATCCCGTTTCTTAAGGCACATAATTTTCAGGGACCCAGCTGACCACCTTCTCTGAAGCATCATTTCTCCTGAGATCAGATTGTTTCCCATCCTTTTTTTTGGGTGGGGGTGGGGGGTGGGGAAGCCTTGGAAATAAAATTGTAGTGATAGTCACTGTCCTGATATGGATTGTGTGTTATTAATTTTGCTCCTTAGAGTACTGATGGTTTGTTTTGCTATTTATTTTATTACTGAACTTTATTGTGCTTCCTTTATTTTATAAGATGTTCAGTGCCTTGTCTGAATTACAACTGGCAAAGAAATGGCAGTAATGGCACAGTGCCTATATAGAGGGCCTATATGGGCGTTAATGAAATGGAATGGAGAAGGAAAGGGAAGGCAAAGGACAAGGGGCAAACTCCAAAGGGTTGACTTTATTTGGCCAAGTGTGATTAGACACACAAGGAATTTGTTTCCAGTGGAGAGGGAGGTTATTCTCCAAAAATCACAAGACCTGGCTTTTCCCAAAAGTGCTGGGAGAAAGTGAGGTGGGCGAGAGGATTTAACAATGGCCTACATGTGGAACCTTAATTTTGGTGCCAGATTTCTTAATGTTCATGGTTTATATGTATAATGTTGTCTTGTATTATGGATGTTATTTTAATTGCTAATTGGGAGTTGCCCAGAGTTTGATGTAAGTTGGGTGGCTGTATAAATATTTTCAATTAAATAATGACCATAGATTCTCCAGCCCTGGAACCATCTAGTAGCTGAGTAGAAGGACAAATGGTCTAATAGTACTTTATATATTTACTTTAATATTCCATCCAGTCAAGGGTGTGAGCTGTGCTCTTTATTTGCAAGGCACATAATATATAGAGCAAACAGTTCAGACTTTGTGTACTTAAAGCTGTAAAATGAACAAGGTTATATGAATATTATCCACGAGGTGAGTTGAATGATAGCAAGGAATCTTACAACAGCTTAAAGTCTAACCAATTTATTACAGTATAAATTGTCTTAGATTACATTTCCTGGCTTTCCTTCTTGGTTACTCCCAGAACTGTTTTTAAACCATGAAAATTTAAGAATTAACTTTTAGAATTAAAGAGGATCTCTAGGGGGAAAAAAAACTCCAATACTGTACAGAACTGCCTATTTGAATATCTGGCATGTGCGTCATTTTTGCTTGATAGTTTATGTTAAGCAACTGCATGTCTGATTTATAGGGAAAATTTTTTTATCAGAAATAAGTACTGTGAAACTGGTTACAGCCTAATTAATGCATTGGGAAAATGTGTCATAACCCCTTAAACACGGGTGCCTGTTATTATACAAATATAACAACTCTCTAGAAATTGAAATAATGGGCATGCAAACTATTCTTAGGCTGAGAAAGAGATTAAAAAAAAACTACCAGAGAACAATGGAAATGCAGGCAATTAAAATATCTGTCCATCAGGATTTCTTAATCTTTACTTGGGACTAAAAAAAACCCCCTTCTCTCACTTTTTTCCAACTTTTGGAATCTCCTTCCATATGGTTGGTGCTCACTTGTGTGTTATATTGCAGGGGTTTTTTTTTTAACAGCAGGGGGAGCCCTTTATTTTTCCCAGGCCTTTAGTAGTTTAAAGTAAGAGATGCAGTGGCTGTTTTATCACTGTTATGTATGATAATTATATATAATATTTCCACTCTTTTATCTTTTGAAAACTGTACTAGGAAATGTCTATTTTAAAATGTGATGCATAATAAGCATTCATGCGAATGGATGAAAATAATGTGATGTGATGTTTTCTAAACCATCACATATATGTGATGCACATATATGTGTATGTATGTGCGCGTCATTCTCAGGATTGAACTTTTCATGGTTTTTTCGAGGTTGCTTTTCTTCTCGCATATCAAGTTGTTGAGATGACAAGGAGACTTATGTGATTACATGGAAATTACCTGGATTGCTGTTCTCAACCATCTTACTTTCTTTTTAACCACCTGGAGGCCAAACTTTCCTTATGAAAATCAAGATTATACAGTATCTTTCAGTCTTAGCACAAACAAATATACACTGCTCAAAAAAAATAAAGGGAACACAAAAATAAGACATCCTAGATCTGAATGAATGAAATATTCTTAGTAAATACTTTGTTCATTTCATAGCTGAATGTGCTGACAACAAAATCACACAAAACTTATCAATGGAAATCAACCCATGGAGGTCTGGATGTGGAGATACACTCAAAACTAAAGTGGAAAAAAACACTACAGGCTGATCCAACTTTGATGTAATGTCCTTAAAACAAGTCAAAATGAGGCTCAGTAGTGTGTGTGGCCTCCACGTGCCTGTATGACCTCCCTACAATGCCTGGGCATGCTCCTGATGAGGTGGCGGATGGTCTCCTGAGGGATCTCCTCCCACACCTGGACTAAAGCATCCCCCAACTCCTGGACAGTCTGTGGTGCAATGTGGCATTGGTGGATGGAGCTGTTGTGGCTCCGTTACCTGAGCCTGTGTCATCGGCAGGAGAGGACTCCGAGAGTGAAGGAGAGGAGTTGGCAAGGCCTCCCTCTCCAGGACCCTCCTCTCTGGCAATGCCTTCGGTGTCCGCCGAAGAGCAAGAGATAGGGCCGGGGCCAAGCACGTCCACGCAGCCACAGGTGGACAGTGATGAGGGAAATGAGTCTTGGCTGGATCCACGCCAGCGTCGCAGAGATAAGCGGGCGCAACAGAAGAAAAGTCGTGCCCGAGATTAGGCTGAGTCACTGGACCACACCCCACAAGGTATAAAAGGGAGCGTGGTGGCCAGTCAAACCTTGTGACGAACAAAGCTGAAAGCTTCCACGCCATCCTGCATTGCCGGACTTTTGCTATAAGACTTAGCTGGATTATTTCTGGACTTGATTGACTCCGTAATTATTGAGCTGTTTCTTTGGATGTATCAGAAGTGGGGAGAAGTTATCTCTCCTCTTCGTAAATAATAAACTCTTGGCAGGCAGCCACTAGGTTGTTGCCAAGTTCCGTTATCTTAAGGAAAAGGATTTTGCCGGCTGGTTTGATTGTGTGCGTGTGGTTGGGGACAGAACAGGAGCGAAACATGATGTCCCAGATGTGCTCAATTGGATTTAGGTCTGGGGAACAGGTGGGCCAGTCCATAGCATCAATGCCTTCGTCTTGCAGGAACTGCTGACACACTCCAGCCACATGAGGTCTAGCATTGTTGTGCATTAGGAGGAACCCAGGGCCAACCGCACCAGCATATGGTCTCACAAGGGGTCTGAGGATCTCATCTCGGTACCTAATGGCAGGCAGGCTATCTCTGGCGAGCACATGGAGGGCTGTGCGGCCACCCAAAGAAATGCCACCTCACACCATTACTGACCCACTGCCAAACCGATCATGCTGGAGGATGTTGCAGGCAGCAGAACGTTCTCCACGGCGTCTCCAGACCCTGTCATGTCTGTCAAGTGTGCTCAGTGTCAACCTGCTTTCATCTGTGAAGAGCACAGGGCGCCAGTGGCGAAGTTGCCAATCTTGGTGTTTTCTGGCAAATGCCAAACGTCCTGCATGGTGTTGGGCTGTAAGCACTACCCCCACCTGTGGACGTCGGGCCCTCATATCACCCTCATGGAGTCTGTTTCTGACTGTTTGAGCAGCCACATGCACATTTGTGGCCCGCTGGAGGTCATTTTGCAGGGCTTTGGCAGTGCTGCTCCTGTCCCTCCTTGCACAAAGGCAGAGGTAGCGGTCCTGATGCTGGGTTGTTGCCCTCCTACGGCCTCCTCCATGTCTCCTGATGTACTGGCCTGTCTCCTGGTAGCGCCTCCATGCTCTGGACACTACGCTGACAGACACAGCAAACCTTCTTGCCACAGCTCGCATTGATGTGCCATCATCCTGGATGAGCTGCACTACCTGAGCCACTTGTGTGGGTTGTAGACTCTGTCTCTAGAGTGACAGCACCGCCAGCATTCAAAAGTGACCAAACCATCAGCCAGAAAGCATAGGAACTGAGAAGTGGTCTGTGGTCACCACCTGCAGAACCATTCCTTTATTGGGGATGTCTTGCTAACTGCCTATGCTTTCCACCTGTTGTCTATTCCATTTGCACAACAGCATGTGAAATTGATTGTCAATCAGTGTTGCTACCTAAGTGGACAATTTGATTTCACAGAAGTGTGATTGACTTGGAGTTACATTGTGTTGTTTAAGTGTTCCCTTTATTTTTTTTTTGAGCAGTGTAGAAAAGAAAGCCTTTTGTCACTGGCTGAGTGAGGATCATCTGTCTTTTATCCAAGGATTTTAGAACTGCAGGATTCTGGACTATCTTTTACTAGAGGCTCCTGTGTGGAATATTGAACACAAGGTAACAGTTTTGCCCATTTTCGGGATCTAATGAAGAGTATTCCATCCATTCCCACCCCACTCCAGGGGAAGGATATTGCAAAATCCCCATTTCCTTCCCACTCCAGGGGAAGGTTACTGCAAAACAAGGTTGACTCAGCCTTCCATCCTTTCTAAGGTAGGTAAATTGAGGACCCAGTTTGTGGGGGCAATAAGCTGACTTTGTATAAAATATACAAAAGTATGAAGGCTATTGCTTAACGCATTGTAAGCCGCCCTGAGTCTCCGGAGAAAGGCGGCATATAAATCAAATTAAAAAAAAAATAAAAATCCCCATTTCCTCCCGATCAGCTGGGACTCGGGAGGCAGAGAACAGATGGTGGGGGGGCATCTATTCTCTGCGAGGTGTTATTTACCGGTTCTCCGAACTACTCAAAATTTCCGCTACCGGTTCTCCAGAACTGGTCAGAACCTGCTGAAACCCACCTCTGATATAATTGTAAGAAAATAAATAAAAACAATTGTTGAATAGATTGTAGAATAAAATACAGATCCATTCCATCTTTAAAGGTTCCTCCCCTCCTCTTCATCTGAGCGCTAGGCTATCTGGTTTACGAGATAGGATTAGGAGGAGGATTATCATGGTGGATTTTAATGCTCATGTATCGCTGATTCTGCTGAAACTTCTTCTGTTGATTAACTAGCCCGTCACAATAGTTATCTGGCTCTTTTATCTAGATTTATTATGGTAATTAATTAGCTTGCTTGGCAAACTTGGGATCACTATTACTACAGAATTAACCTTTCCCCAGATTGGTTATTACCCAGTCCTCTAGGGGACCTTGGATCATTCATCCATGGTGTAACAGCTATTAAAAATGGAATAAAATATACCTTAATTGTAGGGAACATGTTTGACTAGGGAAGTAATTCATTCATGTTTTTTACATGGGTAGACATGCCTCTGAACACTTTAAGTGGGTCAGAATAACTTCAGTATTATATACCTGTTTTAATCACTGCCCCTCTTTTTCGTAGCTAAAATCAATGAGAATATAACCCCAAATGGTTTCTTACCTGAGAGATATGAGCAATATAGTTGAGCGCTGTTTCAACAGGGTTTTTGAAAAACTTCTTTTCTTCTTGCTTCATCTGAAAGCCAGAAAAGCAGACAAAGGGTAGATAAAGAGTTAAATTCTTTATAATCTAAAAGGTGAAACATATTGAATTTTTCGGAGTTTATTTAATTGGTTGTATATCTGAAATATCACCTTTCCAATATCATTTCACCAACTAAAATATGTCTATTCAGCTACTTGGTCATTCTGAATTCTTGTGCATATGATTTTGATTTATTTTTTTTACAGTTTTTCTTTAATGTCATTATATTTTCTCCTGCCTTTCTTCCAAGAAGCAGAAGGTAGTATAGTATGAAGAATACCACTTTTGGAGTATTGAAAAACAGGAAAAATATTATGAAATAAGTAATTTTTTAAAAATCATTTTTCTTCTCTCACCTAACTTTATAGAAGCCTTTTTAAATAAGTTATAGTGACTGATTCCATGTAATTCAGTACACAGCATTGATGGGCAGTATTTGAATACTTTTCTCCATAATATAATTGGGATACATAATGAGGTCCCGATTGCCAGGTAGCTGAAATTATTTTTTCAAATTAAAAGTACATAATAAATCATTCTCAAGTTTTCACGAAATGTCTTTTGTTTGGCTTCTTATAAATTAATATTTATCCACTTTCTACTAATGTCAGAGCTTTATTAAACTCATTGTTTAACACTCAGGTTGTTTTTTTAAAAAATCCTGCTTACTATTTGGTTTTCTTGCTTATAATTTAAATATTTGACACATTCACCCAGTAAGTTGGGATACAAAGTCTGAGTTCAGAGACACCAAAAAGAAAGAAAAAAAGAATCTTTCTTATAGAAACCAGAACTTACATTATCTTTTAGAGACAAATATTTGCAGCTTGTTCCACAAGAAGGGCATTTGTCTAACAAGATTAAAAACGTAAAATGTTAATACGATATTGAAATGTTTCATATATAATAATGTCTAAAATTGAAAAATGGTGATTTTTCTAAAATTAGCAAGCCAATCTTTGTTTATATTCTCTTGGCTGATCTCTATATGTGAAGGAAGTTTGGGGCTGGATGGCACTTTGATAGGAAACCATCAGAAATCTCAGAGTTGTAGATCAATCTAGAATGTGACAAAAATATCTATACTGTTACCAAGGAAATGACACAGAAGTGTCCAAGAGGTCATCAGAAGTCAGGCACATTTGAAGGAGATGTCATTTTTATTTCTTTGACTTTTACTCCTTTTGTGCTGGGTGGCACACACACAAAAAAGCCTCTAAAGTAAAAAAATCCACTTCATACTTACCTGTACCGGCACATTTTTGGCAAAATATATGTCCACAGCTAGTAACCGAAAAGTCAGATTTCTCTTGGGTGAAGCACTGATTGCAATGAAACCAATCCATGCTGCAAGGCAGAGAGGCAAGGTAGATTTTTCTCAGCTTCTATTGTGAATAAGAATGTGTCAGATTGTTTTCTAGAAAGAATTGTAATTGAATTTGAATTTTTGCGGGAAACAAAAAAAAAATTAAATCATGATATAGGGTTCTGAAGATTAGAATAAAAATAAAAGGTTATAAAGAAGATATCACTAATGCTGTAACCATAGAACAAAAGGCTATTTTATATTTATAACTGCAGTAAAAGAAAATTGAAACTGACTTTTTTATTTCTGTATTTTTGTCTTTGCTCTTCTTTTTTTTTTCATTCCAAATATTGGTTGTTAGTTCTTATTCTGTATTTAAATTTTTAATACCGGTAAGATGTTATAAAAAGAATTGGATGGATGGAAAAGTAGAATTGGAAAGGTGATACAGGTTAAAATAAGCAAATGAATTATAAAAAGAGAGGGAGAGAGAAGTAGAGGGAAAAAACCCAGGCATATAGATAAGGCTGGATGGATATATTGGATTGGAAACAAAGGTGAAACATTCCTCCATTAAGGGAGAAAATATAAGCAACTGAAGGATACATTTATATAGAAGATTGTGTTCGTGTTACTAAATTGATAAAATGTTGACTACGTTTGTTTCTTTATCCACATAATCCTTTCTTTAAAAGATGGTGAGGAAGGCAGAAACTGGCACATCATCATCACCACCACCATCATCTGAGTATTACTGTACAGTCTGGTCTTATATGGACTGAAAAAGGATGATTGCAACTATATCAGGCCCAATAGATCCAGTGGGTGGATGGAAACTAATCAAGGAGAGAAGCAACCTGGAATTAAGGAGAAACTTCCTAACAGTGAGAACAACGTGGAATGACTTGCCTCCAGAAGTTGTAGGAAGTTTTTAAGATGAGACTGGATAGTCACTTGTCTGAAATGGTATAGGTTCGCCTGCTTGAGCAGGAGGTTGAATTAAATGACCTCAAAAGTTCCTTCCAGCTCTATTCTGATTGACCAGGGGTATCAAAACTCAATTTTATTGAGGGCTGCACCAGGGTTTGTGTTTGAGCTTGACATCATGCGTTTCGGGGCCACCTATGGTGGCCCAGGTGGGGCTGGAGGGATCCTTCTGAAGCCTTCTGCCAGCAAAAACAGCTAGAGGCACTGCGGGCTGGTCCTTTGCTGTTTCCAGGGCAGCCCTGCGGGCCAGATCTAAGCACCCCATGGGCCAGATTCAGCACATAGGCCTGGAGTTTGACACCCCTGTGATTGACTGATACTTTCCCACTGCCTACTCACTATTAATGAATATTCATTGAGTTCAACAAATAAAATAAAACAAATCAAACATTATTACATCAAAATATTGTGGACTTCAGAAACAGGAAAAAGAAAATGAGGGGGGGGGAAATCTAAATATGAAGGGAGGCAGTCTTGCTCCATTTCTTGGCATGGATCCATAGCAGGGAGGGAAGAGAATGGAGGTACAGATGTTAATATGAATTGCCATATATCAAAACTATGGCATCATATTAATGGTTTCATAACACCAACATGTCCTAGGCAGCAGAATGCGTCACTTTTATCTTGAAATCCTGTTTACTTCCCCAATCCTGTTCCTTCTAGTGGCCCTGAGTTACTCCCATTTTATTATTATTATTATTTTGTCTTTCTTTTACTGCCAGTTTTGGCTGGAGGTTGATGACCATCATTGATCTTCACTCTTTTGACATTACTGTACAAAACAAGGACATTCTATTTTTTGCCAAATCAGGTACTTTTTAAAAATTTTATTTGCTTGCTGGTATATAATCTCTGAATCTAATCCTTTGGCTATGGTGGTTAGGGATTAGGAAAACTGAAATCCAGTTTATCTGGAAATCAGGCTGGGAAAAAAACTGTAGTCTTTAAATCTGCTTGCCAACTGCAGTGAAGCAATATTTTTTAAGACATTTAAAGAATTAATTAGGGGATTTATTATGGGGTCTCAACTGGAGAGGCAGGTATTTGCACCCAGGGCACAGTGAATCCAGCGTTCGTGCTGCTCAATACAAGGACCCTGATGCAAGATTAGAGCAGGGGAATAGGGGGGAGTTGAAGTTCTTTAATGTAAAAAATCATGAAAACTGCAGCTCAAATCTTTCTTCACTATCACGACATTCCCACTATTGTTAAAAGTATGATAAATTGCAATCCAATCAATGGGAATAGATACCATTTATATGTGATTTAATCATGGATCAAAGCAGTAGGTCAAGGATTTATCCATCCGTCTTGTGACTGCAGGATGACTTTTCAAATCTGATCATTTGAGGGCAGAAGCAGCATGAAAATAATGAGGATTTATAGGGGTTTCTCTTACGACTACTGGATTTGTACTTTTGAACGGGGGAGGGATTTCTGAACAAGGGAATGAGCATCAATTTAAGAACAGATTGGACATTGAAAAGAAAATTTCTATAGATCCAAGATACTAATGAAGATGAAACTTGTCTAAAGACGTTTCTGAATACCGGTAGTTATTGCCATCTTTAAATTATTTTTTAGTTTAGTTTAGTTTAGTTTAGTTTAGTTTAGTTTAGTTTAGTTTAGTTTAGTTTAATTTAGGTTTAGTTTGTTGTTGTTGCACAAGGTACAACAAAATTAAATTTCGCCATCTTCAGTGTACATTATAACTAATAAAAATAAAAACACAAAACATACATCCTTTACATTCTATATAATTGAAATTGAAAACCCGGTACTGCACCATATCGTAAAATTCAATATGGTTTTCTTTGAGCTATTCAATTTAGCTATTATATTGTTTGGTTTTGGTGCAATTCTTTATTATCGCTTTTATTATAATTTCTCCTTCTATGGCTGCCGCTTGTAAAAAGCAGCTGCATTGCTTTAGAATTATTTACATTTTTTAAACGGATACCTTAACCATGATGGATATTTAATTGCTTATTTGATGAGTCTGTATTGATTTGACAGTATATATGTATATAAGAGGAAGGGAGGGGAGAGAAAAAGAGGGGAAGGAAGGAAGGAAGGAAAGGAAGGAAAGAAAGGAAGGAAGAAGGAAAGAAGGAAGGAAGATGAGAGTAAGAAGGAAAGGAAAATAGAAAAGGGAAGGAATTAAAGAGAGAAAAAGAGGAAAAAAGGGAAAGGAAATTAAGAAAGTACTGAGGAAAACTTAGAAAATATAAGAGGCTCCTAGTTATTCACTTGGTCCCCAAAACCTCAAATTCCACTCAAATAACTCCACCCCCGATGGAAACCATGATTTTAACAAGGTTATAACCATGTTTAATGGCTTATTTTTCATCCCTTTGGGAATCCCCTGCCTTGGCAGTCTATAAATGTGGCTCATCCACCTCAGCCGCCATCGAAACCAAGTGGCAAGGAGGTTAATTTTGAGGGGTAAACCCTATTTTCCTTGCTTGGACTACAGCCACCATCCTCCCCAGTGCGGCCCTCAGGATGATGGAAACTAAACTCCAACTCATTCTGAGGTGGGGCGGGGGAGACACCAGGCTGAGGGTGAGAGAAACCAAGCAGGCCGCCTCTTTGTCTTGCTATAACGCCGCGTCGATCCGGTATTTTTTTTTTTATTTTCGTTTCGTTTTGTTTTAATATTTGTAACGTAACTGAAACTGCGGAGAAACAGCTCCCTCAGAGGAGCCGCAAGCGCGCGCATGCGCGGCACTTTCCCGCCTTTTCCCAAAGTGGCGGGAAAAGAAAGGATCGGTCGCGAGAGTACGGGGCAGGGGGCGGGGCTTAGAAGAATGGGCGGGAGCAAGCAAAGACTACCAATCGGGCGTCTTCGAAAGAGTAGAATGGCAGCTCCCAGAATTCCAAGCGAATCCTAAGGGTGTGCTGGGAGTTGTAGTCTTGTGTGCTGACAGGGGTTTTTTTTTGGTTGTTTTTTTTTCCCCAAGGCCTCCAAAAGTTTTCTCATCATTCCTGCCTCAGTCCATCTCCAACTGGGTGCCCTTTGGATTGTGAAGCAAAAAAAACACCTGGAAAAGATGTTTTCTCACCAGTCTGAGAAAAAAAAATGCTAAAGGGATGCTGGGAGTTGTAGTCTTTGCACATATAGAGGGAACCCAGGTGGTTGAGTTGGTGCTTGACTCCGTCCTTAGGTGGCTCAGTGGCTAAAATGCTGAGCTTTGTCGATCAGAAAGGTCGGCGGTTCGAATCCCTAGTATAGGCCTCCTGCGTGAGCAATGGGGTTGGACTAGATGACCTCTAAGGTCCCTTCCCAACTCTTGTTATTATTACTCCGTCTCCAGCTGGATGGCCTTGCAAGACTTTGAAGCCACGATTCCCAGAATTCCAAAGGAATCCAAAGAGAGGGTGCTGGGAATTGTAGTTTCACAGGTGCTGCGGGATGCCCGATTTTTTGTATCCAGATCTCCAAGGCTTCCAAATGAGCTTTCCCTTGAAAGCCCATGTTGCTCCATCCCCAACTGGGCGCCCTCTACAATGCAGAATTCCCAGAATTCCAAGAAAAAAAATCAATAAAAGGGATGCTGGGAAAACTACGTGTTTCAAGTTTCACCGGTTGGCGGTCAAAACGGAGCTGCGATTTGGGTGGCTCCGTGGCTAAGATGCTGAGCTTGTCGATCAGAAAGGTTGGCCGTTCGGCGGTTCGAATCCCTAGTATAGGCCTAGTATAGGGTTGGACTAGATGACCTCCAAGATCCCTTCCATCTCTGTTACTCTCTTCTTCGGTGGCCTTCCGAGTGCGCTTCAAGGTGTTGGTTCTTACCTTTAAAGTGCTCCATGATTTAGGACCTGAGTACTTACGAGACCACCTGCTGCAACCGATAACCTCCCACCAACCAATACGCTCTCACAGAGTAGGCCTACTCATAGTACCATCATTAAAACAATGTCGTCTAGTAGTTCCAAGGGAGAGAGCCTTCTCTGTGGGGGCACCTACTCTTTGGAACAAAATACCCCCTGGAATACGAACAATCCCAGATCTTCGCACTTTCCGACGTGCCCTGAAGACCTTTCTGTTTCAACAAGCAGGGCTAGCATAAACATCTCAATTCTATGCCAAAATCTTAGCAGATACACTAAGTTGACTCAATTTATTATTTACTGTTTATTTAAAAAAAAATAAAAATTATTATACGTATATGAAATCTTATTCTATTCACCACTCTGAGTTCTTCGGGAGAAGGGCGGTATAGAAATTCTAATAATAATAATAATAATAATAATAATAATAATAATAATAATAATAATAATAAAAGTATTGAAAAGTATTGAAGGTAAAGCTGACCAGAAATTAACTTGGAACTGGTTAAGATCAGGAGTACTGAAAAAAGAAACAGAAAGCTTTATTTTGGCAGCTCAAGAACAAGCCCTAGCCACAAACAGCACGAAGGCAAAAATTCAACATGTTACCACCAACAGCAAATGCCGCCTCTGCAATAAGAAAGATGAGACAGTCGACCATCTGATCAGTGGGTGCAGCAAAATTTCACAAACTGACTACCTACAACGCCATGACCGTGTTGCTAAGATCATTCACTGGAAATTGTGCCAGAAGTTTGGATTTGAGTACAGCAAAAACCACTGGGAACATCAGGGTGAGAAAGTTTTAGAGAATGAGAAACTCAAGATCTTGTGGGACTTTAGGATTCAGACTGACAGGCACTTGGTCCACAACACACCTGACATAACAATAGTTGAAAAGAAAAAAGTATGGTTCATTGACATTGCAATACCTGGTGATGAACGGATTGAAGTTAAGCAGCAAGAAAAAATCACAAAGTACCGGGACTTGCAAATTGAAGTTGAGTGACTGTGGAAAAAGAAATCGTGTGTTGTCCCGATTGCAACTGGAGCCCTTGGAGCAATACCCAAAGGGCTACCCCACTATTTAGAAATTCTAAATTTGCCGGACTTGAACATTTTGACTCTACAAAAAACCACCTTACTCGGAACAGCTTACATCCTCCGACAATACCTTAACAGTTCCTAGGTCCTTGGTTAGGACTCGAGCTGCTGAGCTATTAACCAGCCTCAAAGGCTGTGAATCTCACTAAAGATTAAATAATAATAATAATAATAATAATAATAATAATAATAATAATAATAATAATAATAATAATAATAAATTAACAACAACAACACAATAATCCAACTCAGGGTGCAGAAATCCAGATTGCCGCTAGATGGCAGCAAAGAGATAACAAAAAACCATGGCTCTTTGCTGCCACCTGGGGGACCTCTGACGTTTTGCGGTTCAGACCTGGTATAATATTGGAGGGAGCAGTTGTTTAAAAAGATGGCAAGGGAATGATCACGATGGGCGTGTGGGTGGAAAAGCACTGAAGATGGCTTAAAGTACATGCGTGGGAAGCTCACATGACAACTGGCAGGTGACACATGGCCAAGATTAAAACTAGATGGGCAGAATTTAAGCTTGCAAAGATTTACAGATTTCCATTAAAATATATATAGGGTACAGAAATATACATAAGGTAAAGGTTCCCCTCGCACATATGTGCTAGTCGGCTGTCATCTTTTGTTGTTGTTTTTGCAAAGTTGGGAAATCAGCATCGGAGGGAGGCATTTTTGGGGAGGGGGTGTCTTTTAAAGGAGAGGGGGTCTTTCTCTTTCTTTCTTTCTTTCTTTCCTTTCTTTCTCTCTCTCACCCCTCTTCCCCTCCCTCTTCCTTCCTTCCTTTCTTTTCTTCCTTCTTTCTCTTTCTCTCCCCTCCCTCTCTTCCTTCCTTCCTTCCTTCCTTTTTCTTTCTTTCTCTTTCTTTCCTTCTCTTTCTTTCTTTCCTTTCTTTCTCCCTCTCACCCCTCCTTCCCTCCCTCTTCCTTCCTTTCCTTTCCTTTCCTTTCTTTTTATTTCTTTCCTTCTCTCTCTCCCCTCGCCTCCCTCCCTCCCTTTCTTTCTTTCTTTCTTTTTCTTTCTTTCATTCTTTCTTCTTTCTTTCTTTCTCTCCCCTCCCTCCCTCCCTCTTCCTTCCTTCCTTTTTCTTTCTTTCTTTCTTTCCTTTCTTTCTCCCTCTCACCCCTCCTCCCCTCCCTCTTCCTCCTTTCCTTTCCTTTCCTCTTTTTATTTCTTTTCTTCTCTCTCTCCACTCCCTCCCTCTCTTCCTTTCTTTTTCTTTCTTTCCTTCCTTCCTTCCTTCTTTTTTTCTCTCTCTTTCTCTCCCCTCCCTCCCTCTTCCTTCCTTCCTTCCTTCCTTCCTTTTTTCTTTTTTTCTTTCTCTCTCTCCCCCCTTCCTCCCTCCCTCCCAACCTTTCTTTCTTTGTTTTAAAAATTGCAAATAATTGTAAGGTAAAAGTAAAGGTTGCCCTCGCACATGTGCTAGTAGTTCCCGACTCTAGGGGGCGGTGCTCATCTCCGTTTCAAAGCCGAAGAGCCGGCGCTGTCCGAAGACGTCTCCATGATTGTGTGGCCGGCATGACTCAACGCCAAAGGTGCACGGAACGCTGTTACCTTCCCACCAAAGGCGGTCCCTATTTTTCTACGTGCATTTTTCTACGTGCTTTCGAACTGCTAGGTTGGCAGAAGCTGGGACGAGTAACGGGAGCTCACCCTGTTACGCGGCATTAGGGACTCGAACCGCTGAACTGCCGACCTTTGGATCGACAAGCTCAGCATCTTAGCCACTGAGCCACCGCGTCCCATTTAAATCTACATAAATCTACAGAAAAAGGGATATACCCACATAAATATACATATACCCACGTACACACACATATATGACATAGAGAAACATCACAGTCTATTTCGAATGTATACATGGCGGGGAGAAAAAAAGAAGAATCTTCCGAATGTAGAAGACGGATGGCCTAAGGAACGAAGCTGTTCAAAAATCTAGTAGTCCTGCTATAGATACTTCGAACCCTCCTCCCAGAGTAGAACTACAGTGTGTGTATGTACGGGAGGGGTCTCTAACAATACTTAAATAGTGCTTGTAAGCAGCATCCTGAATAACGGGAAGCGAGCTTCCTATGATCTTCTCCACTGTCCTCACCACTCTCTGTAGGGACTTTCTAGCTGAGCCGCAGGGATGCGGTTTGTTAAATCGCTCTCACAATCGTGCCTCTGTAAAAAAGTGTCGAGGACAGAAGGAGAACGATGCGCTCTCCTCATCCGACGCAGGAAATGCAGACGCTTCACGAAGGATGACTACCTTAACATCCGCAGTGATTCACTTAACGGCCGCGGCAAGAAAGGATGGTTAAAAACGGGGCGAAGCTCCCTTAACGAAACGTTTCCCTTAGCGAGATACATGTTTGGGCCCCGCTGTGGTCATACGTCGAGGACTACCTGTCTATAGGTCCAGCTCGCCATTTTACCTTGCTACCAGCAGGGGGCAGGGCAACCCTCATATACCCCGCCAAAGCGCAAGGAACAAAAATGATTTTAAAACAAGGCAAGGGACAAAATGATGATTTAATGTTTGCGGGGGGGTTGCAAAATTTTGCAGGAAGGAAGCCTGTCAATCCTGATTTGCCCTCCCCCCCCCCAGTTCTCCTTGGGGCCC